TTGTGATTTTAATCATTTTCTTATTTAGGCCAAAAGGATTATTTAGTGAAAACACTAGGAGTTCATTTTCCCTCCTTTCCAATTTAGGGTTTATGATAGGACAACCTCTAATCAAGTAAAAAATTAGATATTCTGTTAATATGACGGTTTATTTTCCCTCCTTTCCAATTTCCATTGTGTATCTTTTGCGGTTTATTTCTGTTACCTTTTTTCCGTCCTTAACTCAAGTTTTGAGCTTCGTCCTACATTAATATGACGATGAAAATGATGAGAGCAGTTCGTGATTCATTAATCCCTTGAAATAGCATATATCATTGGTCAGTTAAGTGAATTGGTAGATAAGGTAAAAGGTGAAAAATCAGATATTCATGTATGTACTCCCAGTTAGCTCCTCCATTGCTCTAGCCTGCAAATATTTGCTGCAATTTGACGTGCTTTTTTTTTTTTTTTTTTTTATAATTTTTCCTATCAGTTCTTTTTTTTTTTTTTTTTGGATAATTTTTCCTCTCAGTTCCGCTAGAATATGATGGGAGAACTTAAAAGCTACAGATGAAAAACTTTAAGTAGAGATTACTATTTTGCTGAGTTTAAGAAATCCCCCTCCTTATATGAGATTGTTTGTCCAAGTAGTCTTTATCAAAGAGGGGATAAAAGATTCTTCTCTGCGGAATATCATGCAAATGCTGGAGTAATTATAATCCTAACCAGCCTGAGCATTCCATATGCTGCTTCTGTTTTTCTGCGATCCTCTTCAACTTCAGTACAGATCTGGTAGATTAAAAAGATGCTTAAATTGTAAAGCTACAATTACTGAAAGTATAGGTAGCTTAAGGAATTGTTTTTCTTCTTGTTTATTTTAATTCCGTACTATAGAAGTTTCTTCTGTGTTATTGGCAATTCAGATTTTGTTGTCTGTACCCCTTTTCTCTTTGATTGTTAGGCAGCAAATGCTTAAGTTCAATTGGATGCTCGATAACCCTTCCCCGTTCAGCTGCTCCATCGTTTCACATCCTCAAGGCAGTTGAATTTGCAAATGAACTTGACAGACTCGTTAGTTCATTGACTTAACAAACGATTCTGCGATAAACCCTCTTCTCTCTCCAGTTTCCTCTTATTCACTCTTTGTGATCAAAGAAAAGAATTTGCTTGTGAAAAATGGCTTCTAAGATAATTTCTATAAGAAGCTTCCTTTCTCAGACACAAAAAGGTTTACTACGACACATCTGCTGCTGCTGCCTTTGCTCACTACCCACGTGCTCAACAACCACATCTTTTGAAGTTCAATTCCTTGTCAATTCAAGTGTACTTCCTTGAAATCTGCTCTTTCAGTTTGCAGAAGATTTGAAGAACATTTGAAAGGTCCAATCTAAAATTGAATTTTTCAAATCTCATTGTTTCAGCAGCTCCTATATTGCCAAGTTGATTGAAAAGCGATCCCAATTCCTTTATAGCAATGTAGAAACAATCTAAGGCCAAGTTTCGAGTTCCTCTTCCCAAATGGCTTTATTGGTGGTAAGCTCCTGCCGTCAGATTCTGAAATTATACCTTCTTGGTAGAAATGACAACGCTATTGGCTTATTGTGGCTGTTAAGCCTTCTTCTTGGATATTGCTAATGTTGGAGTAGGAAGGAACTACATAACCAAATATTGAGTTGTTGACAAACGAGGGATGGTTTATGCAATCAATGAACAAATTCATTTATACAAGTTGGGGACGGAACGAAAGGTATAAGCTGTTGAGAGGAAGGAATCGAGCAATTTCACTACCATTTGTCCTAAACAGCGATGATGAATAGAAATGGGACATCATCTCTTCTTGTTTTGCGTCAACCCTGCCACCTCAAAAAGAGAAAATAAACCCCTTTTCTTGTGAGTAAATTATAAATTAATCCCTCTAGTTTTCCAAAAGAAACTAAATATTCCCTCTAGTTTTAATAACTAATTAATTAGTCCTTATATTTTGAATCTATTAACTTAATTATTTTCATTCATTTTTATTTTATTTATTTTTCATTTCAAAAAATAAAAAAATAAAAAATGAGAAAGATTAGATAAAAAAATATTTTTAAAATAAAATAATATTATATTAAAGTTAAACGGTCTAAACCTTTTTTGAATTTTAAATCATTTGAAAATTGACCCCTCAACTTTTAATTTCAAGTTATAGCTCCCTCTAACTATTTTCATTTGTAATTGGCCTTTTTGTTTTTTGGTTTCCATCAATTTTAATGACGTAAACATACCTGACTTGTAAGAAATTGGCTTTAAATTCTTCAATAACTAAAAATATAATCAAAATTATAGATATTTTATTTTTTCATTCAAAATTTTTTTTCTTCTTAAATATTTTTTAATTGCTAACGTCTTAGCAATCAGGAGAGACCAAATAATTTAAAAAATATATATATAAAATATAAAAATTTTGACATATTTTGTAGCTTTTGAAAAATTACATATTCATGTCAAAATTAATGAAAATATAATAAAAAAATCAATTTTAAATAAAAAATAATTAAATAAAAATCTAATTTAAAATCAGAAGTTAAAGGATTAATTTTCAAATGATTTAAATATCATGAGAACTTTGAATTGCTGAACCTTATTTTACTATTATTTTATTCCAAAACATTTTTTTCCCTCATTAATCTTCAATTTTTACTTTTTTTTCTATTTATGGAAACAAAAAACAAAATAAATTGAAAGAATCGAGTTACAATAAATTTAAAGAGATAAGAATTAATTAATTAGTGTTTGCAATAAAAAGATTATTCTATTCATTTTGTACTATTAGAAGGATTAATTTATAATTTACTCCTTTTTCTTGTTCCACAGCTGAATCTCGGTATAGAAATAGCAGTAAGAGTTTGTTTTCGAAAAAGGAAAAAAAATTGCTTTGAAAATGAAGTCTCATAATGTTAGAAAAAACCTGTTTTGTTTGATACGAAGATGTTTTCTGCAGACATCATCATCAACATCGTCATCTGCTTCGCCGCTTTCTCCGTTACCCACTATTAGTACTAGCTCATCGTCATTTACAGTTCAATTTCTCGTCAATTCGTGTGGGATTCCATTGACATCTGCTCTTTCAGTTTCCAAGAAGCTCCGAATCCACCCACGTAAACTCCAAAACGCCCAATCTGTTCTCAATCTCTTTAAATCTCACCACTTTAGCGACAGCGACATTGCCAAATTGATCCAAAAGCGGCCCCAATTCCTCCAATGCAGAGTAGACGACAATCTCACACCCAAAATCGAGCTCCTCGTGGCAAATGGCTTTGTGGGTCAGCTTCTCCCCCGGCTTATTGTATCAAATCCGGCAATTTTGCTCAGGGCCTTAGATTCTCACATTAAACCTTCTTTTGCGTTTTTAAAGTCTGCTCTTGGTAACGATGACAAAGTTGTTGCGGCTATTAAGCGTTCAGCATGGTTGTTGTTGGTTGATGTAAAAAGTATTATGCAACCAAATATTGATTTCTTGTTAAAAGAGGGAGTGCCGCTTGATAGGATTGCAAAACTGATTTTGAAGTGTCCAAGAGCCATACAATCTCAGCCTGATAGGATGGTTTATGCAGTGAATTCTGTTAAGAATTTGGGCCTTGAACCAAAATCTTCTATGTTTATACATGCTCTTGGAGTATCGATAACAATGAGAGAATCCTGTAGAAGAAAGAAATTTGAGGTGATGAAGAGTTTGGGTTGGAGTGAAGAGGAGATTTTGGCGGCCTTTAAGCGAAACCCTTATGTATTATCTTGTTCAGAAGAGAGAATCAGGACAGCTATTGATTTCTTCAATAATACTTTGAAGTTGGGAGCACAAACCATAGTTGCACGTCCTGAGCTTCTCAACTATTCAATTGATAGAAGGATTCGCCCTAGGCATAATGTTTTGGAACTATTGGTGTCACACAAGCTGATTAAAGAAGACAAGAAGAGTGTGAAGTCACTATTCCATATTAGTGAGGAAGATTTCCTGGAGAGGTATATAACTAAATATGCAGACAAAGTGCCAGGTTTGTTGCAGATATATGATGGTCCCAGCCAGGGAAAAAAGATAGAAACTTGATGGCAGACAAGTAAGTTTGCTTCAGAAATCCAATATATAACGCTAGTCTAAATTGATTTTCCTTTGCTCTTGAATTAATTGGTTCTGTTTTTGGAGTAAGACACTGACAAATTTAACTTTTGGATGAAAAAACATGCTAGTTTAGATCATCCATTGCAAAATTTTGGCAGAAGTCTGATAAAATACACCAGATAAAACTCTGGTAATCTATCTCAAAACAAGATACACTTACATGTATCACTTTTTGATAACCATTGGTCCAGGTCCTAGGCAAATATTTGATTCCTTAATGGCATGTGTTCAAGTCAAAACAACACCAAGTTACAGGGTCTCAATTTGCATTCCTTCCACATCATGATTTCTGGTATTTCCGTCATTGTGAGTATATAAATGTGCAATTAGCAAATGAAACATAGATGGTCGATGCAGAAGAGGAACCACCCCAGTGGTTCATTGACTAGTACATAATATATATATATATATATACACACACATATATGTTGACAAGTTATTAGGTCATGAAATTGGTTCTTTTCATTAACTTAGCAACAATATTTCGCATGGGTGAAGTTAATTCATTGTTTTGCTTTGTTTTCTACATTGAAATTTTATCTCAATTATACAAGTTCTGTACTGGTAGATATCTCGGCAATTTAGTTGCTTGGTCACACCTGCAGTAATAATCCTACCCACCTGAGGGCAGTGTGTGTTTTGCTCTCTTACTTTCCAATCTATCTAACTATGAAGCTTACTCTAGCAGATGCTTAGATTGTGGTATTCTAGACATTTCGGACTGCCAGATTAAGAAGTTGGTTCCCTTGAAGTGGTTTACTTCATTCATTGTTATAAAAATTTCGCTTATGTACCAATAATTTGAATTTTGTTGTTCTCTCAGGTCTTTTTTTCATTGAAATTGGCAGGCAACAGTGCAGCAGTTTCATTTGGATGCCAGACGACTCTTGGCCCTTTCACCAGTTTCAATCTCTTTCCATATCTCAAGGCAGTTGACAAAATGTATATTTCGCATTCTTACTGGGTGACTGGAGAGATGTTGAGGATGAAAGTTCTTGGTCCGTAATTCCATTATTTTTCTTAGCATAATTTTGATGTGCTAAGTATGCTATCTGTGCTTGCCTCAACTTAATGGGAGTTAGTTTAAATTTCTCCTTTTATATTTGTTTTGTGGCTTTGCTGCAAATGTCAATGTCAGCTTCTGCTCTAGACATGAAATGTAACTGTCACAGATGTTGGTACTTTTCATTAATTGGTTTCTTTTCCCTACAGCTAAAAATTAAAGATAGTCTACCCAAATAATCAAGAAAGCCATTGATGAATGGAGAAGAAATAGAAATGGGAAAATGAAAATGGAACCAGTAAATTGAGTGGATTTCTGAAATGGGTACATTTTCCATAACTTTAATTGTGTTATCAAGCTATTAGAATATTTACACGGCCTTGAAAAAAAATCTGCTTGCCATTTTCTGTGAGAGGAAGTGCATGCATTCGGGTAGTGACCTCAAATTTGAGCAATCCATCAGCCGAAGTTGGGCCAAATTTTGGGCAGATATCCTCCAGGAAAAGATACCAAATTAGGGCACTCGACTTCCAAGGAAACGAGAGATTGCAAATCACAGAGGTCTCTCATGAGCAGCAAAGAGGGATCAGAGATTTTGACATTCAACATAGTCGCTTTGAGATATAGAAAAGCTCTGGTGGGAAGCAGTTGAGTGGGTTAAAACATTTCACTTAAGTTTCCTCTAAAGCAGTAGTAAATGGGATGGAAATCTGGGGATAAGAATCCACTGACTTCGAGATGGTGTAGCCCAGAATGCCATTTCTTCAAAAACACAGCTCGAGAATGGTCCTCTGATAAAAACCCGAGGATAGTAGAAGCCACTGTAAGCGAACGCACTAGATTTTGGCATCTTCTTATTTAAAGCTTTTTGAGAAGAGGGAAAACTCATGAGATGGTTTTTGAGCTTCGTTAGCTTTCACATCTGTGATGGCATCTCTTGCAGTTTTGCCTATTGAGATGACATAGATTAAAGCCAACTTCCCATTCTGCTTGGTAATTAAACAAGGGCTCGTTCAAGATTAAAGTCTGCAAATTATACAAACGACCAACAGATTCTAGTAAGCTTTTTATCTATATTTTAAAGAGATTCAGGTATATCAGATCCTTCATTTTGCCAGCTAAATCAGGAAGCACAACATGGTCATTGCACCTATACTCAAGATTCATATCTGCAAGTGTAACGTAAATGCTTCAAATTGCAAACGGAATCAGGAACTTCAGTTATGCTATGATATCTAGACAGAGAAAACACTCCTAGGTGTTTTAAGGGTTGGCAATAAATCATGCATTGCCTTGTCATCAATACAAGCATCCGACTGCAAGTAAAAAGGTGTCCAAAAAAGCTTCCTAGACACCCTCAATGGCGAGTTTTTTATTTTATTTTTTTAAGCAAACTTGCAAGAGGTGTCATTCTCAGTTTGATAAAAATATACTCCAGAGACAAATTCAACCATGTCATTCAATAAGTCATGCATGACAAAACATGATAGATCGCACCTGGATGGTTGAAAGAATGACCTTGATACAAGATCATTAATATATTCGCCACTGATTCTTTCATCTCCTAATTCTGTTTGAATGGATTAGACAATCTTATGCAATCCCTATGCAAAACATCGTTTTAGATGTAATAAAAGATAATAGTAGATCAGTAGAGCTAGAAGAAAATTATTGCTGGGCATTTTATGCATATTTCTCTCCAAATTTATTTCCCATTGTTGAACATCTCCTTGGAATCATAGGAGCACCAAGTGTTTTTGCAGCTAAAGGTAAGCTTTCACTTTATCACATTTGATGCTTGAGAAAATAGATCAAAACGATTGTATTATTTTTTATTCCAAACATCATCTAATTCCTATCTTTTTCCTCCATTTTTTTAAGAGGATTAAGAGAAGAAAGTAAGTTTGGCAGCTGACATTTGCTAGATCTAAACCTGCCAGGTTCCATTTCATTACAGAGCTTCATAAGCAATCTCATCCAGCAAGTCCTCAGCTTCATAGACAGCATCTTGAAGCTCATTAAGCCATTCTTTCACAGCCATCTTAGCAATCTGCTTCTCCTCTGCATCATCGAGCATTCCATTAACAGAAATCAATGTGAGATCCAACTTGTTCAACATCCCATCATTAAGCTTTTGGCCTTTGAAGAAGTCCAAAACCTCACAGGAAGTTACTTGTCGAACAAAACCTGAATGAAAGCAGAGATTAATGATTCCCTTATAAATGCCATAGCCATTGTTTCTCAGAAAAGCAAAGCACAAGAAAAAGAAGAGATAGAGATTACAATGGAATTTAAATTTAACTAATTTGGTTTTAATTTCATTAATCTTATAACCATTAAGGATGATGCTAAATATCAGTAACAAGTAAGCTAAAGCTGGATCCAACATAGCAACAAGTAGAAAAAATCCAAACAAATTAAAACAAAACATTGCGCCAAGAAGAAAATAATGGGACACATGCATAGATGTAATCATTAGACTGGAAAAAAGAATAAACAGTTTCAAAAACAGCCAATCATCACCTGTAGAAACTTGAAACTGTGGCTTACGATGAGATTGTTGAAGTTAAATAGAAAAATGTGGTTTCTGTTTGAATAAGTGACAAATAAGTAGTTGTTACTAGAAGAAACCTTAAGCAAATCTGCTGTGCAAGAAGCGTTCAAGATTAACTAACCAAATCTCATAAGCTTAAAGCCCAGTATAGGGGAAAAAAAAAAACATCATGTCCAATGCTTTCACCAATTCCATAAACATAACTAATGCTTTCAGCACTTCCATGAACATAATCAAGAAGTGTAGGTTGGATTTCTGCACTACAAGATACAACATGTATGATGATTAATATACTAAAATTGCATATTCACTTGTCTTCAAACAGAGCAAGTGCGGATATTAAACAAACCTTTCAATTGGCTTGTTTGAGCACAAGGAATCTTTGTTAGTAGTTAGTTTCTAGCACATGACATCGTCCTGGAAAGAAAGTGTAATCTACAAACTATAATCTCTCAGTGTCCATCATCTTTGAAACATAGCTTTGATAGTTTTCCCAACTCCACCCATCCCAACAATGGGAATCACACAATTCTTGCTATTTGCATCATCTGTTAGCAATAACTCCAATATGGCTTCATCAACCCTACCAAATACCCAAGTCACCAATAAGAGAAACTGTTAGTATTTTCTGTGCTGATTTTTTTCTCCAAAACCCTCCCCGAAACCAAGGGCATTCTTCTGCTTTACTAGATATTCTAGCCTAGTAAGGATCATTTCTAACTTTTTTTCTATCTCTTTTCAAGAAAGTAAGTTTGGCAACTGACCTCTGCTGGATCTAAACCTGCCAATGTCCATTTCATTGCAAAGCTTCGAAAGCAATCTCATCCAGTAACTACTCAGCTTCATAGACAGCATCTTGAAGCTCAATAAGCCATTATTTCACAGCCATCTTAGTACTCTGCTTCTCCTCTGCATCATCGAGCCCTCCATTAATAAAAATCAATGTGAAATCCAACTTCTTCAACATCCCATCATTGAGCTTTTGGCCTTTGAAAAAGTCCAAAACATGCCAGGAAGATACTTGTCGAACAAAACTTGAATGAAAGCAGAGAGTAATGATTCCCTTATTAATGCCATAGCAATTATTTCTCAAAAAGCAAAGCACAGGAAAAAAGAAGAAGAGATAAGATTAGAATGGAATTTAAATTTAACTAATTTGGTTTTAATTTCATTGATCTTATACCCATTAAGGATGCCAAACGTCAGTAACAAATAAGCTAAAGCTGGATGTAACATAGCAACAAGTAGATAAAATCCAAACAAATGAAAACAAAACATTGAGCCAAAAGGAAAATATTGGGACACATGCATAGATGTAATCGTGCGACTGCAAAAAAGAATAAAAAGTTTTGAAAAGAACCAATCATCACCGGTAAAAACTTGAAGTAGTGGCTTAAGAAGAGATTGTTGAAGTTGAACAGAAAATTGCGATTTGCTATTTGAAGAAGGGACAAATATGTAGTTGTTTCTACAAGCAACCCTAAGTGAATCTGCTGTGCAAGAAAGAGTTTAAGATTACCGAACCAAATATCATAAGATAAGCTTAAAGCCCAGTATAGAAAAAAACATTATGCCCACGAAAAATGAAGTCAAAACAATATTGGACAGCCACTCCATTGACTCATTGGCCCACTAGGAATGGTAGTTCGGCCCGATTCTATCAACAAGTTTGTAGGTTGAAGGAGGTTTGGTGTCTGCCCTTGTCTCCTTGTTATTATCTTTAAAGCATGGAACTCGGAATAAAACAAAATGAGTCAAGCTGATCTGTTAAACCCCACGAAACTTGTAACCTAATTTTTTATCAAACTGGAAAATGACAGCTCATGATTAGAAACAGGACTAGACCCATTCACACCAATGGCTTAACTCCTTCCATAAACATAATCAACAAGAACATGTATGATGATCAATATACTAATATTGCACATTCAATTGACCTCAAACAGAGTAAGTGGGGATATTAAACAAACCTTTTGATGGGCTTGTTTGAGCAGAGGGCAACTTCATTAATAATTTCTGGCGCCTTCATTAATAATTTCTGGCGCATGACAATATCCTGAAAATCAAAGAACGTGTAACCTACAAATTACAATCTCTAAGAGTCTGTCATCTTTGAAAATTCAAACGAACCGATCCATGCATTTAGGACACCAGAAACAGAAGGCACAAATCAGTCTCTGAACTAATAATTCCATGAGTTGATAGATGTCCACTGCATTAGTGAATGTACTTGCCACTGACTTCTTTCATCTCCTTATTTCTATTTCTATTTGGACGGATTAGACAATCTTTTGCAATCACAATTGAATTCATAATCCATAGAAAAAATTGCATAATATGCAAAACATCGTTTTAGATGTAATGAAAAATAAGGGAAGACAAATAGAGCTAGAAAAAAATTATCACTGGACAGATTGCAAATATTTATCTGCAAATTTATTTTCCATTGTTGAAAATCTCTTTGAGATCGTAGGAGTGTTTTTGCAGCTAGAGGTAAGCCTTTGCACTTTTTTTCATTAGATGCTTGAAAAAAAGAATCAGTAAGATGTCTCAATCAATATACTTTTCTTTCCAAACATCATCTAGGACCAGCACAAACTTTTTCTAGCAATTTGCACTCCAGCTCAAGCTTGATAGTTTTCCCAACTCCATCCATCCCAACAATGTGAATCACACAAGTTTTGTTGCTATTTGCATAATCTGTTAGCAACAACTCCAACATGGCTTCCTTATCACCACCCCTACCAAAAACCCCTGATTCATTAACAAGAGAAGTAGTTAGTATATTCTGTGTTGATGTTTTTTCTCCAACACCCTCCCTCAAACCAAATGCATCCTTCTTCTGCTTTACTAAATATTCTAGCCTAGCAAAGACAACTTCTAATCTTTTTTTTATCTCTTTCTTTTTTTATAAGGATTAAGAGAAGAAAGAAGTTTAGCAACTGACCTTTGCTAGATCTGAACTTGCCAGCTTCCATTTCCATTCGCAGAGCTTCATAAGCAATCTCTTTCAGCAAGTCGTCAGCGTCATAGACAGCACCTTTAACCTCATTAAGCCATTCTTTCACCGACATCTTAGCAATCTGCTTTCATTAACAGAAATCAATGTGACATCTAACTTCTTCAACATCAGATCATTGAGCTTACGGCTTTAGAAGAAGTCCAAAACCTCGCAGGAAGTTATCTTGTCGAACAAAACCTGAATGAAAGCAGTAATGACTCCCTTATTAATGCCATAGCCATTATTTCTCAGAAAAGCAAAACACAGGAAAAAGAAGAAGAGACGAGATGAGATGCGATTAGAATGGAATTCAAATTTAACTAATTTAGATTTAATTTCATTAATCTTATACCATCAAGGATGCCGACTGTCAGTAACAACTAAGCTAAAGCTGGATGTAACATAGCAATAAGTAGATAAAATTCAAACATATGAAAACATAACATTCAGCCAAAAGGAAAATAAAGGGACATGTGCTTAGATAATCGTGAGACTGGAAAAAACAATAAACAGTTTTGAAAAAAGCCGATGATTACCTGTAAAAACTTAGCTGTGGCTTATGATGAGATTGTTGAAGTCGAACAGAAAACGCGGTTTGCTATTTGGAGAAGCGACAAATGAGTAGTTGTTACTACAAGAAACCCTAAGGGGATCTGCCGTGCAAGAAGAGTTCAAGACTACCATACCAAATCTCATAAAATAAGCTTAAAGCCCAATATAGAAAGAAACATCATGCCCAAGAAAATGAAGACAAAACAATATTGGACAGCCACTCCATTGGCCCACTAGTAGGAATAGTAGTTCGGCCCGATTCTATCAACAGGTTATCAGGTTGAAGGAGGTTCGGTGTCTGCCCTTGTCTCTTTTTTATTCTCTTTAAGCATAGTACTCAGAATAAAACAAGATGCGCCTAGCTGATCCGTTAAACACAGCACACGTGTAACTTAATCTACCTACAAGTTTTAAATTGGCCCGATCGGCCCACTTGAACCCTAACAAACAAAAAGAAATCTGAATCTGATTATGAGATCGTGTGTTGTCCGGGATTGATCAATCCTCTTACTTCCTTCCTGCCTGCCTGTTACGTCTGTAATCTAGTCTCTGTCTCTCTTTAAAATCTGAATCTGATTATGATGTCGTGTGTTGTCTGTGGATGATCAATCATCTTCCTGCCTGCCTGTTCCATTTGTAATATCATTCTCTGTCTCTCTTTAAAATCTAAATTTGATTATAGTATCTTAGATTTCCGAAATAAAAGTAGCTTTGAAAAGAGAGGCTACTTATTATAGACCCATCAAAACCCTATTATCCTTCTTTTTTATACAAAAACATTTTCTGCAGACATTATCATCTGCTGCCGCTGCTGCTAGTGCTACACTTTCTCCACTACTCTCTACACCCAATTCATCATCATTTACAGTCCAATTTCTTGTTAACTCATGTGGGCTTCCTTTAAAATCTGCTCTTTCTGCCTCTCAAAAGCTCCATCTCGACGAGAACAACATCCCACCAGACCCAGGCTGTGCTCCATTTCTTGAAATCTCACCACTTTAACGACACCCAAATCTCCAATCTGATAAAAAAGTTGCTTTTTTTCCTTCTTTGCAGAGTAGAAGGCAATCTAAGGTCCAAGTTCGAGTTGCTTGTGGCAAATGGCTTTGTTGCTAACCTCCTTCCCCAACTTATTCTCTCAAAGCCGGGAATTTCGCGGATTTCCTTAGATTCTAATGTCAAACCATCCTTTGAGTTTTTGAAGTCCTATCTTGATACTAATGTGAAAATTTCAGTGGCTCTTAAGCGTAGTTCATGGTTGTTGAGTGTTAATCTGAAGGGTACTGTGCAAGCAAATATTGATTTGCTGATTAAAGAGGGATTGCCTCTTGATCAGCTTGCAAAACAACTTATCTCGTACCCAAGATCACTGCTACATAACCATGATCGGATGGTTTATGCAGTCAATACTGTTAGGAATCTAGGCCTTAAACCAGGGAATGATCTTTTCGGACGTGTTCTTGCTGTGAGGTTACAAATGAATAACACGACTTGGAAGAAGAAAATTGGGTTGCTGAAGAGTTTGAGTTGGAGTGAAAAGGAGATATTGGGGACTTTCAAGCGAGACCCGCCAAAATTGGCTTACTCTGTGAAGAAAAATCAGGAATAACATGGATTTTCTTATCAATACCACTCGGTTGGAACGAGAAATTATATTTACCTATCCTTCTTTGCTTTCCTTATCAGTTGATAAGAGGATTCGTTCAAGGTATAATGTATTTAATGTTTTGAAGTCAAAGAACTTGATCGAAGGAGACGAGAACATTCCTAAATTGCTAATAGTAAATGAGAAGAAATTCTTGGAGAATTATGTTGTCAAGTATGCGGATGATGTCCCTGATTTATTGGAGTTGTATATGGGCACTGCCAACACGAAGAAGCAAGGCCTTGATGTCAGAAATTATATGGATGCAGAAGAGGAACCACCCCAATAATAATATATATATGTTGACAAGTTATTAGCTCATGAAATTGGTTCTCTTTATTAACTTAGCAACAATATTTAGCATGGGTACAGTTAATTATGTGTTTTGCTTTGTTTTCTATATTGAAATTTTATCCCAAGTATACAAGTTTTGTACTGGTAGATTTCTTTGCAATTAGCAGTTTGGTCACTCCCGCGGTAATAATCCTACCCACCTGAGGGTGGTGTGTGTGTTTTTCTCTTAACTTTCCAATCTAGGTAACTATGAACCTTACTCTAGTAGATGCTTAAATTGTCTAACAACTAGTATTCTATATAATTTGGACAGCTAAATAAGGAAGTTGGTTCTCTTGAAGTGGTTTGCTTCATTGTTATAAAAATTCCACTTATGTCTCAGTAATTTGAATTTTGTTTTTCTCTCAGGTCTCTATTTCATTGAATTGGCAGGAAACAGTGCTGCAGTTTCATTTGGATGCCTGATGATTCTTACCCTTTCACCAGTTCCAATCTCTGTCCATATCTCAAGGCAGTTGACAAACTATGTTGTTCGCTTTCTTGCCCAGTGAATGGAGAGATGTTAAGGATGAAACTTCTTGGCCCAGAATTCAATTATTTTTCTTAGCATAATTTTGAGCCTATGTTGTGTACAATGTACTACGTATGCTGTCTCTGCTTGCCTCAACTATGTCTGTAAAGAAAGAAATTCAATATGGCACTCCGGCATCCTGTTCTCTAAGCACACATTCCTAGTGCTGCAGCTGCGGATCCTTCTTTCTTTTTCCTATGCTGTAACTGAGAGTTAGTTTAACTTTCTCCTTTTATCTTTGTTTTGTGCCTTTGCAGCAGAGATCAATATCAGCTTCTGCTCTAGACATGAAATGTAACTGTCACAGGTGTTGGTACTTTTCATTAATGGGTTTCTTTTCTCTACAGCTAAAAATTAAAGATAGTCTATGCAAATAATCAAGAAAGCCATTGATGAATGGAGAAGATTAGAAATGGGAAAATGAAAATGGAACCGGCAAATTTTGAGTGGATTTTTGAACTGCAATGGTTACATTTTCCATAACTTTAATTGTGTTATTAAGCTATTAGAATGTTTACACGGTCGTGAAAAAATCTGCTTGCTATTTTCTGTATATCCAGACTTGTAGCGGAGACAGATAGAATTCCTACGTAGGTGTGGGCTTCTGTAAAACAACTTGGAAGTGTCGGCGTGGTAACTTAATTACTTTACTTCAAATAAAGTATTAGTAGAAAACATTTCTGATTTTCTGTAACAAGTAGGCACACTGAATCATATGGGTTAGTCATAGGTCACAGATCATGGCAGTGCAGCATGCGAAAACCATGAGGACATTATCCACGGACATTTTACAGATTGATTTCTAGCAGGAAGAGGGTTCATACATCAATTTATACAGAGTCGTGATGTTAGCTTACAATTCTTATCACCAAGTAATAAATTGTGACTAAGCTGGATGTTTTGCAGCACGAAAAATTGATAAATCAGGCAGTCACCTGCTCCTCATAATAGCATGTCAAAGTTTCAGGCAGCAGGAGTGCCTGAGCAGACTCAAATTCAGCTATGAACTTCATAAGCAATCCGAACTGCAGCAGCTTGTCCCACTCCTCTAAGGAAACACCCTATAGATTTTAAGTTCATGCCATTGGACAAGTGCGAATTCCCTTCTTCTGAATGCCAAAAGTGAATGAATATCCTGGAAAACGAGGTATTGAATTCTCTTCTGGAGCGGTGAGTTGCTTAAACTACTATCAGAGCTTTGTTTGTATAATTGGCAAGTAAAATAACAGAACTCTCTGATTCAGCATCACCTCCCTGCATCTGTTAATGCTCATCTTTTGGCAACAAAATGAGAAGCCTGTTCAGTATGGCAAGCTCTATGTGAACTCGCCTATTTCATGAGTGATTTGCCACGTTTCAAGAGACTGAAATGCAAGGAAAAGAAAATTAGGATCAGAATCCTGCAAGAATTCATAAAGAATAATCCATAATAAGTACAAATAACTCTTTAACATTGTGATTGGCAGCTGAAAAGGGATAGAAGTTATTCAATATAAATACCTTAGTGTCGGATAGACAGAAAGGGAGAGACTCGTCTAGTCTTTCAACTTTGAACTGGTACAGATTAATTCCAAAGCTTGGGAAACGTGAGAAATCTTGGGCCAATCCTCCCCTTTCTCTGCCAACACCTTAGTTTCAATGAAGGACAATTGAAGATAAACAGAAAGGAAAGGGATGAGGGCAGCCTTCTTCTGGAATGGCCTGGAGCTTAGCAAAGCTGCTGATCGTTGATTCTTGAAGAGAGGTGAGATGTTGAAGCCCCTTGTAGTTCTGTTAAACATATCCCACATTGAATAATTAAACCAATAACAAATAATATATAAAGTTGAGAAAGGGTCACCCACCATAAGGCTTAAGTCTTTTGGGTGGAACCCAATCTTAACTATTTAACTTAATATGGTATCGGAGCCTCAAAGAGCCCCAACGGCCCAACAAAAATCCCGAAGCTCAAGCCACTGACAGACCCCAAAAGATGGGCTGCAAGTGAGGGAGAGTGTTAAACATATCCCACATTGAATATAAGGCTTAAGTCTTTTTGGTGGAACCCAATCTTAACTATTTAACTTAATAAGTTCAGAGATTTAAGACTTTGAAGACTACCGATATCTAGAGAGGAAAGAGAGGAAGGCAGCAGTCTTCTCGGGGAAGGATTCTAAAGTGTTCAGACATACCAATTCCGAAGTGTGAAAGAAATTTAAGTGTCCCATTGCCTGTGGCCAGCAATGAGTTTGTAGCAGCTTTGGATCTCAAGTGACTCTAACTTGGATAGCAAACCCACTCCTGGAAATGACTGAAGTTCTGGCATTGGGGAAGTGACCTCAAATTTGAGTAATCCATCAGCAGAAGCTGTGTCAAATTTGAGGCAGGTAATCCTACTTCAAGAAAAAGATACCAAATTAGGGCACTCCGAAATGAGAGATGGCAAATCACTTAGAAGTCTCTCATGAGAGAGAGAGGGAATCCAGATTTTGACATTCATGGATCTCAAGTCGCTTTGACTTATGGAAAAGCTCTGGTGGGAAGCATTTGAGTGAGTTACAGCATTTCACTTTAATTTCTTCTAAAGTAGCAGGCAAACGTCCCATTTCCTCCATCTCCACCAATAGGAAATCTAGGGATAAGAATCCACTGGCTTAGAGATGGTGTAGCCCAGAACGCCATTTCTTCAACAGCACAGCACGAGAATGGTCCTCTAATAAGAACCTGAGGATAGTTGGAGCCACTGTAAGTCAAGGCACTAGGTTTTGGCATCCCTCGATTTCAAGTTTTATAGGAAATCTAGGGAGAACAATCCACATGGCGAGGCTCCTTTTACGTTAGGACAACCTCTTATTTAAAGCTTTTTGAGGAGAGGGAAAACTCCGCCTTCGTCAATTCGTTCCATTGTGGTTAATGCTAAACCCTCATTGTTTTCCTATAGAGAAATCACCAAGTCTTTGAGCTTCGTTAGTCTACACGCCTGTGATGGCATCTCTTGCAGTTTTGTGTCTATTTGGATTACATAGGTTAGAGCAAACTTTCCATTCTGCTTGGTAATTAAACAAGGGCTTGTACAAGATTAAAGTCTGCAAATTATACTAAAAAAACTTCAGATTCCGGTAAACTTTTTATCAAATATTTTAGAGAGATTCAGGTATTGCAGATCCTTCAACTTGCCCCCTGAATCAGGAAGCAAGAGAATGTCATTGCAACTACTATACAAATTACCCACAGCATCAGGTAACCTTTTTATAGATGACGTGGAGAGATTCAAATATCGTAAATGCTTCAAATGGCAAACTGAATTAGGAACTTCAGCTATGCTACAATATCTAGACAGATATAACACCCGTAGGCGCCTGAGGGTTGGCAATAAATCTTGCATTATCTCGTCATTAACACAAGCATCCGACTGTAAGTAAAAAGGTGCCCAAAAGTCGAGCTACATACACACCCTCCAAATTTTTTCAGAGTACATAAATGATAAAGTTTTTTTAGCTGTTTGATAAAAAATTCTCAAAATCATTCAAGAAATCAGGCGTAACAAAACATGATAGATCGCCACTGGATTGTTGAAAGCATGGCCTTGTTACAAGCTCATTAATGTACTCGCCCCTGACTTCTTTCATCACCCTAACTTATTTCAATTTAGGGGAATTGGACAACCTTCTGCAATTCCTATTGAATTCATAATCTTTATTAAATATTGCACGATATGCAAAACATTGTTTTAGATGTGATGAAAGATAATAATAGATCAATATGGCTGGAAGAAATTTGTTGCTGGGCAGATTATACATATTTCTCTGCAAATTCGTTTCCCATTGTTGAACTCTCTTTGGCATCATAAAAGTGCGAGTGTTTTGCAGCTAAAGGTAAGCTTTTGTACTTTTTTGCATCAGATGCTTGAGAAAATGAGTTCGAACAGTTATGTTACACTTTTGGAAAAAGTAACAATTAACATACCTTTCATTCCAAAAGTCATTTAAGACTGGCACATACTTTTCACTTTTTTTTTTTTTTCTATCTCTTTCCTAAGTTTGGCAACTGACCTTTGCTAAATCTAAACCTGCCAGCTTCCATTTCATTGCAGAGCTTCGTAAGCAATCTCAGCCAGCAAGTCCTCAACTTCATAGACAGCATCTTGAAGCTCATTAACATTTGCAAAAGTCCAAAACCTTGCAGGAAGTTTCTTGTCAAACAAAACCTGAATGAAAGCAGAGAGTAATGATTCCCTTGTTAATGCCATAGCCACTATTTCTCAGAAAAGCAAAGCACAGGAAAAAGAAGAAGAGATGAGATTATAATGGAATTTAAATTTATCTAATTTGGTATACCCATTAAGGATGCCAAATGTCAGTAACAACTAAGCTAAAGCTGGATGTAACATAGCAACAAGTAGGTAAAATACAAATAAATGAAAACAAAACATTGAGCCAAAAGGAAAATAATGGGACACATGCATAGATGTAATCGTGAGACTGGAAAAAAAGAATAAACAGTTCTGAAAATAGCCAATCATCATCTGTAAGAACTTGAAGTAGTGGCTTATGATGAGATTGTTGAAGTTGAACAGTGCAGTTTGTTGTTTGAAGAAGGGACAAATAAGTATTTGTGAATCTACTGTGCAAGAAGAGTTCAAGATTACCAAACCACATCTCATAAGATAAGCTTAAAGCCCAGTATAGAAAAAAACATCATGCCCACAAAAATGAAGTCAAAACAATATTGGACAGCCACTCCATTGGCCCACTAGTAGTAATGGTAGTTCGGCCTGATTCTATCAACAAGTTTGAAGGTTAAAGGAGGTTCGGTTCTCTTTGAAGCATGGAAATCAGAATTAAAAAAAAATGGCTCAAACCGATCTGTTAAACCCCACCAAACTTGTAACCTCATTTTTTATTCTATTGACACCAATGGCTTAACTACTTCCATAAACATAATCAAGAAGTGTAGGTTGGATTTCTGAATTACAGGATACATGAACATGTATGATGATTAACATACTAATAATACATATTCACTTGTCCTCAAACAGAGTAAGGGGGATATTAAACAAACCTTTTGATGGGCTTGTTTGAGCAGAGGGAAACATCGTTAATGGTTTCTGGCGCATGACAATATCCTGAAAATCCAATAACGTGTAATCTACAAACTGCAATCTCTAAGAGTCCGTCATCTTTAAAAATCCAAACAAATCAGTCCATGAGTAATTGAAGTCAAAAATCAGTCTCTGGACTACAAATTCCATCTCTTCAATTTGATCAAAAAAATTCTCTAAACCACCACTGGATTGTTGAAAGAATGACCTGATACAAGATCATTAATGTACTCACCATTAACTTCTTTCATCTCCTTATTTCTATTTCAAGGGATTGGACAATCTTCTACAATACCGATTGAATTCATAATCCTTAGGAAGTATTGAATAATATGCAAAATATCGTTTTAGTAGATCAATAGAGTTGAAAAAAATTATTGCTGCAAATTGTTTCCCACTGTTGAACATCTCTTTGGCATCGTAAGAGTATCTTTGTAGCTATAGGTAGAGCTTTTGCACTTGTTGCATTAGATGCTTGAAAAAATGAGCCGGAATTTTGTAAAATGTACCCATCAACATACGTTTCATTCCAAACATCATCTAAGATAAGCACAAACGTTTTCCATCAATTTTTAATCCAGCTCAAGTTGAAGCTGATTTGAAATCTTGTTATCACAAGTCACCAAACCATCCTTCTTTAAGTATATCGCAATGATTGTTTTCCCAACTCCACCCATCCCAATGGGAATAACACAAGTATTGTTGCTATTTGCATCAACAGTTGGCATCACCACCTCTACCAAAAACCCCTGATTCATCAACCAAAGAAGTTATTATTTTCTGTGCTGATGTTTTTTCTCCAACACCCTCCCTCAAACCAAATGAATCCTTTTGCTTTACTAAATATTCTAGCCTAACAAGGACAACTTCTAACCTTTTTTTTCTCTTGCTTTTCTCTTTCCTAAATTTTTAATTAAAAGAAGAAAGTAAGTTTGGCAACCTGCCAGCTTACATTTCCATTCGCAGAGCTTCAGAAGCAATCTCATCCAGCAGGTCGTCAGCTTCATAGACAGCATCTTTAACCTCATTAAGCCATTCTTTCACAGCCATCTTAGCAATAGCAGAATCAATATGGCATCCTACTACTTCAACATTCCATCATTGAGCTTCCGGATTTTGAAGAAGTAACAAACCTCGTGGGAAGTTATCTTGTCGAACAAAACCTGAACGAAAGCACAGAGTAATAACTCTTTTATTAATGCCATGGCCATTATGTCTAAGAAAAGCAAAGCACGGGATAAAGAAGAAGAGAGGAGATTATAATGAAATTTAAATTTAACTAATTTGGATTTAACTTCATTAATCTTATAGCCATTAAGGATGCCAAATTTCATAACAACTAAGCTGAAGCTGGATGTAACATAGCAACAAGTAGATAAAATACAAACAAATGAAAACAAAACATTGAGCCAAAAGGAAAATAAAGGGACACATGCTTAGATAATCGTGAGACTGGAAAAAAATAAACAGTTCTGTAAAGAGCCGATCATCACCTGTAAAAACTTAGCTGTGGATTGTTGAAGTCGAACAGAAAACTGCGGTTTGCTATTTGGAGAGGCGACGAATAATTGGTTGCTACTACAAGAAACCCTAAGTAGATCTGCCGTGCAATAAGAGTTCAAGATTATCAAACCAAATCTCATAAGATAAGCTTAAAGCCCAGTATAGAAAGAAATATCATGCCCAAGAAAATGAAGTCAAAACAGTATTGGACAGCCACTCCATTGGTCCACTAGTAGGAACTGTAATGTGGCCCAATTCTGCTGCCCAAGCCCATACCTGTCCTAAAAAGCCAATATTTGTTGGAACGCATGCTGTCCGAAGTTGTAGGAATTCCTCCTGCTCAACACACACGTGGCAATCTCTCCCACAGGCGTATGCTGGTTGAAAACACTAGTTTTTATTGAAACAATAAAAATTTGCAGGTTGGTTGAGGATGGTAGAAAGATGGGAAAACGGGAACTGTATGCTTCACAACGAAGGTTCGAAACAGGAGTGCAGTGTGAACCTGTGATTAAATAAGGAACCACGTAGAGATCTACTTTTGTGCAAGCTATGATTATGGTTTGGTCAAATAACCCCTTTATTGCTATTATCATCCATTCTTGAGTAAGGAAAATGAAATAAAGAAACTGGAAAAAAGTTTCTTGAGAGAGTAATAAAAAGAGAAGGACGGCAGATATTTCAGAATGGGGATATGCAGGGTTAGTTAGTACTAGTAAAAAATCTCGACTGCAGTGATTGGAAGATCATAAATTCATAATCCTATTTCTGACGCAAAACTTTCTACCAACATTCAATTGAAAAGGGTCATCGCCAGATTATGTCAACCCAGTCATAGCTACTTCCAGGGAGAAGAAGTTGTTATGAACTGATCATAAAGTGATGCAATAAAAATCAAATTGTCAAACCATAAACTTTGGCTTCAAGCTGTAAAGGGTTGCATTAATGAAGCCATGTACCTCAAAAATGAAGCGACTAGAGATCATCAACATGACGCACGCTTGTCTAGATAAGTCTCAGACAGATGCTGAGCAAGGCAGCTTAACCAGCAACCAAGGCTGACAGTCCAAGAACTGCCAGGCTACATCAAACAACAAAGAAAGAGGGGTAATAACCTTAAAGATCATGAAAAAGAAGGCAGATGTCATGCATCCTTTTAAGGCCTGTAATAAGACCTGCCTTCAGATTCCCTAACGTTGTATTCTACACTTTTTAGTCATTTAAATATATGGCTGCCTTCACGTTTTCGTGATTGCTTTGAGATGAAGTCTGAGCTGAAGTGCTACACAGATCATTTCAGATGGCAATTTTCCTATCAAGTATTAAAAATCTCCCTGAATTTGTTTTATAAACTGCAATCACGATCTAGTATCATAGTTTTTGTTTTTTCCCTTTCCCAATTAGAAAATAGAAAATTATCCACCAAACAATAACAAGCACATTATAAATTCCATAAACCAATGGATTTATGTGGAAACAGATTTATTAAAAGTTAAGCTACAGTTGAAATCCTATAGCTAAAAATATGAAAAATCTAGCATTGCTCATGGTGTGATTCTCCGAAACCGTACCCACATCTAACAAACAAAGCAACTTTCAGAGAATCAATTGGCAGATCAGCTTTTAGTTATCTTAAAACTTTTCATCCATGCTTAGGTTTCCATCGAATTATACTTAATTTTTGTTTTTGGGTAAAAAAAAAAAAAAAACAATGGGAACTTAGTGTTTTTTATTAAGTGATTCTAATATAAGTATTTAATTGAGAAATAAAATAGTTTGAGCGTAAAATTGATATAAAAAGAGTTTGGGTGCAGAACTGATACTACCCAATAATGTGGGAGTATATTTGAGTTTAACCCTTCTTTCTTACTTACCTAAACCCTAAACCCTTCCTTGCGATAATCCCCTCCGCGGTCCTCGCTCGTTCTCCGTCTTTCTTTCTGTCTGTCCGAAATTTCATTTTCTTTGACATTTTTGCTTTTTGAAAAAATTAATGGTCAGTAGAAAGAAAAACCTGCAGCTGCTGCTTTCTCTTATACAAAGACGATGTCTTCAAACATCATCGTCTGCTGCTTCTATCCTTTCTCCTCTAACAGCATCTTCTCCACTTCCACCAACCACCACCACCACCACCAATTCGTCGTCTTCGTCGTCATTTTCTGTTCATTTCCTCGTGAATTCATGTGGGCTTTCCTCAAAATCTGCCCTTTCAGTTTCCCATAAGTTCCAACTCCACCAAAATAAGCTCCGAAACCCAAAATCTGTGCTCCTCTTCTTGAAACATCACGAATTCGAGGACACCCACATCGCCCAATTAATCGAAAGGCGTCCCCAAATCCTCCATAGCGGAGTAGAAGACACTTTGAAGCCCAAATTCGACTTCTTCGTTAAAAGCGGTTTTACGGGTAAGCTTCTGCCTCAACTTATCGTCTCTGATCCGAACATTTTGTCCGCGGCTTTAGATTCTCATATTGAGCCATGTTTTGAACTTCTCAAGTCATTTCTTGGCAGTCCTGACAAAATTATAGTTGCTCTTAAGCGTGCTCCTTTTTTATTGTCCTTCAGTTTCAAGGGTGCTGTGCGACCAAATATTGAGTTGTTGATAAAAGAGGGAATGCCTGTTGACAGGGTCGCAAAGCTGATAAGTTCGCATGCAAGAGTGATACTAGTTAAGCGTGATAGGATGGCTTATGCAGTGAATTTTGTGAAGAATTTGGGTGTTGAACCCAAGGCTCCTATGTTTCTACATGCTGTTAAGGTGATGTTATCCGTAAGTAAGTCGAATTGGAAGGAAAAAAATGAGGTTATGAAGAGCATTGGATGGAGCGAAGAGGAGATATTTGCGGCTTTTAAGCGATGCCCTTATTTATTAGCATGTTCAGAGGAGAAAATCAGGAGATCGTTTGATTTCTTTGTGAATACCTTGAAGTTAGAACCACAAGCTATAATTACATGTCCTGAGTATTTGACATATTCGGTTGATAGAAGGCTTCGTCCCAGGCATAATGTTTTGAAGGTTTTGGTGTCAGAGAAGTTGGTTAAAGAAGACACGAAGATTGTGAGCTGCCTAACCCGCATTAGTAATAAAGAGTTCCTGGAAAAGTATGTTACTAAATATGCAGACAAGGTGACAGGTTTGTTGGAGATCTATGGTGGTGCCAGCAAGGCAAAAAAGATAGAACTTGATGGCAGACAAGTGAGTTTACTTCTTTAATGCTGTATAATATACATACCATTAGTCTGAATTGATTTTCCTTAGCTCCTGAATCAAGAGTCATTTTTTCTTTGCTTATTCCAGTTTTGTCGTGGCTATATTTTCAAATTGTGCAGCCCATGGTTACATCTTATATGGGCCAAACCTGGCTATGTATTTTATTAGTGTGGCCAAGCTATTCAACGATGCTAGGAAAAAGCTTGCCTAAGTTTCCTCAGTTGGCGGGATATTGTGACTTCAAGAAAAATCCTACTTTTATCCTTTTTATTTTAAAGCAAATAATTTGGTAACTTTTGGAGTAAGACAGTTATGAACTTAATTTTGGATAAAAAAGTCATCATTCACTGCAACAATTGGGCAGAACTGTGATAAAAATACAGTAGAGTTCAGACACTCTCAGAAGATGCACCTCCGTCCATTACATTTTTGACAGCCTTCATCAGGTGCCATTGGTCTATGCAAATATTTGTTTCCTTCATGATTGAAATTAACACCAAGTTAAAAGGTCTGAATCTGCATTCTTTCCACATAATGATTTCTGGTATTCCTCTTGTTGTGTGTTTATGGTGTGCAATTAGTAAATGAGACTAGTGGTCAACCACCATTAACTGGGTTCCTGCCATATGCATCTTACTCGAATTTAGAAGATTAATACTGAAGAGGAACCACCACTGTACTTCTTTGGGTGGTCATATTTATGGCGAGAAATTATTAGCCTCATGAAATCAGTTCTCTTTATTAAAATAGCAGCAGTAATTAGCATGGCTAAATTTATTCATTGTTATGCTTCGTTTTCTAACTAAAATTTCAGTTCTTCGTGCCCAATTGTACAAATTTTTGCACTGGTAGATCTCTCAGCAGTTTAGCAAATTGGTCAGTCCCTAGGTAATAATCCTAGCCCCCCAGGGGACTAGGGTTTGTTTGTGTGCACGTGCACGTGCTCTCTCTTTTACCTTCCAATCTATTCTATTTATCAGATGGTTAAATTGTTCGGATACGGCATTGTAGATTTTGCCACTGCTAACGTTGGGAGTTCTTTCTCTCGAAGTGGTTTAGTGTTGTCCATTGTTATTAAGTTTCTTGTAGGTTAAATTGTGTTCTCTCATGCTCAGTTTCACTGAATTGGCAGGAGCCGGGTGTTGCAGTTTCATTGGATTCTTTATGACTCTTATGCCACTTACCATTTCTGTCCATATCTTAAGGCCGTTGACATTGTGTGTCTGTAGTTGTTTGTTTTTTGACTAGAGGAAATCCAGAGATAGCTCTGTCTAGATTCTAGAATTCAGTGCCTTTTACCTTCAGCATAATTTTGAGCCTATATCATTTGGAAGAAGCTAAGCTAAGTGATCTCTGCTTGCCTCTACTTAGGTAAAGAAAGAAATTTAAGAATGACACTCAGCCTAACGGTCCTGTACTTGAAAGAAATGCAGCAACCATGGTGCAACTGCTGCCGTTGAGGAAGTTCTTGTTTGGGACATCATTCATTCTGTTCAGCTTAGACTATTGGAACTTGGAATTTGCGGAAGCTCTTGTGATAGAATTTTTCAACTAACAAAAAGCAGTTTAGTTCTACATTTTTATGGGCCGCCCTCAATTAGGTGCTATCACTAGAACTATCCACAGCAAGTCTGGAGGAGGTTTGTATTTCAGATAATAGCTGCCTCATTCGTGTGTTATAGAATAACCAAGTCAGATGCTTAATTTGACACTTCTAAATTCTGATGCAAGGATGTGATGAATTAGAACGCAGGTGGGACATTTGATATAGATGCAAACAATAACACAAGGGAATTGTCAATGAGATTCTACACCAAACCAGTAATGGATACATATCCACTAATCGCAGATTGTTTTCTCCATATGAAGTATCGAAAATGGACAACCCTTCAAAATGGTAACGCTGAGGATTCGGTTCCCCTACAAAACGTAGAGCAGAAAATATGATTTAATCAAGATATTCCTTTGCATATATACGTAGCAGATAAAAGATTTCTTGTAATAACAATAATAAAACAAAGTAAACCTCTTTCTGAAAGCAACCTCCTCCCGGGCAGACAGTATGCTTGCTCTTCCTATCTTGTAGTTTATTTGATATTTCGTAAGTGACAAAGCAATATCTTGTTTTCTCTTTCCATCCTCTAGCATTTTTATGTACCTCTCCTCCATAGGGCCTTTTATCATGAACAGAAACTGGAACAAAAGCATGAGGAGTTAATGGTTCCAGACAAACTTCACATAACCAAAGAAGTTAAGCTGATTCTTTCAATCGGAAAATATCTTCCTAACTGAACTTTAATAGCCACAAAATGTAAGCTGATGAAACATCATGCACTTTCTAATAAAATTCTGCAATAATTTTTGAACATTTAAGGACTCTTCATCCTTTTCTCTCAAATTACATTCAATTAATACTTGAGAGATCATTAATTTTATACACATAGATGTCTTTTGCTGCATCTGCCTCTCTAATGAAAATCTGCTAGAAACTTAAAGGTGCAGAACTAATTAAAAAGATTGCTGTTATATATATATAGAGAGAGAGAGAGAGCAACTACTAATCTGTATATGTCTGGAAAGCATAACTAGGATATGGAAGTCCTGAACTTCGATAGTAATCAACTTCCTTTGGTACAACATACATGGGATCATTTTCCGGAACTGGAATTCCACACTGCAAGCAAAGGGCAGAGTTACAGTGCACAGAGCGCGTTCTAAAGAAGATTCACCATAAAGTTGAATGCTGAATAAAGAAAGGCTAAAAAATAAATACAAAAATTTTCACATAGAATTCTATCCCGGAATTGAAATCTTGCATCAAATACTACAACTAAGCAGGAGATATACTCAAAATTGAAAAGAACTCAGAAAGAAACGACTCATATAAATTAAGGCACAAAGAGACCTAAAGAGTAACGAGAAACACAAAGAAAGAAATCTTACCAGGCATCGCGAGCAGAACCGAAGTAATAAGAAGCCATACCATAGTTGCCTAGAGTGAAGGAGAGTGATACTTGCTCCATGAAACAGGTGAAATCTTGATCAGATAACCTTCTACGTTGCTATTTAATCCATTATTGAGGCAAATAAGATGAAATAAAGAAACTAGTAAAGATTTTCTTGAAAGAGTAACGAACAGAGGAAGAAAGAAGATATTTCAGAATGAAGTAGTTATAAAGAGGATTCTGGGCGGGAACAGTTTCGGATGCAAGTAGCGTGTAAAGCCCAGCCCATAAAAATCTGGGTTCCAGATTTTGGGCTCACTTATCTTGAATTATTACTCAAGGGCCAGTTTAAGAGATAGGCCGAAAGTAACAAAAAAAAAAAAAAAAAAACCCAAATTTGAGGTTCATGTTCACGGATAGAATAAGCCTTTCTCGTTATATAATTATCATGTAGACATAATTCCTGCAAGCTTATTGGTGATGATATATAATGGTTTTAGCAAGATAAAAAACATAGATACATGATACCAAATGCACATTATTCGATCATAGTTATATTTATAAAAGAAGATATGATTTTTTTTAAAAAAAATTATTAAAATAAGAAACAACAATTTCATGTAAGTTTATTTCTATTGTGCTCCATGTAATAATAGTCTAATCTAATCTCGAATTGCTCTAGATTCTCTTGTACCAATTTATATAAATTTCTAATCTTACTGTTTGAATACGGTGAATTTATTTTTCTTTTCTTTCCTTCTATCTATAATATTTTTTTAAAAAATTAAATATATAGTTTAGGACTCGTTAATTAATTTTTCCAATCTACAGGTACTAAGTTATAATTAACTCAAACTAATAAAAGGGTTCGAATGCACTCCAATTAAATCCAACCCATTTTGGGACACTATAGCTTGTGGATCATCTTTGGGCCCATTAAAAGGGGGTTGGGGGGGGGGGGTGGCGCGGAGACAATAACCAACTGGGGTATATAGCTTGTATGCACCAAATAATTTTTTATATTAATTTTACTTTTAAATTCTTAAAAATTCTTAATTAAAGAATTTCTTTTATAATTAAAATTTTTCATCCATGTTTATGTTTCAATCAAATTATACTTAATTTTTGTTTTTGGGTAAAAAACAATGGGAACTTGATGTTTTTTATTAAGTGATTCTAATATAAGTATTTAATTGAGAAATAAAATAGATTGAGGGTGACATTGATATAAAAATAGTTTGGGTGCAAAACTGATACTACCCAATAATGTGGGAGTATATTTGAGTTTAACCCTTCTTTCTTACTTACCTAAACCCTAAACCCTTCCTTGTGATTGTCCCTTCCGCGGTCCTCGCTCAGTTCTCCGTCTTTCTTTTTCTCTGTCCGAAATTTCATTTTCTTTAAAAGGCATTTTTGCTTTTTGAAAAAAATAATGGCCAGTAGAAAGAAAAACCTGCAGCAGCTGCTTTCTCTTATACAAAGACGATGTCTCCAAACATCATCATCGTCTGCCGGTTCTAAACTTTCTCCTCTAACAGCATCTTCTCCACTTCCACCAACCACCACCACCACCAATTCATCGTCGTCGTCGTCATTTTCTGTTCATTTCCTCATGAATTCATGTGGGCTTTCCTCAAAATCTGCCCTTTCAGTTTCCCACAAGTTCCAACTCCACCAAAATAAGCTCCGAAACCCAAAATCTGTGCTCTTCTTCTTGAAACATCACGAATTCGAGGACACCAACATCGCCCAATTAATCGAAAGGCTACCCCAAATCCTCCATAGCGGAGTAGAAGACACTTTGAAGCCCAAATTCGACTTCTTCGTTAAAAGCGGTTTTACGGGTAAGCTTCTGCCTCAACTTATCGTATCTGATCCGAAGATTTTGTCAACGGCTTTAGATTCTCATATTAGGCCATGTTTTGAACTTCTCAAGTCAATTCTTGGCGGTCCTGACAAAATTATAGTTGCTCTTAAGCGTGCTCCTTTTTTATTGTCCTTTAGTTTCAAGGGTGCCGTGCGACCAAATATTGAGTTGTTGATAAAAGAGGGAATGCCTGTTGACAGGGTCGCAAAGCTGATAAGTTCGCATGCAAGAGTGATACTAGTTAAGCATGATAGGATGGCTTATGCAGTGAATGTTGTGAAGAATTTGGGTGTTGAACCCAAGGCTCCTACGTTTCTACATGCTCTTAAGGTGATGTTATCCGTAAGTAAGCCGAATTGGAAGAAGAAAATTGAGGTTATGAAGAGCATTGGATGGAGCGAAGAGGAGATATTTGTGGCTTTTAAGCGATGCCCTTATTTATTAGCATGTTCAGAGGAGAAAATCAGGAGATCTTTTGAATTCTTTGTGAATACATTAAAGTTAGAACCACAAGCTATAATTGCATGTCCTGAGTATTTTGCATATTCGGTTGATAGAAGGCTTCGTCCCAGGCATAATGTTTTGAAGGTTTTGGTGTCAGAGAAGCTGGTTAAAGAAGACGAGAAGATTGTGCGGTGCCTAACCCGCATTAGTAATGAAGAGTTCCTGGAAAAGTATGTTACTAAATATGCAGACAGGGTGACTGGTTTGTTGGAGATATATGGTGGTACCAGCAAGGCAAAAAAGATAGAACTTGATGGCAGACAAGTGAGTTTACTTCTTTAATGCTGTATAATATACATACCATTAATCTAAATTGGTTTTCCTTAGCTCCTGAATTAAGAGGTTTTTTTTTTCTTCGCTTATTCCAGTTTTTCCGTGGCTATATTTCAAATTGTGCTGCCCATGGTTACACCTTATATGGGTCAAATCTGGCTACGCATTTTATTAGTGTAGCTTATTCCACGATGCTAAGGAAAAAGGTTGCCTAGGTTTCCTCTGTTGGTGGGATATTGTGACTTAAAGAAGAATCCTAGCTTTTACCCTTTTTCCCTGTATTGTAAGCAAATAATTTGGTACCTTTTGGAGTAAGACAGTTATGAATTTAATTTTGGATAAAGTCATCATTTATTGCAACAATTGGGCAGAACTGTGATAAAATACATTAGAGTTCAGACCCTCTGAGAAGATGCACCTCCATCCATTACTTTTTTGACAGCCTTTATCAGATGTCTTTGGTCTAGGCAAATATTTGGTTCCTTCATGATTGAAATCAACACAAGTTAAAAGGTCTGAATCTGCATTCTTTCCACATAATGATTTCTGGTATTCCTCTTGTTATGTGTGTATGGTGTGCAATTAGCAAATGAGACTAGTGGTCAACCACCATTAACCGGGTTCTTGCCATATGCATCTTACTCGAATGTAGAAGATTAATGCTGAAGAGGAACCACCACTGTAGTTCTTTGGGTGGTCATATATACGATGAGAAATTATTAGCTTCGTGAAATCTGTTCCCTTTATTAAAATAGTAGCAGTAATTAACGTGGGTAAAATTATTCATTGTTATGCTTTGTTTTCTACCTAAAATTTGAGTTCTTAGTGCCCAGTTGTACAAATTTTTGCATTGGTAGATCTCTCAGCAGTTTAGCAAATTGGTCAGTCCCAAGGTAATAATCCTGGCCACCCAGAGGATTAGGGTTTGTTTTTGTGTGTGTGTGTGTGTGTGTGTGTGTGCAGTGCTCTCTCTTTTATCTTCCAATCTATTTCATTTAGCAGATGGTTAAATTGTTCAGATATGGCATTGTAGATTTTGGCACTGATAACGTTGGGAGTTGTTTCTCTCGAAGTGATTTCGTTTAGTCCATTGTTATTTAAGTTTGTCGTGGGTTAAATTATGTTGTCTCTCATGCTCTGTTTCATTGAATTGGCAGGAGGCGGGTGTTGCAGTTTCATTGGATTCTCTATGACTCTTATGCCACTTACCATTTCTGTCCACATCTTAAGGCCGTTGACATTGTGTCTCCATAAGCAGTTGACAAGCTCCGTGGTCTGTTTTTAGACTTGAGGAATTCCAGAGATGGCTCTTTGCCTAGAATTCACCGCCTTTTACCTTCAGCATAATTTTGAGCCTAGATTGTTTGCAATAAGCTAAGCTACGTGACTTCTGCTTGCCTTTTTTTTATGTAAAGAAGGAAATTTCAGAATGGCACTCAGCCTGTCTGTCCTGTATTTGATACAAAAGCAGCAACCATGGTGCAACTGCTGCTGTTGAGGAAGATCTTGTTGGGGAATTCATTCATTCTGTTCAATGTATTTTATACACACAAAAAAGATACGATGCAAATCAAGACAAATTCAATTTCCCAACCACTAGCTATGGACCGGTGTTCGAATTACGAGACTGGAAAGTGAATCAATACATTCCACCAACAGGCATTTTATGCCCGCCTTTTCTAGATTAGGTTATCACAGCCTACTAGCATGCTAAAAGATAATATAATTGCTGCGAGCGTTTCAAATATAATGGATCAGTGAAACAAACATAATGAAGATTTGCGATCAATCTGAGCAGAGCAAATGTGGCAAAAAGATAAAGATTTGACAAAGATGAAATGTTCTAATTCTGAGCAACAAATCCTCTCTCGCTACAGCACACATCCTAATTCTCAAATTGTGAAAAACACATCTCCAAGGATACTTGGGTTTCCATTGACGGTGAGTGTCACCCCTTCCTTTTTGTCATCGAAGTGCGCCGTTCAGCTTCTCTCTCTGCTACCAAAACATGGAACTCTGACCCAAGCATCTCATCTATTCCAAGATTCAGTGTGCTACTCAAGTTTATAGTCTCCTGTATCACTTCTAAAGTTAAATTAAACCCTAAAGTTGACAATACGCGGATAGCATTTGCAATCCGACATATGCTCCGCCTTGTCTCTAGCGGCATGTCTTTGGAAGTCATATTGGATTTGGTGGATGGTTGTTCGGTATCGTTTAGTTGATCCTCTACAATACTGTCCCTGGCCTCGAAATGTTCACCAACCCAAACAAACCCATTACATCCAAGTATCAGATCCACTCCATACTGTTCCAAATGATGGAAATGATGTTTTTGTCTTTTCACAAGATAGGGAGGAATTGTGAGCAACTGACCCTTCTCAAGCTGTCATGCATAAAAAATATTTACTATCAACAAGAATGATACATAATGGCCAAAGATAACAACAACAACTATGATGAATTTTGACTTCCACAAAGGTATTGATCAATGATAAAGGAATTGGTAGCATTTGTAACAACATTTTCAGGAAAAAAAAAAACAAATCAGCCAACAATATTAGCATGTTGAGTTAAAACCCAAACACATCCAAAGTGCCAATTATTTTTTTCTTTTTCTCTTTTTATCTTGTTAAAATCGTCCTACTTACACAGGCCTATGACAGATATCCTTTTGGGAATAAAAAGTATCATTAACATGAATTCTATCTTTAGAGCCAACATTATTAGGATTTTCAGCCTCTCTTTTTTTTTTTTTTTGGCCCCATCCTTATGTTGAATTACTTTGAGCTTAGTTGTAAATTTCTATTTGAATGACTAGTTCAAGTGGCATCTTAAAGGACGCAATTGTAGTAACCTTCAATTTGCAATTCTTTATAATGAACATAAAAGGAAAAGCTTGTCAACCCAGAAAAGCACAATGAAGCAATTTGGATGTAATCAAACCTTTCCATACTTCTGACTTCTTGCTTGCAGTTGTAAGCTACCATCATTCTGAAAATTACGGACTTCAGCCTGAAAATGATAAACCAAATGTTACTCATAACATTTACATTGCATTTGCTTGGTCTTTTTGGTGCAACATTAGACAGTCACAAAATAGTATGCAGAAAAATTACTAATGTGTGGTAGTGGACTTACACACACAACATCATTCTCCACAAAAATAGTGCGCATGTTGAGTTCATCCACCGCAGTTCGCCGCCTCTAGTAATCGAAGACATTGAAGGCACAATTATTAGCGAAGCAGGAAACCATTTCAGTTCCTAAATATAAACAGATAAGACAGACATTCCCTGTTTCAAAATTGCATTCCATCCAGAATTCCAGCAAAAATATTTTAGGATCAAGGACGTGTAGATATGCAAGGGCCAATGCATGGTGCAATAGTCTTGGGCATGGAGGCAAGAGGTTGCAGGTTTGAGCCTTTGAGAGTAAGAGTAGCCATTTCATCCAAAACAAAAGGGGCAAAATGGTAGGACTGTTCTCGAAATTTCCTTTCCAGGGATAGCATAACAGAGACATTGTATTACAGAACAAAGTTATATTGTACAATTCTCATCGCATGTCTCTCCCTCATCAAACTCAACATGCAGGAGGTATAATCCGACATAAAGCCATGAGAGCAACAGGCCCTTCAAATTTATAAGCAAGCTTTGACAAAACCAAAATAGGCAGTCAACCAGTGAGGAATTTCCATTGGTTTCCAACACAATCCATTATCACAATTGAACAAAAGATATGCAGAGGAAGCTGCAGTTCTTCCTTCTGTTTGCTAAATACCCGATTCCTGAAACTTCTGAAATAGCAAACTAATTTAAACAAGAATTCCCTTTCCCCTCCCTTTCAATCATCCAAAGATGCAATTATAATGCACATGAAATCATGCAAGTACCGATTCTCTAATGTTCTCAACATTGGCTTTAAGGTCTAAGCTAATTATATAGCAAGAACAAATGACTAAGTAAATCAAAACACAAAACCAGTAGCAACGCTATGCAGTTAAAAGAAGCATACTGAAATAGAGAGTAGATACCTGAATCCCATCAGGCAAATTCATTGAAGAAAGCATCAAAACAGCATCTTGGCTGAAATTAATTTCCAATTTCCAACGCTTCTGAGCAACCTGAAAAACATTGATTTTTCATAAGAATTGAGAAAAAAAAAACACACACACACACACACACACACACACACACCCATAAGACACATGAAAGAAAGAAGATTTTTTTTCCAATCTTTTAATACCTCAACAACACGCCCAACTATAATATCTCCAATCTCTGGCTTATACCTAACAGTCAGCCATAAGTAAGGAATAAGAATTTTATTTTATCACTACAAAACAAGGAAGAACTGAGTGATATAATTACCTGGCGCGTAAAGTGCGAACGTAGACTAATTTGTTAACACGCTCCACCACTCCACAGAGTGTCGCCACCACGTCACCGTCGCGCTCGGAGGTGCCATGACCCCTTCATTAAATCAAAAGTAAGCTAGCTGCTTTAACTGAACGTGAAATAAGAAAAGGGGAAAAAGAAAGAAATGCGTACTTGAGAATGGTGTCTTCATAGCTAATGGGGATGGTATCAGCGACGGTTACAGAAGTATTGGAGTTGGCTTTAGAATACAATGACTCTAGCTGTTGCAGAGCTCTCTGTAACCTTATCTTTTGCGTTTGATTCAATGATACCTCTATCCCTCTCATTTCTCTCTGTCTCTACTCTCTCCCTAATTAAACCCAACTACCAAATTGGATCCCCTCGCCGCCGCTGTTTCTGAGAAAGAAAGTTGGCCTTGATTGGGTGAAGAGAGCGCTGTGGGAGGCTGCTGCTCTCTCTGTTTCTATAAACGAGAGGTTGTAGCCGACCCCAAGTTTTGTGCTAGACAAAAATTCAGTCCTCAAACTTCAAATTCAGAATTGTATTATTAGTCTTCTATTTTTCTTCTTATTATTATTTCCTCATTTTTGGATAATTTCCATTTTTATGAAATGTAACGAGCACGTAATAAATCTAGTTCACGGAAGCAAACTGCCGTTATCAATTGGGGTGATTTTTATAAAATTGGGTTAAATTGAACAAAAATAAATAACTAGGGGCATATTAATTTTATTTACAACTTTAGGGGGTAAAATAGGACTTTTCTCTAAAGTAAAACACTTCCCTTTTTTTATGGTCTATTTTTCCTGTTTAAATCCTATCTTTCGCTCTCTGTTTCTACGATACTTAAAAACGTGAATCTCACTGTAACGACAAAGAGAAGGTCTTGAAGCTCTGCTAAACGATCCCGAGTTCCGTTTTAGCGCATAAAGGTGTTTTTTTTTTTGTTATTTGATCGATTTGCTACTGGTTTTCTTCTTCTTCTTCTTGCTTAATTACAGTGAAATTTGAATTTTCTGTGCTAATATTCAAAGATTTAATAATTTTTGGGTTTCTGGGGTTCATTTTTTTCCCCCTCCCAACTTAATGACACTGTATTTAGCTATTTTCTTGGTAACCAATTAGAGAATTAGTGTAAAAGCTTGAAACTTTTATTGTATCCATTAATTAATTGCAAGTTTTAAAGTGGATATAGAAGAAATATTTAAAAGGTAATGGAAATAATATGCTGTTGTTGATTTGTTATTACTTATGTAGAATTAGTACAATGGAAGAGCAAGAAGAATTATTAGGAGGCAATGGTGCGGGCATTAGAGTTTCAGCATTCGATTATTCCATCGAGAATCACTTTCAAGCAATGGACATGATTTCTAAGCTTTGTGGAGAAACAGAGACTGATTCTGTAGAAGAAACTGAAATTCAGTGCTACAAGTCCTCAATCACTTTTTTAAGGTGATAATCTTTTTTGTGTATAAACTCTATTTTGATGGTTTGTTACTGTTATTGACTTCGTGTATAACTTGTGATTTTTATGCACATTTAGTGAATGGAAGCATTATAAGTACGACCCGAGAATAATTAGGTTTGCTAGTGAAACGGATAATTCTCAGGAGAAATGTGTTCTCAGTGGGATAAATCTACCGCAGTTCTCATCTGCAACTGTTCCTAAGGTACCGTAAGTGAAGGTCTGTCTTGTTTTTTCTTTTTTAATTGTATTTTAGTTTTTGTACACGACATGTAATTACAACATGTTTTTTACTTTGCGATCTGATTTAGGAGAGGCCAGATAGGGGTGCCACTTCTCTTGAATCCAGGTATAAATTTGGCCTTAGTTTTCTTTTGCAGCGGCTTTTTTCTTCTAGTTGATTGTGTTGCAGATTTTATTTTGACACTCTGGGTTATATATAAAAATATTAGTTTTAACATTCGGATTTCTTCTATAGCTTTGTCCATTGCTTCTTCATCCTTGATATGTGCATTTTCAAACCTCTCTCTTTCCATCTTTTTGCAGCAAAGACTTTGTGATGTATGTTGGAGGGTCTGTTTGGGCATTGGACTGGTGTCCTAGAGTTCATGAAAGGCCTGAGAATCATATTAAACGTGAGGTATTCTCTCCTCCACTTCTTAATGCCTTCACTTTTATGGTTGTGGTGTTGAATTCTTTAAATAAGCATTTGACCTCTTATTGATAGGATCACTTTTTTGTAGTTTGTTGCTATTTCTGCCCATCCTCCTGAATCTTACTATCACAAGATAGGTGTTCCACTTACTGGCAGAGGCATCATCCAGATATGGTGTGTTTTAAACGTTAGTGGGAATGAGGAGGCACCTCCGATGAAGAAACCAAAACTGGTAGCTCGATACAATGGATCCAAGATGGACAAATCAGTTGAATTAAATAGGCCAAAAGGAAGACCTAGAAAAATCCAGCAGAAGAATCATCCAGTAATGAAGCCATGAAGGCTTTAATTAAGAGGCCAAAAGGAAGACCCAGAAAAACGCCAACGGAAGAATCACCCAGTAATGAAGGCACAGAGGAGATTTTAGCTCTAGTTAAGAGGCCAAAAGGAAGACCTAGAAAACAGCCAACAGAAGAATCACCCAGTAATGAAGCCACAAAGGAGATTTTACCTCAGGGTAAGAGGCCAAGAGGACGACCTAAAAAGAACCCAACAAATGAATCTCTTGATAATTTGGATAGCAGTAACCAATACGTCCAAGCTCTCGCTGTTGAATACCCACAAGATTCACCTGGACTGCTTGCTATAGAAGGGATTTCTCAAAACAGCCAAGATGAGGCCAGAAAAATATCCAAGGTGGAAGAAAGAAAAAATTTCGTGAAAAAGCTATCTGCTTGTAATTCAAATCTTAAAACTACTGCACAAAGTAGAAGATTGAAAAGTAAGGCAAGGAAAGGAAGTAATTCTGATGATGTTGCATGTCCACTGTTATTGACTAGTAATGAAAATGATAATGTTTCTTTGGATATCAACTCTACTTCTTCGACTGTAAACTACCAAACACATGAGAATTCTGGACTCGATACTGCAATGCCAGCTTATGGTTCTGATAATGTTTCTTTGGATATCAACTCTACTTCTTCCATTCCAAAGGATGCTGATTTGCCAAGGGTTGTATTGTGCCTAGCTCACAATGGAAAAGTTGCATGGGATGTCAAATGGCGGCCTTGTAATGTATCTGATTCCAAATTCCACCATCGCATGGGCTATCTAGCTGTCTTGCTAGGAAATGGATCTTTGGTTGTGTAAGTCATCTTCTTCGTGTGGATTAGTGGGAGATAATATTCATAATAGGGAAGAATTGACATTCCTGTAATGACCGATAGTTCTAGCATTTTCAGATATGATTAATAGAAGGAATTGATCATATCCAATCATGTTGAATTATAAACTGAAGAATATAAATGCTGATGATTTCTTGGGAAACTGAAAGGAGACTATTACACTTGATTGCTGGAATGTTTCAAATTGAATAAATGCAAAAATAATGTTGTCATTTGAGCATGGGGTAATGGATGGGGGTTTGAGAAGTGATTAGGAAGCATTTAGCTTCATTTAACCCTTATTCCCTTTTTTTTTTTTTATTTGGCCCCTCAGTATGCCCATAATGAAACTCTTGCTATAAGGCTTCCAAATGCTAGGTGTTGCTTTTAAATTTAGGCATAAATTAATTATCAATGAGATACTGTCTCACAAGCCCTCCTATCAAATGCAGATGGGATGTTCCCCTCCCCCATGCTATGAAATCCGTTTACTCTTCCTCTAACAGAGAAGGCACAGATCCTCGCTTTGTAAAGCTAGAGCCAGTATTCAGATGTTCAACTCTGAAGTGTGGAGGTATACAGAGGTAACGCGGCTGTCATTTTCTATGCTCTTGATATTTGTATGAAATATGACTGGAATTTTAGGAGTTTAAGAATGCACTTTTTGGTTTTCTTTTTAACAGGGTTATCTGGTATGTAGCTTAGAATCCTCTGTTTGTAGACATTCTAACCTTGAGAGTTCACTTTCACATTGCATGATTTGGTTTGGAGTATCTGGTGGAAGTCAAGTGTACCCTTATACTGCGTTTGTATGAGTGGAGATAAGTGAATTCATTTTGCTAAAGGAGAACAAACAATAAAAGAACAAATGAAAGGACTGCCACTAAAGTATTTCCATCCTTGTCCATGTATGTCACATAGGGGAATTTGACATTAAGGGTTTTTTGGATTTTGAAGTGATGTGTACAGTTGAATGGAATGATTGGTGAAGATCTTTCGTCATTGAATTCCAAATTCACCTAACTCAGATTGTTGAAGAATTGTCATAAATTATAGAGCCTTTTGCTCATTGATCTTATTTTTTGCAGTGTGCTTTATTATTATTTTGTTTCTAAATACTCTTTTTTAAATTCCTATACAGCATCCCTTTGACAGTAGAGTGGTCAACTTCATACCCACACGATTACCTACTTGCTGGATGCCATGATGGAACGGTAATATATCAATATTCTTGTTGTTTCTGCTGTTATTAATTTAATTGTCTGCCGGGTAAAGTCTGATCATATCGTGGCCTTCATCACCTCATTTTCAGGTTGCTTTGTGGAAATTCTCTCCAAGTTGCACATCTGGTGGTAATAACTAATGAGTCTAATTACTTTCGTGTTCTAGTTCTGTCTGTGTGAACTGTGTGGATACATTTTATGTCATGGCTCTAGGTTTTTATAAATTGAATTTTGTTGGAGTTCTGATCTAAATTGATTGATGATTCCATTTTTTTCCATTGTTAATCTACAGATACAAGACCTTTGCTTTGTTTCAGTGCAGATACAGTTCCTATTAGAGCAATCGCATGGGTCCCATCTGAAAGGTTAGCGATGTCAGATGACTTTCTGTTGCTTTTATAGCTGTCTATTTGATTTATCCCTAATATTTTGATGCAAATTTTTTATTTTTAGTAATTAGATATGAAGATAAATAATCCTGCTACTTTGACAATGGTTCATCCCTTGCCTGTAAAATTTCCCTGTTATCTACAGTGATCCAGAAATGTAATCTCGTGTACAATGCTATTTTAACTGTAAAGAACTGCATGGAAACTTTCAAAATGTGTATTTCAAAGAAATTCTGCTGGCCAGAGTTTTTATTTCTTGTGCTTATAATTCAGAAATAAAATGTGCTGCCCTTAAACTTTTTTCCAGCGACCAAGAGAGTCCAAATCTTATACTCACTGCCGGACATTTGGGCCTAAAGTTTTGGGACATACGGTGAGTATAATTTTTTTTTTTTTTCACAATTACACTGCATTATTTTGATGTTACTGTTTGCATGTGGCATTTGATATACAAAATTACAAATGCATAATTGCTTAGATGCTCAATTTGCTTGAGATGGACTTATGAGTATGTGATTTTGTATGAAACTTTCAAGTATGTGATTTGAATGTTCAATAAACTACCATGACTCTCTTTTATCCTCGGCCTGTAGTAGACATACTGTAATGCACACCAGTACCACATACGCTGTAAGCTTTGGGGGACCAGACTGAAGACATAACTTGGTTTCAAGTTCAGAACCATTTTTCCTTAATGCTTGCACCAAATTTTCGTAAACTTTTGTGAGATAAGCTTATAGAGTAACAAGCCTCTGAAGTGGTGGGGCATAACCTTTTATGTCTGGAGTTATTAAAAACTCCTGTAAACAAAAATTGATATGCATCATGCAATCAGATTGATACATTTCCACGAATTTTGCATCAGTTTGATATTAGGATTTAGAGTTGAGCATCTTCATATGTCCTGATCAATCTCTGCATCATACTTGTCATCTTTATTTGTGGTTGGATTTTTTTGAGAGGCCCTTCTCTAATATCCACTTGTCCTCTAGGATTAAGAAAAACTGATGAGCAAACTTTGCGATGAGGGTGCCTCATTCTCTTCATTCATATATATAAACATCTACCTCTTGCTGGCTTCTCATCTCAACATTAATGGCCAGGAACTCATTTATAGGTGATAGAAAAAGACACCTGAGAGTTGAATTTATTTGATTAGCTTTCCATGTGGAATAGTTCTGCATATGGCAGTTGTATGTACCATGTAACATTGTTCTTCTTCCAGAGCGGGAGGAAGTTCTCACTCACTTTTTTACTGCAACTGTAGAATGGGGAGATCAATGCCCTCGAACTCACTTTTTTTTTTTTTTTTTTGTGGAAATATAATTGCTTTAGAACTAATTGCTAACCTGAATGATTGCAGTGATCCATTCCGACCTTTGTGGGACCTCCATCCAGCGCCAAAACTCATATATAGCTTGGATTGGCTGCCAGATCCAAGGTGTTGCATTATTTTCATTGAATGAATCACAGGTTGGGGATTTTATTGATAAGGTTATTAACTTATATTGAACCTTTAATTGTTTGCATTTTCAGATGTATACTTTTATCCTTTGATGATGGGACAATGAGACTCCTTAGCCTGGCAAAGGCTGCATATGATGCTGCTGTTAATGGAAAACCTTCTGTTGGACCAAAACAACTAGGGATGCACATTTTTAATTGTTCTTCCTTTGCTATCTGGAGTGTTCAGGTATCAAGGCTTACAGGTACTCTTGTGCTGTCATTTGCTTTATTATTAAAATAATGTGACTTCATTAATTGCTTAGTAAAATTGGGGGACAAAATGAAAGGTGTATATTGCATTTTCTTTCCTTTGGGTTTTAATCATCTTTCTTACAGCATTTGTGACCAAAGTTGCCTATGCAACGTTATTTCCTTGTTGCATCTTGGGTTCTGCTCTCTTTTATTAGGATGCTTTCTTCTACAAAACTACTGTCATTATCAATATTTTGATTGCCCCAATGCTTAGCAGCCCAACAGGCCGACATCAATGAAAGTTTTTAATAATTTATTGTTAATGCACAAATAAGGCCATCTCAAATATCCAACTGCTCAAATTACCTCCTCAGTAGTTATTTGATCCACTCTACCATTCTGTCTCTGTTGTTTGTAACAAATAAACCTGGTTGGAGGAAAAAGTGATCCCATGTGTCACCCAACTAGAGATATCCATTAAGCCCATGACTAGTAATCCCAGATGATTTTGAGAAAATTTTAGAACTAATGGAACGAAGTTCTAGTTTTGCAAATGTGCCATTTAATCCTCCAGTCAGGTCAACTCTACTGGAGAAACAGGTTCCCACTCAATGTCCTCCACTTGTCTTAAAAACTTTTATATAGCGATACATAGTAGCTTAGGTATTTCTTTGGTGGAATTGACAATCTATCTTCTATTGCATATAACTACAACTGGGTCAATTAAAAGGCTTCTTATTTTTTTTTTTTTTGTCCTTAATTCTATCAACTTTTCGATAATTCCATTTTATAATTGACAGGCATGGTTGCATATTGCAGCGCAGATGGTACTGTTTGCCGCTTCCAGGTAGTTGACTTCCCATTTTACAATATGATACTCCCTACGCCCCATGAAGAGAGTCCTATAGGACTTTTCACACAGAAAATGCATTAAATACTATGTCAGCGCATACAATTTTTATTGTATATATTATATTGTCCTTTAAAATTAAAACTGTAGTTGAACAAAAGAATGTAAGTTCAATTTTTTAAAAGGCGTAAATTAATAAAATTTGGTACTCAATTCTTTGACTTATTGGTAAGAGACATACATTTTGGGACATCTAAATAAGGAAAGGACTCTTTTTGTGGGACGGAGGGAGTATATTTCTCCAACATGGTACACTCCTACCTACATGACATCCATGTGACATCATATCATCCATCCGTGTGTCATTCAGGGGCCTACCCTCTTGCTCTCGTTAATGCTTGAGTGCTAAGATGGAGGAAACCATGTTTTATCCTTGAATCTAATTGGGCAGGAGTCTGGGAAATTGGTGTAAAAAAGAATTATTTAGTAGCATACCTGTTTTCATGTCTATTGGGATTGTGGATTGTTTTTTTCTGAATTTGTGCTTGGTTAGCTTTCATTTTAGTGAAAAATCCTTAATTTCTTGAGCATGCCTGCAAAATTTTGTTTGAATTACTTAGTTATATGAATGACATGAAGGATTGGGCATCACAATACACTCTTGATATGTCTTTGCATGAATAATTTAGGTAGATAACTAAAGTTTGTGTCTGACACTTGATGCTACTTTTCTAACAAACCATTAATTATATATGTGGATGCCCACGTCTGTATGTCCAAGCTGCTTCGGTGCATTTCCTAAAGCTTATAGTTTTGCTTTCATAATCAGCTCACAACCAAAGCAGTGGAGAAAGATCCAGCAAGACATAGGGCCCCACATTTTGCTTGTGGGTCACTGACTGAGGATGAATCAGCTATTATAGTTGGCACTCCATTACCAGATGCTCCTTTACCTTTGAAAAAGCCGGTTAACGATGTTGGGAACAATCCAAAATCCAAGCAGCCCTTGTCAATGTCAACCAAAGCTGCAAAAAATCCAACTTCAGATGATCAACCATTGGGTAAGTGTGAAATTTTCGCCTCTACATTCTCGTCAATACCTTTGCTTTCCTTCTCCCTTTTGATCATCAAGTTTGTCAAACTTGTTGCAGCTCTGTGCTATGGTGATGATCCAGGTATGGATCATGGATCAGATGAAACATTGACAGCTTCAAAAAGCAAAGAGAAACCAAAATCTAAAAGTGGCAGTAAGAAACAGGAAGGAGAGGATCAAGCATTGGTATGCATAGGTGACAAGCAAGACGACAAACAGAGAGAAAGTGGAAAGGAGGGAGCTGGGAATGTAATTGAAAGCATCCCTCCTAAAATTGTAGCAATGCATAGAGTTAGATGGAATATGAACAAAGGTAGTGAAAGATGGCTGTGCTCCGGAGGAGCAGCCGGAATCGTACGTTGTCAAGAAATCAAAATGTCTGATATGGATATATCCTTGGCTAGGAAGAGATAAAAGGCTGTAAAATGTTAATAAAATAATTTATGGAGATCTATTGTTAAATTTTAATCTCCCATAAACTATGTTATAATATTGAAGCATAAAACAATTGGCAATCCCTCACCAAAACGATAGGCCATTGGTGGAAAGAAAATCTGGTCGGCTATTGATCGGTTAAATGTCCAATTAGTCGGGAAATGAAAAGGTAATAAAATCAAGAATTCTTCATCATTTACTTGGTAGAATTTCTGAATGAATCCCTTGCTGGCAAAAGATAGGGAAATGCTCTTATAAAAAAATCGGTAAATAATCACTATTTCGTGGGGGACGACATTAAATCGGCAGTGACGCGAAATAACAATAACAAAATAAACTAAAAGAAAATGATAAAACACTGTAGCAGAAACTGTTCATTCTTTTTTTTTTGCTTTTTAAGTAGAAATTTTTTGAAAAAAAAACAAAAAATAGTAATAATTAAATAAAAAAATTGTTACATTTTGAAATGATTTTGTTCTATTTACTAATAACATTGCGTGAATAATTTTAAAAATTATTTTTTCTCATCGGCATTAAATCAAAAAAAATTTCATTTATTAATTTTTATTAAAATCTGTCCATTAATTGTAACGCTTTTAAGAATACAATATTATAAAAATTATATTTTTAAAGTTTTTTAATTTTTTATTAATATTTTAGTTAAAATTATTATAATTTTAATTTTAAAATTAATGCATAGAGAATAATGATTTTTTTAAGTAGATAATTTATAAAAACATTTAAAAAATTAATTAAATTAAATATTATAATTAAAAAAATAAAAATTTTAAAATAATTTTATTCTATCCGACCCAAGACATAGACATAGTGCGAGCAACCGGCTAGTAGCTACTACTTTCTTGCCTACCATCTACAAAAGTGCTGTCTCCTTGCCAAATGATCGCTAATTCCCCTGCATTTACTCGCTAACTAATCGGAGAAAAACTCGTAAATTTCTCGCCAACAAATCAGGAAAACTCCTGAATTTCTCTCCTATTAACTGCAAAAAGCTGGTCCAAATAATCGCCCGTTAATCAGGATTTTACATAAAAATATTGGGAAATACTCGGAAATTCCTGATCTATTCATCCGCAAACTCATTGATTCGTCGCCAAATAATGCTTCTTCTTTTTTTTTTTTTTTGCCGTTTACTCGCCAACTGCTCGGAAAAAACACGTAACAAATAAATCAGAACAATTCGTTGATTCCTTGCCAATAAATTGATAAATATTCATAATTTCATCGTTAATTAATTGGAATTCTTCATAAATTCATCAGAAAATACTCGTGCATTCCTTGCCAGTTTTTACCGAGTAATCGGAAAAAGCGCTTGCTATTTCCTCATCAAATAATCAGAATTACTGCAAAAATTTATCCGCAAATACTACCATATAGCATAAAGTAAGTTTCATAAATCACTTTTAACCTCTAAATTACATTATTAGTACTTCATTTTGACTATAAAAACTCTAAAAATGCTTTAAAAATTCCAATAACACCAATAATAATAAAACTTAAATTTTAAAATGAAATGGCAAATTAATTTTTTAATTATTCATATACATTCTAATAAACAATGAAAGTCTTTTTCTCTTTTTATTTAATATATTTTTGCAAGAAATACATGAAACTTTCTTATAACAAAATATAATATGAAAAATATATTTTCAATTTTTAACTATACGGGAAAATAAATTGGTACAAATTTTTTATTGATTATTATTTCTAAGAGATCTGATTATAAAAAGTCACACATGTGCATGCAACTGATGTATATGTATCCTAACCACTAATTATTTTATGTTTGTAGTTTTATTTCAATGCAACTAAAATTTATTTATATGTTTTAAAAATCAAATAAACTAAATTAATTAAAAATGTTCAAGCTTTATATAAAAATATTCATATTTAAAAAAAAAATTTCGATTTAATAGATATTAAAAATATTTACTTATAAATAATTCAAAATAACCTATTAGAGATTACAAAATAATCACATAACACACATGAGGAACACATTCCAAAAACCTAGTAAATAAAAAAATATAAAAAAAATATTTGAAATTATAATACTGAAAAAGTATCAAAATTTCTTTTAAATTATTTCAGGAAAAAATTTAAATAAAGAAAGAAAGTAAAAAATCTATTTTTAATTATAAATACTGAAAAATATATAAAACAAATTATTTTTAATTTTTTCAACAAAATTATAAATAACTTAATAAACACACACATATATATATATATATAAACTCTGTTCTTTTACTGAAAATATCATAACTAAAGAATTTTTTAAAAGATTTTTTAATATTTTTAAATTTTTTCTTTATTGATAATTTTTTTTTACTTAAAAGAAAGTTTTGCCTCTAAATTAAATTTTATACACGTGTCAGTTTCAAGTATGTTATAGATCCTAACCTAACGATGGTTTGTTGTTTGCTTAACCTAAAAACAAATTGAGTCAAAAAAAATATAGTTAAGGGACATAATAAATCAAAACAATAGTACAGGGACAAATTAAAACAAATCAATACAATACAAGGACAATTTGGTGCTTTAACAACAATCGAAACTCTCAAAAACGTTTTTACAGTTTCACGAGATTATTTGGTTTGGTGGCGAACATTTTATTTTTAAACAAATTGCAATACAACTTTTTCATTATCGCATTTCTTTTATTTCATGATTGAGGATGTTGATCTCTCTCTCTCCCCCTTCTCATTCTCTTTAGACAAAAAAATGTTTTGGCCTTATGGCTCTTTTTTTTTTTTTTGTTTGTAGTAATAACGAAGTAAATTGAAAGATTTTTTTATTTTTGAGTATAAGAATGGATGTACAGGAGATTTTAAAATTGGATTTTGAACATAAAAATCTTAATTATATTCTTGTATTAATTTTCTTTTATAATAAAAAGTTACTCTCGAGTCTGCAAACAAGGCAAAATTTTACCGAACTAAGTTAAATTTTATACATCTACTCTTTATTCATCTCGTTATTTTTCTTTTTATTGAATTGATCTGATTCAAGGTAGTGTGTTGAATCTTCGGTTCTTAATTTTCCTACAAACTAGTATTAAAACTTTATTTTAAAAAATTCAATTTTAATTTTCCTACGAACTAGTATCAAAACTTCATTTTATAAAATTCAATTTTTGAGCACGAATAGTCTACTATAGAAGATTCAGCTCTTAATCACAACCAATCCCTGCACAGGACAAATTTTAAATTTATCATGAAACAATTTAAGAAAAATAGAAGTTTTACTCTTAGCAACAATGGATGAAAGACATCGTTGTTCAACAAAATTTGACTAAAACATTGAAGGAAAAAAATGAAAAACTAGACGAAATAGATGAACACGAGTGGGAGTTAGAATCAAAATGTGTGAATACAATTGGATTCTATATTGCTGATAACATTATCAATATTTATTTCGATGATTAAAAACATATAACAAGAGTCAATGGTGCAGCTAACTTATTCTTAGTTATTATATATATATATATATATTGTAAATTAGTCATCTGATCCAAGATAATGTCGTACGATGTTAGAGACATGCAGAGGGAGAACAAAGAGTTGAAGGGCAAAATGCATTTCAAATGGTGGATTAACCAACAAAATAAATTTAACATCTAAAATCCATGCAAGGATATTTAAAATAAAACTAGAGCCAATGGACATAATGGCTCTTGACATACCATAACAAAATTTCTTCGAAGGGCAAAACTGATCAGATGAAACAAAGCCGATCACATTGGCGATGGCATGCTAATGATTTGCCCGATGGTGTTATGTAAAAGATGGATCCATTGAAGATGTTCCTAAGATAGATTGAACATCTGCACTGGCCAACTGTGTTTCTGTCCATCAAGACTAACTCCAGAAGTTTCAATTGAAATGTCGATGCTGCGGTGTTCGACAGCACGGGCAATGCTGATGCGTAAATGAACTCTTGCAGCAGGACATGTATCTGTGCCAACTGCAGCAGATTTGTCAACAGAGAGTTTTCCTGATGCCATTGCTATTGGCTCCCGGAAGGTGAAAATTGTTTGCGACCAATGTGTTTTGGGAGTGTATGGCGATGTAGACAAAACAGATGGAGTTTCTTTGCAGAACCTCAGAGTAAAACCAGTATCAAACCACAACACAACACCATAGCACCAGGTCGTTTTAGATGTCAATTCAGTGGAGTTGAGCAGTCCGTTTGCCAGACTGCTCAACTTTGGTTCCAGCTCAATGCTTGCAGTGAAATCCACTTCATCAGGCTTCATGGTTGCCAAGTCAAAAGTCTGAAGAAGAGAAATCACTATGCATTCATTAAACCAAACCATGGTATGCAACATAAATCTAAGCAAGCAGCGAAAACAATGAGAGAACTCCCCTTGGAAATGATCAGACCACTGGCAAAATTAGAAGTTTAGGCATCTTTCCAAATTCATAAAGTTGTGAAGATTTAAAAATATGTTCAACATGGGAGGAAGTCCCATTAATTTAAAAAATTGAGGAAAAAGAAAACAGAACTTTTTGTGATGTTTGGTGACTTAAATACAAAACAAAGGTTTGAAAAAGTTCAACAAAACTAACACCTCATTTGAGAATTTTTAGAATGAGTGATAATTTGGCACCATCCATTAGCTACAATTACCGATTTATCGACCCCTCATCATCATGACCTTCCCATAAATACAAGCAGGAGACCTGTTTTCTACACTAAAAAATCACAGGGATAAAAAATCTTACATCTGTTTGCAAAGATCTTTCATCCCTGGCTATGCAAGATTGAGAATCACATACCCTAAGATTGCAGATCTAGATAAGCAACTGTAGAAAGATAAAATATATAACTAACCTGGAGAAGTACAGCATCAGTCACTAAATCCTTCTCATCCACAATATCAACGATAGGAAATTTAGCAGCATCCTGAACAAGTTCCTTGCCAACAGAAGACATATTGAAACCATAAACCTCTTCCCAAAATGGAAGACTAGTACCACCTCTTCCAAACCCAGCAGCATACTGAAGAAGTCAGTGCAGAAGGAGATAGAGATTAGTTTGGACTATAACCCCAGATCAACATCTGACAATCAGTTGGGAAAAAAGAAAAGTTTTAAGAACTCACAATACTTGCTGTGTCAGGGAGGATGGCACCCCCAGGCTTCAACCATTTATCTCTGGCAAAAAGCACTGAGCTCAGCATTGTCTCGTAAAGCAGGCAGTATCCCATCCACTCACTTAATAATACATCGACACTATGTGGTTCAATTTGTATGGATTTATCGATCTCTTCAACCATACCTTGAACTACCTCCATTACTCCAGTGTACCGGTCATTGCCTTCAGTGCAACGCCAAAGCCCATTTTCTTTTGCAATCTATAATTATGCATACCAAAGGAATGAGGAACAAGGAACTAGAAGTGGAAATGAAGGATTGAACTTAATTATACAAAGGAAAACATACCTGAGTTGCCACTGCAGCCATCTTCTCACTGGCTTCAACTGCAATTACTCTTGAAGCCCCTGCTTTGGCAGCAAAGAGACTGTAAAAAGAGAGACAAAACAAAAAACAAGTTTCACATAGATCCTAATGTACTCTAAATGTTTATAAGAGATCATTGAATACAAGGGTGTACTGTTCCAATCATTCATATATAGTATAGAGAAACATTGACAAGGTAGCCACCCACATGGTCAAAGATATTTGCTGGCAAGCCCAGCAAGGATAGCTTCTTCTACTCTTTTCAAGGTGCTGGTGAAATCAGATATGGGGTTTTGCAAGTGCTGGATAGACCAATTTGTGGCCAAAAAAATCTTAAAAACTGTAGCAGTTTCATGCTTTAAACTCCTAATCCCTATGGAAATTGGATTTAATTGAACAATTCTAGCACCACTTGCTAAGTTCACTAACATAGCAAAGGCCAATGCCAGTTCACTGGCAAAGCTAGCCAGCAACCTTCAAAGGCCAAAGCATACAGTATTGCACCAAAGTAGCATTTTAATGTATTAAGCCCTTTCATTTTGTTAATTTTGAGTAAGGAGGTGGTAGGAGAAGCTCATGATGTTGCGAGAGAACTTTTCTTAAGCATAATGTAATAAATCATCTCATGAAATAGGTAGAGATCGCATTGAGACATGTTAGAAATCAAATCCAGAGAAAGATGGAGTTAAGGAATTTTTAGCTTAAAAAAAAAAAAAAAAAAACCCACATTTGTAACATGCACATGCATAAAGCATATACATCTATCCCAATGACTAGTGCAATATAAGGAGTGAAGCATTGAGTTTCAAGATTTTATCAATGGTCAAGCCTAGAACCTTCCACAAATGGCTCTAAGATAAACCAAAGATGCAAACAACATAAGATGAATAAGAGCATAGAAACAAGAACCACATTGCCACTGCCACCTCACCTTAATATGCCAGTTCCACAACCCACATCCATCACAACTGCACCAGTCATGAGAGAAGGGTTTTTCAAGATAGCTTGACCATAAGCATCCATCCTGACCTGCATAACAAGAATATAACAGTCTTGATACTAAATAGTGCTATTCAGAATCACCAATCAACTTGCACATTTTGAGCCAAACAACCCCTAGCATGGAATAACGCCATAAAAGGCTCAATACCTTATCACTTATCATCTCTCTGTGTATACCAAATGAACTGTAAGCCCCAAAATAATTCTCATTGACTTTCTTGATATCCTTTGCAACAAGATTCACAATAGAAGCTTTTGAATGGCTATCTGATGGCTTTCCATCTGACGAACCAACATGTTCTTCAGAACCTCCGTTGACCATTTCCATCTTTGAAGAACTGCCCATGTTCTCATGGCTGCTGGAAGTAGAAGCAACCTCTTTTGTTCCATTTTCTTCAAAAAATCCGCAGTCATGAGCAGATTTTTTCAGTGTGTTGGCATCTTCAATGCATATCTCATCAATATTCCTCAAATCCCTCATTAGTTCCTCTTGGTCATCCAGTGTCATATGATCATCTTCACCTTCTTCGTCTTCATTGAAACTGTACAAGAGCGGATCATCTTGCATGAAAGGTTTCAAATATTTATCATCGTCCAACAAAGACTTAATGTCTTTCAACTTTACTGTTTCATGTATATGATTCTGTAGATCTTGGTGGGATTGACAGGCAAGCCCACAACTCCAACATCTATTTTCTGCCACCTGGTAAATGCAAAAATCAGAAAAAAAAATAAATATACAAACTTCCAGCCGACCATAAGTTGTTTACCTAGCAAATATGCATTCAGATTCTTGAAAAAACTGCAGTAATTAAATTTAACCTAGTATCATTTAACTACAAGGCATTGAAATAAACTCATTGCTAAACTCCAACGAAGATATTGGAATTAACTAGTACTTTAAAAGCTTTTAAATGAGATAAAAGCATAACATTACACAAACAAATTTAACTAGTATTTTACAAGCTTTTAAATGTGATAAAAGCACAACACCACACAAACATCTAAAAATGCCTTTTATTTCATAAACAATGAATTTAATTTCCAGTTATTTATCTTGTTAACCAAAATACAAGGCATATAGATTTCTCGAAATTTGATATAATTATCCACTGGGTTACACGGAAACTACAACAAATGAACCAAAACATAAAAACTTTTCTTTCCATTGTCTTCAATTTCTCGGCAACCAAGCAGAATACGTATCAAACCAATGTTACACTCAAATTCTTAGGAAAAATACATGAACTCAGCCCAAAAGATTCTAACTTTAAACATTTCACTCTCTTTCATTTTTCCCTGTTCTCTCAACAACAAAGTAAACAAAACCAAACACAAAAAACAAAACCCATCAGTCAAAACCAACCAACCTGAGACCTGACATAGTTGATTAGCTTAAACGAACCATAGAAATCCAAGCCCAACTCCTTCCTTAGCCCATCAAAATCAAACTTGTGAACCAAACGACAGTGCTCGAACAACTCACTGCAAGAACTGAACTGTGAATCAAAAAACAAACACACGAAAACCTTGTCGTTTTCTCCATTTTCACTGTCGTCGACTTCTCCCCAATCGTCCCAGTCTTCGTTTTCTTCTTCGAATTCTGAATCTGATTCTTGCTCGATTACTGATTTCTCTGCTTTTTTGAGTTCTGTTTGGTGGTTACTTGCCATGATTTTGTGCTGTATTTGAAAGGAGAGAGGAGTGTACTGGCAGTGGAGTGCGGTAGGGTTTTGTTAAACCCTACTACATAAACCCTAGCTCCCTCGCAATTTACAAAATTCACTTGTCGTTTGCAATGTGCTTCGCTTTCTCAAATTTTATTTTAGTCCCTCAATTCTTTTTAAAAAACAATATAATTCAATTGGATCTGCAGAATAATAGGAGTTTTCAATCGAGTCCCTCTAATGGCTCCCGGCATTTGTCAAAGTTTCTCCTGTTGTAGGCATGGCACAATCAAACCTAATGTCATTTTTATACAAACATCATGTTACTCAATTGATAAAAGACATCTTTGAAGACTGTGTTAAAAATGGATAGATAGCCATAGAACTGATTTGAAAGGAAAAAAAAAGATTAAAAACTTTTGAATTCGTTGATAGTCTAATAAGAAATTTGCTTAAATTTTCAAATAGCAAAGAGCTCCCTCTGTATCCTCTTGGTTTAGTAGGTTTGTTTGTCGAATTACCATCTTGAATTCAAATAGGTATTGAGTAATAAATATTTTGTGTTTAAATATGAATGATTTATTTAATACTCAAGCAAGAAAAGATGTAATTTCAATACATAAAAATTGATTAAAAAAATATTCTAACTACTAAAACATATAGAAGTGCAACTACAAAGTATCGATAAAACAAAAGATGAGATTGATTAGCTATTGAAATGTTTAATTTGGTTTTATATTAAAAATTATGTGTACATATCTTTTTATGAGAAATAAGATATGATGAACAAGTAAATAAAATTTGAGAACTAATTTGTTAGCTACTTGAAAAGTTAGTTTTAATATTATAAATTGTAAAAGAAATAGTCAATTAACTAAGCAAATATGATACAACTAATAAGAGATACAAGAGAAAAAACAAACAATAATAACTTACGCGAGAGAAGAAATAACTTAACTAATAAGGTACAAGTCCAATAACTTGCTAATAAGTGGATAGTTAAGCCTAAACATGTAAAGATTTAAGTATTGTTTGGTGTATATGAAGAATTTGGGGATTTTTTTACTAGAGATTAAAAGTTTTGAAGCCAAAATTTTCTAATGCAAAAGTTTTGATCTTTCCAAAATGATTTGAGGTTGGCATTTTATAGTGAAAAATGATGTTTTTTAATGTTAGAATCATGTCATGTCATCAAATTTTGAATAAACAAATTTAATTTGAGAATTTTTTTTTGTTTTTTTTTACCTAATTTGATTTAACTTGCTAACAAAGATTAAAAGAAATAAAAATTGAGCTTTTCTTTAACAGGTTCTATTCTAAATCCACCAAGTTAATCTTTCAAATGCATCCCAAGACAAAATATAGACATCCGTATCCATCTTTTAATCTATGACTTTGCAATCAATAAAGTTTATTTCCAATCCAATTTATTTATGATGTAATTTAGATCCATATAAAAAAAAACATAGATTAACACATAATAAAAATTAACTAAGTTATTTAATTAATTTTAAAGAAAAAACGAGAATAAACAATGGAAATAAATTGTTTTAATAATATTTTCCCTCTAGTTTTATTTTGGCGAACCTATTATATTGAGAATGGAGTACAAATATGAAAATTATTGAGGCACGGATATAAACAAGATAACCCAGTAGTTGTTTTTTTATGAAACAGACCTAAAATTCAAGATAGATATAAGAATTTTAAATATTTAGGACTAATATGAAATATTTTTCAACTTTGAGGGTGCCATGGTTCCGCGGCTTGGCCCCTCTGCTCGTCCCATCGGTCTGGACTAAAATTGCCCACAAGTCCTTCTGAGAAAAGCACACAACAGAACCCATGTTAGCTGCTAAGACATCCAATCTAGTTCAGACAGATCAATGCGGGCTCTAGGCTCTAGTTCTAGTGGCAGCTAAGACACTCTCCCTTCAAAGGACAAAGGGGAGATCCTAAATTCCAAGCGACCCACACAAAAATCAACTTTACTATCCATAATCCTTACCTAAGTGCAAAAACCCACCTTAGCCGCAAGTCTGCAACCTCTCTCAAGCCACGCTTTTAATCTGGTCTTGTTTCGGATCTTTTGGCTATGGTATTATTATTTTATATATTTATTTAGGAAATTGGTCATGCTATGCTTCACTTTGAACAAAAAATAAAAGCAAATCCAAAAGAAAGAGATAGAGAGAAAATAAAAAAAAATTGAGGCAGCGTAGAAATTTTTTCATCACTTTTGATATATATATATATATATATATATATATATATATATATATATATATATATATATATATATATATATATATATATATTCTAAAAAATAAGCTTATAAAATAATTATTCTACATATATATTAGTTATTCATCGAGTATTATAAAACTTATAACAAAGGATAAGTGAATGACCTTTAAAAGTTAGTTTACTCTTTTACCAAGGGTGATTATTCGGTTTAAATTTTATCAGTTTTGATTCGGTTTTAAGTTAATTAAACTTATGAAAAACAAATACTGAATCCGAATTGATTTACTATTTAGTTTTTTTTTTATTTAAATAGATTTTTTTTACTTTTCAAAATAACAATAAATAGGCCAAACCATTACATGTTTCTAACAATGTTAAAATTTTGACTTTTTGATTTATTAGCATTGTTTTAAAACTAAAAAAAGTTGAAAAAAAAATCCGTTTAAGTCGAACAAAAAAATTTAAAAATAAAAAAAAACTGAAAAACCAACAAAAATTGGGTTCTTTTATATATATATATGTTGAGTTAATAATTGAATCAAAATTGATATTTCAGCTCAATTCAATTTTTTTATTTATTTAAGCGGAATAGTACCCTCTTTTAATTACCATTTGGAGTTCAATTTTTAGTAAGATTATAAAAAATAAATTTCTCTCCATAAGTCATTTTATTTTATTTTTTTGTTTTCATTATGTTCGGTAATAAATATATTTTCAAGTTATTTTATGTATTAAGAGAAACTAAATTTCTGTTTAGATAATTTTAAAGATACATTATACACAAATCTGATGCATTTCAATGAATTTTATAAAACTCCTTCAATACTGATATTCCAACATTTCAATTCAGAAAATTCTCAATAAATCACATAAAGTATTAATAACGTAATCCAAGATCCGTTCGAAATGAATTAGTTTGGAGCTAAGTGTTCAATGGATAAAGAAGCAAGTAGTAAATTCCGAAAGACAACAACATTAGAAAGTTAAAATTAACTCGTAAAACGACATCAAAACTACATTAAACAAATCACTCCAACTTGGATTTGCTACCTCATCAGCATCTCTCTCTCTCTCTCTCTCACAGCCAGAAATCTCGCTTGCACAGCGAACCAGCCCCTAAAACTGACCGTTTCAACTTCGATTCTCATAAAAAAAAATGTTCACTTCCTTTCTTCTCGTTTAATCTTCACATTGACTCTTCTCTTTCTCCACTCCAATTCTCTTCTTCTCAGAGATCCAAACCTGCAATTAAATTCAATCATTAAGTACGTTTTTCTCTCTTCTAATTATTATTATCACTTTGATCTAACACTTCCCTCCGTAGTTCAATTAAATTTCATAATCAATGCGTTAAGTAGCTTTCACTACTTCAATTAACTACCTCAAGTGAGTAATTTAACTTAATTACTTCTGTTAAGTAGCCAAACAGTAGAAATCTCTGATTTTACTCTCTCTCTCTCTCTCTCTATTTGTTAGATTTGAACAGGTAGATCAGGATCTAAGAACTTCTCTTCTTTATTTATTAAATGTTTTATAATGTATCATTTTTTAATATTCTTTTTAACTTGAATTCTTTTTTTTTTTATCAGGTGGTGAATATTTACTTAATTACTTCAATTTTCCATGGAAGAGTATGTATTAATTATCTCGAATTAATTTACATCTCTATACTTTTTTTGGCTGAATTTGAATGTTATTATTATTATTATTATTATTATTTGCTGAATTTACGTGTTTGATGAAAATAGGGAAAATGCGCTGGAACTTTTACAAAGATACCGGCGGGACCGGAAAATTCTTTTAGATTATATGCTTTCTGGTAGTCTAATTAAGAAAGTTGTAATGCCACCCGGTGCGGTTACACTTGATGATGTGGATCTGGACCAAGTCAGTGTAGATTATGTTCTCAGTTGTGTTAAAAAAGGTATTGTTTGCGTTTTTGAGTTTGTAGTTTTTAGTTCGGTGTGATTTGTTCTAACTCATTTTTGTTGATGTAGGTGGAATGCTTGAGCTTTCAGAGGCTATAAGAGATTACCATGACAACACCGGCTTACCCCACATGGTAAGTTTTGATTTTGTTGTGCATTGCTTCAATGATGAGAGAGTTATTGGCTTGGAATTAGTATTGGTTGCCGGCATTGATGTAATGAGAATTCCAACCATGATATGGTTGCTATTTAAATTTGGAATCTGGTTGTAGATTTCTTCTTCTTTTGCTCAAAGTGAGAACTAATGCATACGATGGTGATATGTGTTTTACACAAGTTGGTTTTTGGTCAATTTGGGCTATGGTCTTGTTTAGAATAACTGTTAGTTAAATATGGAATAAGAGGGAATTTTATTTGTAAAAGTTGAGTTCTGTTGTCATTTCCAGAATAATACAGGTTCAGTAGATGAGTTTTTCTTGGTTACGAATCCTGAAACTTCAGGTTCACCTCCAAAAAGGGCACCACCTCCTGTTCCGATTTCAACACCAGCTCCTTTTTTTCCACCATCGCCTGTTGTGTCCTTGGCAAGTGTAGCAAAGTCAGAATCCTTTAACTCCACTGAAGTTCAAGAATTGACTGACTCCGCTGAAGTTCGAGAATTGACTGTTGATGACATTGAAGATTTTGAGGAGGATGATCTTGAGGAAGTTGACAGTGTCAGAAGGTCAAGATGTAATCCAAATGATGCTGCTGATATTGTTCCCAAATTACCCTCATTTGCCACAGGTAATATTGGCTTAAAAGTATATAATGTTACATTTTACTTTCAAGAAATAAATGAAAAGAGAAACTGCCAAGTCTGTTTTTCCTAACACTGGCTGTTAATAGACGTAGAAATAATGCATGATTGTTTGAGGTCAGATACCTTGACAGGGATGTAATTAGCTGGTTAATGGTTTTTTAGATCCATGGTGTGAATGGAAGAAACTTCGAATTGGTTATTTTCAGATCTGGCTGGGTATGAGTTAAATTATGATCTGGTTAAATTGAAGGAGTGTTGAGGAGAGGCTGACTTGTTTGTGGAAGTTGATGGTGAGTATGGTGATGAAGAGCAGGAAAGACCACCTCAATGGCTGGTTGCACTTATGGCATCCTCATCTGGAAAGCCACGAGTAGTGGGTGGGAATACTTTGTCAGTCATGTTTTGGTAAATGTAAAATATTCACGCGAGGCACTGTCTGAGAATTTGTTTCTATATTTATTTGCTACTCCTGTGCACATGAACAAAATTTTAGCTAGCTTTATGGATCTTCCATACAAAGGCTCGCATTGCACTCTATGATTCATCATCTGGAAAGCCATGAGTAGTGGGTGGGAAACCATTAATTCATGCCAACATCATTAGCTTTTGATTCTTCCTAATCTCAGGTATCACAGATGATGACCTCCGTGAAACTGCATATGAAGTGCTCTTGGCATGTGCCGGGGCATCAGGGTAAGTTTCCTTATCTCATTTGACCTCCAGATATCCTCGTCTTACCTCTTCCTTTATGGTTTTTGTATGTTAAAATCCCTAGGAGTTTATGGTGCTTGCATTCTCACTAAATGTTTCTTGTTTCCCTCATTTCACCCTCCATTCATGAAATGATTTTTCTCCTTATCTTCAAATGAACAGGGGCCTCATTGTTCCATCAAAGGAGAAAAAGAAAGACAAAAGGTCCAGGTTGATGAGAAAGCTTGGACGTAGTAAAACTGAGAATGCTGCGACCAACTCTCAGCATGCAACTGGATTGGTTGGTTTGCTAGAGAACATGCGTGCCCAGATGGAGGTATTTCAGATTTTTTATTTTCGTTGTAGTGTTTACAGCATCTCCATTTTACTATTTTTTTCCTTTCGGAAGGATTTTGCGTAGATATTGAAATAAGTGTTAGGACATAACCAGATGGTGGTATTTCAAAAAAAAAAAAAAAAAAATTCCCTATGTATGTAGTGTTTACAGCATCTCTGTTTTATTATTTTTTTCTCTAAGAAGGATTCTGCCTGGATATTGAAATAAGTGTCAAGGACATGATTTAATGCATTTGTTTCCATAACACAATAAAGAACCATAATGTCGTGTGAAAAGTTTTTCTAAAATGTTTTAAAAGTGTAGAGTTTAGTAACTAGCTGCAGTCTGAGAATGTAATGAAGAAACTGGTTCTTTTAATAGGTTTTAAAAACCATTTTCAAATCTCTTTCCATCATTGAAACTTGGGAGTGTGCTTAACTAGTTGATGTCACAGGGTTGCAATTCTTCTGTGCAACAAAGTTGATATGATTAAGCTGTTGAAAAAGTTTCTTTAGCTTAAGTTGAGCTTAAAGTACAAATTTGGTGTATGTTGAATGAGTTTCTTTTGCTTAAGTCGAGCTTAAAGTACAAAGGTGTTTACACCACCTTTGTTGTAATGTTTCCTGTATGGTGTAACTGTGCCCCTATAGATTGTTAACTTCCATTGTGTGACATACGTTAATGTCCAGTCTCCTCAGAGGAAGAGCTAATGAGTTACCTCTTGGGAACTGGAAGATCGGATTGCTGCTCTGCTAAAGCCCTGTTTTAAGAAATTCAGAAGGCTGGTTGTTTTAATAGATCAACCGATTGGGTTGTTGTAATCATATCATCTTGCTGTTTTAAAGGTCAAATTTATCTTTGGTTGCCTTGCGCAAAGGTGTCTTTCTAATCAGTGAGGCTGCTCCAGCGTGGCTTACTAATGACTTGTATATTGCTTTCTTTTGACGAAGTTAACACACAGCCTATTCATATTGTCTTGAAGCTACTTGACTAAGTAGATGATGGATGTGCAACTACTATTCTTATTTGTCTTAGCTACTTCACTGAGCTGTAACTGTGCCAAATCATAGTCCTTAGAACTGTAAGTAAGACGATATCATTTTCTTCTTCAACATGAGTGCAGATATCTGAGGCAATGGACATAAGAACTAGACAAGGACTGCTCAATGCTCTTTCTGGAAAAGTTGGAAAGAGGATGGATACACTATTGGTTCCACTGGAATTGTTATGTTGTATTTCACGTACAGAATTTTCTGATAAGAAAGCATATATACGGTGGCAAAAAAGGCAGGTAAACTTTGCATACTATAACATATTAATTTTATTTTTATTTTGTTGATTGTCTTAGTTCCCTTTAAGTGGTATAATTAGAGGTACGGAACTGTTATTGATGATAGCCATTTTCGATTTTGTCTCAGTACAGTTATTCATGCTGGAGGAGGGGCTTGTTAATCACCCAGTTGTTGGATTTGGTGAATCTGGGCGCAAACCAAGTGATTTGAGGATTCTTTTGGCAAAGATTGAGGAGTCTGAGGTTCTTTATTCAATAGATTATTATCCGATGCACTTTTAACATCATGTGATACTGAAATGGAGCTTTCCTTGTTATGTCCTAATGTCAGAAAACCATCAACAAATTTGCCTTACTGTTGCATACTGGCATTGTTAGTTAGTGCTAGTTGCTTAAGTTGGGAACTTAGATGGGAAGGTGATGACTACAAGAGGACTCTCTCTAGAAAACTTCACAAGGAGTAATGGTCTTTATGATGTGTGTATTTTTCCAATGTTTTTATTCCTTTCTTTGCTTTTCTGAACTGGTTCTCACTGTCGAGTGGTGAATTTGTTCATAGTTACTGGTCTATTCCTTTCAAGCGAGATCTCCTTTCTCTTTGCTTTTATGTCCTCAATTCTAGTAAACTTGTCACCTCATTGGATAGGAAAAGCATGGCTAGAAGTCTAGATCATTTTATGTTTTGTTGAATTTGTTTGACATCATGAGCTCCAATAAAGCAATTGATAGATGAACTTAGTTAAGCGTTCACAGAGATACACAAAAACGAGCAATAGATAGATGAACTTACTTGAGCGCTCACAGAGATACACAAAAATGAAGTTAGGCTGTTGTTTACTTTCCTTTTCATGATTCTATTATTTGTTTGCTGTTATAGCCAACTGTATTATGTTTTTGTTTGTTATTTTAGTTTTTTTGGTGGAGTTTATTTCAACTCATTATGCGTTTTTTTTTTTTTTTTTTTTTTTGCAATATAATCAGAGCATTGGCATCCTTCAACCCAACATGTAGATAGGTTATTTTGGTCTAGTCATATTTTATCTTTTATCGTTTAGTTGAAATATAGCAAGCTTTGGTGTTTTATTTTCGCTTTCCCTTGCTTTTTGTTGGTACCTCTTATCACTTGAGTCTTTTTTTTTTAAAAAAAAATTATTTTTATTGTAGTTCCGTCCATCTTCTGCTGGTGAAGTCCAACGAACAGAATGTTTGAGATCTCTGAGAGAGATTGCAATACCACTTGCTGAAAGGCCAGCTCGGGGTGACTTAACTGGTGAAATATGCCATTGGGCAGATGGCTATCACCTTAATGTTAGACTATATGAGAAACTGCTTCTGAGTGTCTTTGACATTTTGGACGAGGGGAAGCTGACAGAGGTTAGTAATTTTTTTCATTTTATTATGATCCCATGACACCAAGAAGCCTTTTTTTGAAAAAATAAAAATAAAAATAACAAAAACAACAAAGCCTTAATCCCAAAATAGTTGTGGTTGGTTAATTTCTGCTTGGATCGTTGATTTAAACTTTGTCATGTTTTAGAGAAATTAATTTCTGGATTTACAATCTGTGCATTTTTTGTAAGGATATTTATTCATAGCCAAATCTTGGTTTAATTGATTTTTTTTTTGAAAAAGACAAGGACTATTCATTTCAATTTTTCTTTTCCACCTAGCATAATCGATCACACCTTGTATCCATTTCCAGGAAGTGGAGGAAATACTTGAGCTCTTGAAGTCGACCTGGCGTGTTTTAGGAATTACAGAGACTATCCATTACACATGCTATGCATCAGTATTATTTCGTCAGGTATTATTCATCAACATCATTGTTATTCTGGAATGAAGAAAACAAGGAGCATTGCTTTCCTTGACAATAGCTTTTAACCACCACCCAGTGATCAATAACAGTCCCGAATAGATCCTTTGTCTCTTAGTTTACTTCAAGCCAATAATCTTCTTGAGCATAACATCTAAGTTTATGTATGGAAAATCAGATAACCTGAAAGTATAGAATCCAATATTCTTGCTAAATTAAACTTGAGAAACCTGAAGATAATGAATTAAAAATAACTATCATTATCATTGCATGACATCCTCATATTGTATTTATTACAATCTGTCACGTCAGCCGTTAAGAGCTTGTCTGAGCTTTCAATGTATAGCAGCTGCAGTTTAACAGCCAGTGAGCCAATAGAGTAGGATCAAGGTTAAGCTTCAGAATATTTCATTAGCCTTGGATATATCAAAACAGGTTTCGATAAGCAAGCAAACATGGTGATGTACAATCTGGAGAGAGAGGAATTGGGATCAAAGGAGAGAACAACAGGATAGGGAGATGAGTAGAACTTCATAATAACCAAACTAGATTGACTGAATAAGGAACAAATCAAATAAAATAAACCTCTGATTTTCCAAAAATGAATATCTTTGATGATTTTCCATTCATCCTGCAACACTTGGGGCTGCAAGCTTGCTATATGTTTCTTTTTGCCCTCTTTTTTTATGCTGTATGCTTAATTTTTTATCTGTTAGATGTTTAAGGTTGATAGTTGTGTGTCTTTTAGCTTCCTTTAGTGAAGCAAGATTTCAAGTTCAAGTGACTCCACTTTCCTCAGCGATAATGTAATGGGGGAAAGCTACCCCCTCCCCCAGTGGGTGGCCTGAGGCCCATTTGGCCTCCCAATGAACAGGGGAAAAAAATAACTATTTGAGCCATCATCGTTATCTTTTATTACTTGTATTTGGTTGTGTCTTATTGCAGTATGTCATCACACAAGAGCATGGGCTCTTGAAACATGCCATTCATCAGCTGAAGAAAATACCAGTGAAAGAACAACGGGGACCACAGGAGAGGTTACATTTGAAAAGTTTGCTTTCGAAAGTTGAAGGTGAAGAACTGCCTTTCTTTCAGTCCTTTTTATCACCTATTCAGAAATGGGCTGATAAGCGGCTAGGAGACTACCATCAGAACTTTGCTGAGGTTTGATAAACTGTTTGAATCTCAACTCTTGGTTATGGTTATCTTTTCATCTTTTGTGATCTTATCATAGGTGGTGCTTCAATTATAATTATTAATTGGTGAGATTTTATCTGTGGTTTTAGTTGCAATATGCTGTACTTGTTAGCAACCTGCAAAATTTTGCTTTGGTATCCGTGGTTCCATGCTCAGGATAAGATGTTCTCTTTATATTTAAGACTACTCTGTGATCCAATATATCTAGTGCTTTATTTTCTGTTTCTATTTTCATTGTTTTTTGGGCTCAATGTCTCATGTTTGCCTGAGATGTAATTGTGTGAATATTCAAAATTTTCAGAACTATAAGACAGGTGTGTGATGCACTCAAAAAGATGGTATGTTGGAATGCCTTTTGAACTAAACTATGTACTAAATGTACATGGAATAGTCTCTATTTTAGAGTATTTGGAAATGAATGTTTAATATAAGAGATGCCCATGGACTCAGCATGCTTTGGGAGCCAGAGATGTGAGGCGGCGTAGCTATTTATATTTTTGGAATGCCTTTTTGACTGATTTTTTTCCCCAGTTTGGAACTCTTTATCCAGTATGTGTTATTTTGTGCCTTGTAGGACCCATCAATAATGGAGGATGTAGTATTAGTTGCAATGATCACCCAGAGGCTTCTCTTGGAAGAATCTGAAATGGTATGTTGAAGTTGTGCCCTTTGTGTGTGTGGCTGCATTTTGTTGTTATTCAGTTAGAATTATAAAGGTAGCATATCTGGAAAGAAAATATCACCAATACATGCATCTGCCATGTAGAATTAGTTCTTAGCTTGAATTAAAGAAGTTGCTTCAGGACTTTATATGCTATATGTTGAAAGTTAATTTTCCACACTTCAGCAGGCAATGCAACCTACGTCTGTCACAGATCGAGATCAGATTGAATCATACATATCATCATCCGTCAAGAACGCGTTTACAAGGGTAAGTGTCTGAACCAAATAACTACTCCCTGTTGTGATCTACTGGATTGTTCATTTTAGAGAATCCAATCCAGGAGTTTAAGTCAATAGATTGGAGTGGCAATACTGGAAATAAGGGCATACCTCACTTCACACAATCAATGTGGTGGTACTCAATATGTCCATCACATCCAAGCTAAAAACACAGACACACGCCATAGTGGGAAACAATGACAATTAACGGGGCCTGTATGTTAGAGAACAGCACAAAATGGAACACAGCAACAGTCAAGTCTGATAAATGATATCATCCAACCCAGGACTTGAAGCTACTAGGTGGAGACACCTAACGTATCTGGATTCCTTCATAAGTTGATGCAGTTTTTTTTTTTTTAAAAAAAAAAATCTAACTTCTTTAACCCGACGAGTAGATCAAGATACTTGCTGAGATTTGGGAGGATTGGATTATTGTTTGGTCATCTCTATTAAGATGTTGTTTGTACTAGCTTAATGGCCTGGCATCTTTGTTTTGAAAACATTAAGAAAGAATCATTGCAGTCTCCTTTAGATTGAAGTGGGTTAAACATAAAGAAATTCAGAAACAGTGTTTAATTTATCCCCCATAGCATTGGAAACACTGGGATATTTGCAAGATGTCCACCTAGTATGTGCATTTTGCTATAGCCATCATATATGTGGAATATTGCTCATTTGTACTCTTTTAGTTGCCTAAGTAAAGATTGTAAATTCTACTTGTAAATCATCAAAACTGGTATTTATTTTTCTTTCCCCTTGAAGTCTAGCATATGACATTAAAATTTTCATAATCCCACCCATCACCTTTGTTTCTTCTTAATGCAGACATTTCAGGCTGTTGATAAACTAGATGCAATAGATGAGCATCCTTTGGCATTGCTAGCAGAAGAGATCAAGAAACTTTTGAAAAAAGAATCAACCATATTCACACCAATTTTATCTCAGAGGAATCCACAAGCAATTGTTGTTTCAGCATCACTTCTTCACAGGCTCTATGGGAACAAGTTGGTAAGGACCTTCAGTTGGCTTAAAGTCCACGCTCTGGAGTTCTTCCTTTACTTTTGGAAAGCTTAATTTTACTTGTTATTTTCAGAAACCATTTCTTGATGGTGCTGAACATCTGACTGAGGACACTGTGTCTGTGTTTCCTGCTGCTGATAGCCTTGAGCTTTATATAATGGCACTCATTAGTTCTGCATGTGCTGAGGGGAATATGGAAGTCAACTTCCGCAAACTAACTCCATATCAGGTGAGGTTGTTTGGTTCCATGGCTTGAACTTCTTATGTCCATAATTTTCATTTTTGTCTTCTCCATCTCTCATCAAGCAAATTTAGTTTAACTAGACATAAGCAGAACAGATAATAAGTGAAAGTAGTGTTGTGCTGTTGAAGCAGACCATATGAATCAGTTGGTTTAATTTCCAGAAATTCAAGAAAATAGCTGTAGTTTTGAAGCTTTTCAAAGTTGAAGAAGTTGTCTTGGTATTCAGGGTTTATAAAACCCTCACATATAGTGAGTCATCTTTTATTCGACCGTAGTTGAGGTTTGTTCCACAATTGTTGAGACTGAAGATAAGCTACGAATCCTAGTCTCCATGTTCCATCTTGATATGAAAGGGTTATTGTTATGTTAAGTCCTAAGTAGAATCTTTCTCTCTCTTTCCACACACACACACACAAACACTCTGACACACACATCAAGTGTGTAGGCAAAATCATGATTAAGAAAACAAGTCTTTCCCATGGAGCTTCTGTAAGTTTTGTAAAATAACATTCAGGTGTTAATGTTTTATAAAACCGAGGTTTGAATCATATTATAATCAATTAGAAGTGAGGAATCACAATTGTTGAAGATTGGGATCAATATCCATATCACCAAAGTCCCTCACCCTGGCCTCAAATCCCCTCAGTCATGCGACCCTTTATATCATCCAAATGATAAAAATCAGCAATGAATTTTGTGCAATCCCATGGCATGTTCTCGTGGGCGCATGTGGATTTGCAGATGCTTGTAACTTTATTAGGCTGCTCTCCTATCTGTCACCTCTTATTGTTTTTTTCCCTTTGCCTTTTTCTCAAGATTGAATCTATATCTGGAACATTGGTCATGCGATGGGTCAATTCTCAGCTTGGAAGAATTTTGAGTTGGGTTGAGCGTGCAATTCAACAGGAGGTAAGTTCTACATTTTGTTTCATTTTACTCCTTCAAAATCAGTTTTCTCACACGACATATCTGGTGTTTGAATTTTGTCAATGTACTCAAATTCAATTGGATGACAACAGGCTGATTCTTGCTTTCTTCTCTCAGTTAAGGGTGTAATATCCTTGACATTTATCTTGATATTTTCTGTAAATCATTCTTTACAGCGGTGGGAACCGATATCTCCTCAACAGCGGCATGGTAGTTCAATTGTTGAAGTTTATAGGATTGTCGAAGAGGTATGAATGCTCCACTAACAATAGTATCAACTCTGGTTCTATGCTAAGGTATTGCATGAATAAAATAAAAAAACTATTGTTGCAAAAACACATAAGAAAACTTGAGGAATGGTAGAGAATTTTAGTCGTGGATAATTAAATTTTCATGCCCATCAGGTGTTTTTATTCCGGCTACCCTGTTCTTTGGGTTTTCTATTTACACGTTTGTGAATACATCTAGAATCTAACTTTTCTGCATCCACTGTAGAAAAAAACAACCATTGGACGATGCTATTGTACTTAAAACGAGGATGTCTATGCTAATTACTCAGCTATTTTCATTAAACTTCTTTCACTATGATAGTAGAAATGGAATTTCTTTGGAGGTTTATCATAATTTGTAGTTTTTGAACTTTTTATCAGAATTGGATTTTGCTTCTTTCACTATAATGATTTATCTGCTTCCAGATCACATTGATTAATAACGTCTTACATAATCAATATTCGTTTTGGCGCAGACTGTTGATCAGTTCTTTGCTCTTAAAGTTCCAATGAGACCATCAGAGTTGAATGGCTTGTTTCGGGGCATTGACAATGCATTCCAAGTTTATGCAAATCATGTCATTGACAAGTTGGGTGAGTATTTATTACATGTATATTCTTAGTTAGAAACTGCTTTTATGAGAAGGATACATGTCTATCGCTTTCCTTTCTTTCTCCTGTTCTCTTATCGAACTTTACTGTATCAGATGATGGGCTTGTTTGCTCTTTTTGTTAAAATTGAAATTATCACCATTGTTTTGGCATGTCTGCATCTTAATCTGTTCTTCCATCTTCTTTATTGCCCAGTTTACATTATTCTCTGCACCTTGTAGGCATAATTTTTTTCACTTCTGTCTTGTGTTCCCCTCCCCCTTCCCATGATTGGGGACCTTAATGTGCAATCCTTTTCATGCAGCGCCAAAGGAAGACCTAATTCCACCAGTTCCTATTCTGACGCGATACAGGAAGGAAGCTGGAATAAAGGCTTTCGTAAAGAAGGAACTATTTGACTCAAGGATGCCTGAAGAGATAAAATCCAAAGAAATTAATGCGCCAGCTACTGCAACACTTTGTGTTCAGTTAAATACGCTATATGTAAGTTCAACTACATTGGCATGGCCCATTGAGAAATGAATAGAAGAGTTTCAACTTCACTGTTTTTCACATGCACATTGATCCTTATCAAGACTTTTCTAAAGTTTGTTGTCATGCGCTATTAATGCAACATATTTTTTTCCACAAGGCTAGCAATGTTGTGGAGTTTCATAGTTTGCTTGGTGATAGTTTCTTGATTTTTTCAGTCTTGCTCGAAATGGATGTTCCTGGCTCATAGTAAGCAGATTATTAAAAAAAAAAAATTATGATTTAGTAATTGATTTTATTTTGGCCTAGCCAATTGTAGCGCTAATCTCTAATTCTCCTTCCAGAGAGTAATGTGATAATATCATGACAGTAAAAAAAATCATAAAGACTGGAAATGTAACATGAGACACTAAAACAAAGAGAAAACTTCTAAAAGCATACAGTTCTCAGTGGCGATTTTTATTTTTTACTTGTTTCAATAAAATTTGAGTGCTTGTCAGAATGGCTTAATTATGCATATGATAGCAATCACTGTATCCTAAACTTCTCCTAAAAATCTGTGGTTGGGTCAAAATTCTTATAGTGATGGTTTTCTAGTTCTCTGCACGGAGTTACTAACTTTTGGCTGTCTATACAATTTAATATGTATGACACATGTTTTCTTGCGATGGACAGTATGCAATTAGTCAACTGAACAAGTTGGAAGATAGCATTTGGGAGAGATGGACAAGGAGAAAGCCTCGTGAGCAGTTTATCAGTATGTATTTAAGCTACTAGTTTTAAGTACTGTTGGAATCACTTAGATTAGGTTGCATGCATTATAGATCTACAATTTTATAGTTTCATTATTCAAGCCTTCAGGGCATCCTTTCAAAATTCAAACCTTCAAAAATCATGATGTTATGCATTGACGTCGACAAGCTGCTTCTACAACACCCTGGCTGCCATATAAAATCATTGCACAAGTGGGTAGTTCTTGATCTTGACTGCTGGTTTTGCCACTACTATGTCAGACTTTCTCAGTTAATATCTAAGTTTTTCTGTTATAACATAATCTTTTGGATTCTTAAATTATGGTTGTTGTTTGTCCCAATTTCTTGACATTTTATAGTTCTGATTTCCAACTCTAACAGCTCTTTCTTGTTTGCATATTCATGTGCATTGCTTTTTATATGGATGCTATTTTCCAAAGTTTATATTTTGTCTAATTACTTGTTCAATAGACTGAGAAAGTGAGAATACAACAGTATACATGCGTTGAAGTGATCATTTTTTATTAATGCTTGACATATAAATCTTTTCTTTAATAGAGAAATCCATAGATGAGAAATCAGCAAGTTTCAAACAGAAGGGAACGTTTGATGGTAGTAGAAAAGATATAAATGCTGCTATTGATCGCATCTGTGAGTTTACTGGTAAGAGTTTTGGGCTCTGCAAAATTGATCACCTTGAGAAGTAAACTTGATGTTGATTGATTTAACTTCTGCAGGAACTAAGATCATCTTCTGCGACTTGAAGGAGCCATTCATTGAAAATCTTTATAAACCCATTGTTGCTCAATCTAGGCTGGAAGCAATAATTGAACCGCTTGACATGGTAAGATTTGTCCTCCTAAGAAGCAAGGTTTTCATGCATTTCCTTGAAAAGAAGAATCAGAAATGGTGTTATTGATCCATTTTGTTAAAAACTTCTTGCTAAGGGCTGTTTAGAGCCTGGGCATAAGATGCTAAGCGGTGACGTGCTAAGTGATTTAATGTGCATGCATTTAATGTAAAATGTCTAATAATACAGATTAGAAGGATTTAGGCATAATAGGAGAAAATCTAAAATTCATGATAATTCTTTTATATTTATCCTATTAACTAGAGTGGTTGAGTGTTGTTCTGTTTTAGGAAGGTTATCCCCGTTTTATTCTGTATTTATCTATTTCTTGATAAGAAGCCTCATTGTTGGCAACTGCGGCAGGAACTAAATGAACTATGTGGTGTTATTGTGGAGCCACTCAGAGATCGCATTGTGACAAGTCTTCTACATGCTTCACTGGTCTGTGCCTCTTTCTTTAAACAATTGTACCAAGTGCTTGATTTGTTGCTTACTGAAATAGTTCCTTTTTTCAGGATGGTTTTCTCCGTGTTATATTAGATGGAGGACCATCACGAGTTTTCTGCCCAGGTGATGCAAAAATATTGGAAGACGATATAGAAGTTTTAAAGGTATTTTTCAACTGAACTATGAATTTGATTGGCTAGAAAAAGGAAAGGAGATAAACATGGATAGGCTCCATGAGTGATTTTTGCTATTCTTGCAACTGAATGATGAAATTACGGGACAGAAGGCATTTAAAGCTGCTTGCTGTTTAATTCTCAGTCCTAAGGATGCTTGAACTTTGTGAAATGTGCTGTAAATTTTTATTGCTTTTTTATTATAAAGGCTGTTCTTAAATATCTGCACCTAATTATTGTATATTATTTTCTGCTGAATTGTGTGTGCGTGTGTGTTTTTAGGAATTTTTTATCTCTGGAGGAGATGGGCTTCCTAGAGGAGTAGTTGAAAACCATGTAGCACGTGCTCGACATGTAATTAAGCTGCACAGCTACGAGGTTAGTTTTTGTGGCTTTGTTTTGAAAAATATTAGTATGATAAAAAATAGAATGCTGAAAGGCAATTAACACGGTTATAGCATGTTTTAGGTTATTATATTAGTTTTTACTGCACAAATATTCTCGCATAATTGAAGTTGATTTTTAAGAAAATGCTTCAGTTCCTCCTTAGTTTGCATGATACTGAAACAGGGTGATCGCTGTAGTGATTCACTCCAGATGACAAGAGAAGGTAGGAGTTGTTCATTAGTTTGTATTGTTATTATGACACTAGACTAGAGAGAAGTTGAAGGCAGAATAGTAAATATTTTGAGCAATGGGCAAATATTTCAATTGGCTGATTTTCCACCTCACAATTTAATTAATGTGGTGCTGAACAAGATAAAGGGTAATATTATTTCCAGAACCACCAATTTATCCTCTGAATCACTGGAAACAATAGCTAGTCCTACTTCATCTGATAATTGACTGTTCTCCCCCGGTGGTACTGTGCTCTAGACAGATCAACATTGCTTTGAAACTTCTCCAATTATACTTCTGCTATTGCATTTTGAAAAGAGCATCCGATGTAACCTTTTTCCTCTCGAATTGAATTGCAGACTAGAGAACTAATCGAGGACCTGAAATCTGTTAGTGGGGTGGAAAGGCAGCGTGGTGGAAGCAGACTGGGTGCTGATACTCCAACATTGTTGAGAATATTATGTCACCGAAGTGATACAGAGGCCTCCCAGTTTCTCAAGAAGCAGTTCAAAATACCCAAATCCTCAGTCTAGGAGAGTGGCTTTGTAGGTGATGAAAGTCAACTATGTAATTGTCTCGATTCAGTCATGTTAATATCATTTCATTTTTATTCTTTTCCTCCTCCCTTAACCAACCAATTCTCTCTTTAATTTATGTGTTCTCTTCGTTAGTTTTTGTGGTGCCCTTACAAGTTCTGTATTTTTTTTTTTTTTTTTTTTGCAACATTTACCAAATAAGTGCAAATATATTCCGTCTTTTTTGTTTCCAAAAGTACTTTGCCCCAGTTATCTTATTCTTGGATGGATCTTTACTTCCATCTTCATATTTTTCACCCTTCCCTTCGAGGCTCTGTTTAATCCACTTTTTTCTCTTTTTCTGCTGAATGAGGATGGTCTTAGTTATATTACAAGTGCAGTGGAAATTCCTTTGTGCATGGATCATGCTACTCGACAACTTGAGCAAATCTCATACGCAAAGGTATGTGCTGACGTTGACATTTCTGCTAAAACTTCCAGATTATGTGTGGATGTTGATTACTTTTGGCCACCTCAATGTTGTACTTTTTGTCACTACTTTGGGCATATCCATGATTACTGTCCTACTTTGAAGAAGAGTGTGTTCACAGAAAAGAGGAATGAAATGCAGGAGAGAATAGGTGCCTAAAGCCAACGATCCAACGAAGGACATTGTTGAGGGAAAAAGGCCCATCAGTCTCTAAAGGCAAAGAGATTACTTAAGATGAAAATCCATTTGATATTCTGAAATGCCAGAGCTATTGCAAGGTGAAGCTAATGCTAATGAAAAGGATCCTACTGCTGGTGTCATTCTTGACTATATCAATTGAGTCTTTAGAGATGATATAAAGTCTCTGAGCAATCACCATGTTGCGACCCCCTCTCTTCTCATTTGCAACTAGAAGAGCTAGACAGGCCGCTACTAGAGTGGCTGATCTAGTGCAGAAATTGAAAGATTCTCAAAAAGGAAGAGGAGTCAAAAGTAGAAATGCTGAAGGCGAAGGGAAAATTGGTGCTCCGAGTAATGTGGAGGAAAAAGTTTCTAACTAAAAATCTCCTATTGGTTAAGGTTCCAACTTGGAATGTAAGGGGGCTTCAATCAGTCCCATTAACTGATGGAGGCTAGGAGAGTTTGTTCTATTTTAAGTAGGGTTTATCTCTCATTTAAATTTTATATTTTTTGAATTTTTTTTTATTGCGATTATTTTTTATTTTTTGACTTCATCGAAACTTTCTACTCTTTAAGATTTTTTTGCTTTGGAACTTTCATTGTAATGCTACCAATTAGTGATCGACATATCACTTCTACTCTTTGATATTTTTTCCTTTACAAATTTTTCGGTGTTGATTACTAATTGGTGACATTATAACAGATAATCTAAAATAAAAAAAATCTCAATTAAATTTTTTAAAAAATAGAATAACTTAATTAAAAAAAAATTCGAAGAGCATATTATCTAAATTTGGAGAAAATCCAAATAAGGTTTACCTCATATTTAGACCAAGTATTCTTGGAATTTTAAGTATTGATATACTGTGCGTTTTAGAAACATGGGTGAAAGAGCAAAATGTTTCTAGTATTGTTGATGGCAAGTTGAAAGCTGGAATTCTAGTTTCAACTATGAGTCCTATGATTTGGGCAGAACTTGGTTAATTTGGAGATCCTTCGTGAAGTTGGAAATTCTGGATAAGCGGAAGCAGTATATTTTTTTGTAGAATCCTTGATGCAAGGAGAGCGTGTATCTGCCATTTTACTTCTGTTTATGTATGATTTACAAGGCTAAACAAAGAGCTCCTCTTTATAGCCATATCTTGGATACACAAGTAAAGTGATGAATCACAACCCAGATGCTCTAACGCTGAGATTGTTGCTTTCGATGAGTGATTTATGGATGGCCTATGACTAGAATTTGGCAAAAATTAAAGCTCCTCAAGAGTCCTCTGAAAACAGAAAAATAACTAACAAGCTTTGTAAATTGTAAAGAGTCTTTTTCCCCGTTTCCTCGTGGAGGAGACGAAAATAGGACAAAATCATGTATGGTCCCTTAAGTATCGATAACTAGTAATCAACTGCTTTATTTTTTTTTATCAAATTTTACCTCAGTTACAATTTATAATGGATTGATCCAGCTTATTCCGTATGCATGTATGTATAGGTGTATTGAGGAACTCAATAATTGGTACATTTTAAAATAAAAGGTTCAATTTGACCAAAAGTATAATAGAGGACTTGATTTGACAAATTTTAATACTATAGTAGTCAAATGTGATTTTTCCCGACGAGAATAATCTAAAATGCAAACAGTCAATTCTTATTCGCCAAATCGACCAATCCGCGTAGAACACGTACACTCACATAAACCCCAAAAAGCCTTCATAAAACATACACTGAGAGAGAAACAGAGAAAGCGAAACTGTGAGAGGTAGAGAGGTCAGGGCTTCAATGGCGTCAGGAGGAGGAGGGAGTGTAGAGTGGCACGTGAGGCCGCCAAACCCTAAAAACCCAATCGTCTTCTTCGATATTACCATCGGTACCATCCCTGCTGGTCGTATCAAAATGGAGCTCTTTGCTGATATTGCCCCTAAAGCCGCCGAAAATTTCAGGTCCCGCCACTCCCCTTTCCACTTCTTCAAATCAAAAGTAATTCTTGTTTCATTTTCATTTTCGATTTTTGGAGTTAATTTCATATTTTTGTTAAATCTTACAGGCAGTTTTGCACAGGCGAGTATAGGTAAAATTCTGCTATCTTATTATTATTATTATTATTATTAATGTTTATGGGTAATTGGAATAATTAGTTGACTTGATTTTAAAAAAAAATGGCAGAAAAGCTGGATTACCAGTTGGGTACAAAGGATGTCAATTTCATAGAGTGATTAAAGATTTTATGATTCAAGCTGGTGATTTTCTGAAGGTTTGTCTTCTTCTTCTTCTTCTTTTTTTTTTTTTTTTTTTTTTTAATTTCAATTTTATATAATTTAAGATTTTTATTAGTGAAATTTTTGGTTTACAGGGTGATGGTAGTGGTTGTGTTTCTATTTATGGGCTTAAGTTTGAGGATGAAAATTTTATTGCGAAACATACTGGCCCGGGTCTACTTTCAATGGTATGCGCTTGTCTTCGTTATAAACTTGTCCCTTGTTGTTGTTAGTGTTGAGTGATTGTGCCTTTTCTTCTTGTTATTAGAAAATACTGCATTTATATGCCCTGTATCATTTCCTTGATTCTCTTCTTGGATTGCTCTCTGCTAATCGTGTGAATATTTGATGCATTAATATCTTGTGGGTTTCTGTAACAACTAGGAAGTCTGTATTGGAAACTTAATTTGATTGACTTCGAAATTATGTTGTTAAGATGGTCAAGATATAAGGTTCATTATTATTATTATTATTTAATTAGTTTGATAGTTTTTTTATTTGCTTTGGATAATTCTTGTGTATAGTTGTTCCTTAATGGGGACCTCGCTTTCTGTTTTACTGATAAAAGAATGAACGGAATGGCTTTGATTTAAGTCTAAACATAGGGGCACAACATGGTAGGGAAAGTACTCATGTGCTTCAATTAATTGATGCTAGCTTCATAAAAAACTCACAACACTGAAGTCCTAAAACCTGTTTGAGTTGTATATATATTGCTTAGATCTTTGAGGCCAATGTTATTGATGGTGCAAGAGCATAGAATTACTCTGAGATATCTGTTATATAACATTTGGAAATCTCAAATTTCTTATGAGAAAAAAATAAAAAGAAATGCCCTACTCTCCAGAGATCTAGTAGGGTTTTCAAAATTAGTTAAGGAACAAATTCCCCCCAAGACAGCAAACTGACTTTATGTATGCTTTTCATATTGACACCAAGGGTAGAAATTCTAACTTTGATGGGGTAACATGGAGAAGCATTACTGGACTTTTTGTGTAATGATGATTTCATCTTAATCAGAGTGTTTAGATCACTAAAATGACTTTAGATTGGAACCCTGATTTCTCTAAATCCTAGCCTACCTAGATTTGTTATCAATTATTCTTACTATCTTCATTTGAAGACTCTGCTATATGACTAATACTGAAAGTCCTATCATTCTATTTGCAGGCAAATAGTGGGCCAAATACCAACGGTTGTCAGGTACTCTCTCTTCTCTATCTTTCTGCTGTTAGATGTTATAAAAGAATGAAATAAATTGGTGTATGCAAAGAGGAGTTAAGCCTTGAAGGGACCTTTTTCTAATAGTTCAAGTTTTCCAGTTTGGTGGAATTAGAAATTTGAATAAGCACGGTGGTGGATATTTAACTATATACTGCTCCATTAAGCTAGCTACTTGCTCAAATCATATCTTTAAAGTTGCACTTAGTTGTTTTCCCCTTGCCCTACATTTACTCCCAGATAAAATTATTATTACACTAGAAAAGCCAAGCATACGGTTTCAGTGTTTTAATCCCACCTTTTAGTTCCGCAAAGAATTGGGAATGGAATGGAAATAGGATTCCAATTGCATTTTGAATATATTTCGCATTTTAGTTTTATTTGAAATCAATTTTAATATTACAAAAGAAAGAGTAGTTTGTGCTGGTTAAAAAGTGTATCATTTCTTATGGAATCCCAATCTGTGTTATCGGAAAACAAACAACATCCTACATGGAATGGAAATGATCCCATTTCTATTCCTAACGCTAGGCAAACCAAACATGGCTTAGGATTTAGCTGCATTGCTCTGAATGAGAGTTTCTCTATATTGTCTGCTGTTTTAGCCCAATGTCAATATAATATTGATTTGAACGTTCCTCTTTTGCAGTTTTTCATCACTTGTGCAAAATGCGACTGGCTCGACAATAAGCATGTTGTATTTGGGGTATGTCTTTAAATTCTTATATAAGATTCTGTTTGCTTCTCTTTGCCCCTGTAATTGATCGGTTGAAAAACTTGCAACCTGTGTGTTTGTAACTCAGTTCAGGTTGGCTATATCTGATTCAAATTCAAATGTAATCCAACTTGAACTGACTTATCCCAGGAATCAAATGGACATAATTATCGGTCTGTATTGGATCAGGTTGATTTAAGTTTTGTGCACAAGATCATACCAATGTGCTACTCTTTTTCTATTATGTGCAAGTATTTGTCTCTATGAATGTTCATTTTTCTCCACCTCACTCACTTCGATTTTGTTTCTATTCTTGTATAGAGGGTAATTGGAGATGGTCTTTTGGTTGTCCGAAAGATTGAGAATGTTGCTACGGGACCCAACAATCGACCAAAACTGCCATGTGTTATTGCAGAATGTGGAGAAATGTAGAAGCTGAGTTCAAGCACAACCCTGATGATGATTAATTACAAACATTTCTGTAATCTCTGTAGGAACAATTTCATCTTATTTCACTGACCTTTGACCGACACATGCGCTTTGGGATGGGCTATATTCTTTCTCAAAATGGTGGTGGGGAGGGACTGCCTGAGTGGAATAGCCTTGTGGAGTTATAAGTTGTTGTATATGAGAGTTTCTGAGCATGATATGGTAGCCTTTAAAGATATTTATATGATTGATTTAGTCTACCTTAACCTTGCTAATTCGTTCGTAGAGATCGTTAGCTCAATGACCGTCAATTCGTGATAGTTTCCCCTTGTTTTCTCAAAGGATTAAGTTTTCCTCCTTTAATTGAAATAAATTACAAAAAAATAATTTAATTTGATTAATCCTCTAATAATATCCGTAAGCACTGATCCTCAAACAAAAAGAATAATTTCATCGACTAAACACAGACTGTAGCATTTATTTACTACTAACCTAAAAACTAAAACAGCTGGGGTAAATAAACAGGGAATCATTGTTCATTTATGATTGAATTTAATTAATCTCAGGCAAGAAAGGCCAAGAAGAGAATGTGCACTTCCAGTCTTGCTTCAGAAACAGCCATAGACGCTGTTAGTCATTAAAATTGCATCATTAGCTGTGGATGTGGAAATTAAAATTAAGTTGATTACCTGAAATCTGCATGTGCATTTTTACTTTGAGTTAAATAGAATGAGTTTATTCTCAATTTTATTTCGTGTATTAAAACTAAATCTTTCTTCAATTTGGTTTTTAGCAAACCATTTACTTATAAATTTTATTTCTATTCTATTACGATCTGTTCATTACTTAAAAATGGGCATTTTTTGTAATTCTCTATAATGATATTTTCGTGATTTCCTTATAGTTGTTTTTGGATTCATTTTTAAATTTCACAATTCATTTCTTTTTGGCCCTTTATGTTTTTAAAATATATTTTTAAATCCTCATATTTTAAAAACTATTTTGAAATTTCATATTTTTAACTTAGTCCATTTTTGCCTTACTTTTTTCAAAATATATTTTTTGTTCCTCATATTTTTTAAAAATTTTTTGGCCTCTTATGTTTTTAAATTTTAGAACAAACACATTTATTAGATTATATTTTTTTATTGATTAAAATTAATCTCTTAAATTTGTTGTTTATTATGAAAATTCTAATCAAATTAAATTTTTTATAAAATTTTATTTGTTAATAAATATGATTTATTTTTCTCTCGTGTATGAATTTTTAATAAATAATAGAATTCACGTGTTTCTTTACCGTATTCTTGATATAATTATTTTTTTAACTAAAATTTTAAATTATTTTTATTGTACTCTATTAACTTTATTATGTTTCTTACAACTTATGTTTTTTTTAACATATTTTTTAATTTGTACATAGTATGGTAATGATGTACACAAAAAAGTATTGAGATCAATTATTTTATTAAAAATTAATTATGTCCTTTTGGTTCAAAAACTTTTTTTTTGTCCTTTTTGCTATTTCAATGTTTTTATTTTGTTTTGTTTTTTTTTTTAATAAATAGAGAAAGAATAAATAAATAAGTAAAAATATAAAAATAAATTATAAAATAAAAAAATAAATTATTCATGGTCAACACTGATTAAAAAATCAAATAATTTATTTTTTAAACCAAATGAATTAATTCATTTCTCAAAATGAGATGAACTAATTCATAATTTAATTTGCAATTCAAGTATCTCTTTCATCATAGATTAAGAAGTCAAATTTATGGGAACCAATTTTATAGTAGTTTTTATTTCAATTTATTAACTTTAATATATTTCATACAATTTAGACATATTTTTTAAATGTTTATTTATACTATATACTCTAAATCTATTATGTGTGTGTGTGTGTGTGTATCATTAGCTTTGTTGAAAATTAATTATGTATCCGTATACATAACACTATTAGTCATTTCGGTTCAAAAACTATTTTTTTAATACTTTTTGCTACTTCAATGTTTTTTTTTAAGAAATAGAGAAAGAATAAAAAAAATATGAAAAAGGACATTTTTAAAAATAAAAAAATAAATTATTCATGGTCAACACTAATAAAAAAATTCATTAATTCATTTTTCAAAACAAGATGAACTAATTTATTATTTAATTTGTAATTTAAGAATCTCTTTCATCATAAATTAAGAAGCGAGATTTATGAAAACCAATTTTCTAATAGTTTTTATTTCAATTTATTGACTTTAATATATTCCTTATAACTTAGGTGGTTTTTTTCTTAAAAAAAATATTTATACTATATACTATGAATCTACTAAGTATGATCATAGCATCATTTGTTTATATATATATAGTTTTGTTAGAAATTAATTATGTATATGCATACATAACACCATTGATCCCTTTGGTTTAAAAACTATTTTTGTTTGTCCTTTTTACTATATTAGTGGTTCTATTTTCTGTTTTAAGAAATAGAGAGAGAATAAAAAAGATAAGTAAAAATATGAAATAAAACATTTTTGAAAATAAAAAATAAATTATTCTTGGTCAACAGTTATTAAAAAATTAAATACTTTTTTTTAAACCAAAAGAATTAATTCATTTATTTTTCAAAACGAGATGGACTAATTTATAATTTAATTTGCAATTCAAGAATCTCTTTCATCATAAATTAAAAAGTAAAATTTATGGGAATCAATTGTGTATTATTTTTTATTTCAATTTATTGACTTTAATATATTCCACACAATTTAGGTTTTTTTTTTGTTTTTAAATATTTGTTTATACTATATACTATGAATTACTAAGCATGATCATTATATATATAGTTTTATTAGAAATTAATTATGTATTTGCATACATAACACTAATTATTTGTAATTTATTCTTTTTCATATTCTAAAATTAATATTTTTAAATAAAATAATTGAAATATATATCATTGGTTTTGTTATAAATTAATTATGTATTTGCACACATAACCTCGGTTATTTGTTATTTATTCTTTTTTTATATTCCAAAATCAATATTTTTTAAAATAAAATAATTGAAATCATGTTTTGAAAGAACCTTTTAATTATTCAAATACAACTTTTTATGCTAATATTATTGATTATTTTATTAATAAATATATAAAAATCAAAATATTTTGCTCAACAAATAGATTTGATTTACATTAATTATGAGAAATAAGATTTTTACATGCACCACACCGTACAAAATCATTGACCTTATATAAATAACGATTATCCGATCGCGAGCATAGCGTAAGTATCCAACTCGTAAAATAAAACCATATGGGATAAAGGAATAATGATTTACCGTTCAAATGAACAATAAATCATTGTTCAATTGTAGCTTAGGTTTTTTTTTTCCCTAAAAATTTAAAATAAAAATTTTTATCCCTTGGTTAATGTATACACATGCCTTTTCTTGTTTTTCCTTTGGTTTTTTCCATTAATTTATGTTCCTTTTTTATTTGATTGGGTGTTAAAATTTTGAAAAAACAATCGTAACTTTTTTCCTTACAAACTAATAATTATATAATATATCTTTTTATATTTTAAAATTAACATAAACTTCAACTTGTACTACTCTTATTATTTAAATTTCATTCTTTGAATTTATCTTCTTCTTTTTTTTTTTATAAAAATTCTCATCCAATTAATATTTTTATATGAGATTTTATTTAATGATATTATATAATTTATTTTTCTCTATGTTTGAATTTTAGAATAAGATTTAAAACATGATTGTTTTTTCTTTTTTAAAAACTAAATTGGTATAATATATATCATAAATTCTTATAATTTTTAAATGATAGTTACATATATATAAATATATAATTATTTTATTCTAAAATGTTAAAAGTGTATTTTAAATAATTTATCTCGAGTTCACTAGGTATGGTCAAGACGTATAAAAAAATTATTCAATCATTTATTTTATTAAAAATGAACTATACATCTTCCAATATAATACAAATTATTTACAATAAATATTTTTTTAACATTATAGAACCAATTTATTTGGAATAAAATAATTAGAATAATTTTTTAGAGGAACTAACCAATTATTCAAATACTATTTTTTATGCTAATTTTATTGATTATTTTGTAAATAAATATATATAGATAAAATGCATATATTTGAAAAAAATTAATCTTCTCAGCAAAAATAAATAAGAGTAAAATTTTATTTTTCTATTAGTTAATTTTTATGGAAGTCTATACATTAATTATAACTTTATTTTTTGGGTACATTCTTATAAAGAAAAAATATTTTTAAAGTATTTATTTTTAAATTCTTAATTAATATTTTAGGTTTAAATTATTAAAAAAATTTATTTAAGAATTCTTGAATAGCGAAGAATCAATTATGTTTTTTAAGCATAAATTTTATGAAAAACACATAAAAAATAATAATAATTAAATAAAAAATTATAACATTTTGAAATGATTTTGGTCATTTTATCCGTAGTGTTGCGCGAGATAATTTCAAAAGTTAATCTTCTCATCAATATTAAATATGAATTTATTTTATTTGTTAATTTTTGTCAAAGTTTTTCCATTAATTATAATTTTTTTAGAATACAATATTGTGAAAATTATATTTTTAATTTTTTTTTCAATTCTTGATTAATGTTTTGGTTAAAATTATTATAATTTTTAATTTTAAAATCAATTCATAAAGAAGAATGATTTATGTTTTTTTAAGTATAGAATTTATAAAATCATTAGAAAAAATTAATTAAATAAAATATCATAATTAAAAAAATTTAAAAATTTAAAATAATTTTATTTTACTAGATACATAGTAGCGCAGATAGCTGGCTAATTTGAATTAAAATATCTTAGAAATTGCTAAAAGAGAGAGGGAAGAAAAAAAAATAGCACTTCGTATTGAAACTACGTCATTGTACCTAGATGTCAACTCCTCATCAAACGACACGTAGTTCGGATGAAACAAACGGGGGCGTTTAAGCACTATTACCACGCCAGCGTCCCCTACCCAGCTAAAGCCCCTAGCTTCGAGTCTTCCATTTCTACACAAAAACAACAACAAAAGGAGGGGAAAAAGACATTTCTAGACGAAAGGAAAAAGAAAAGAAAAGAAAGTTGCAATTTTTAGCGCGGTGGACTCAGTGAATTATTGAATTGAATAATGGCGACGGGGGCGGTGGCGGCATTGAGGAACATGAAGGTAGCGGGAAACTCAAAGAGTCTAGAAGAAGCAAGAGCTCGAGTCTTCGATTTCTTCAAATTGGCTTGTAGATCACTCCCTTCTGTCATGGATATTTACAATCTCGACGACGTCGTTACTAGGTCTCAGCTTCGCTCCGCTATCGCCTCTCAGATCCGCAAGAACTCTCACGTCACCAATACCAAGGTCACGATTCTGTCCTCTCAATATTTCTAATTACTTAAAAAATTAGTTTAATCAATTAAGAATTTATAAATCTGATGATTCGTTTTGTTTTTCGGTTGTAGTAGTAATTGCAAATTAACGAGTGTTTGCTAGGAGTTGTGTTTTTAGGTTCAGTAATGCTAATCACACTCGGAAAATCCTAGCCGTTGAATTTGAATGGTTAGGTAAAAGTAGGATTGCTCTTTTAGGTTTGGTGGTGAAAATTATTAAAAGGAGAAGGGAGGTTTGGGGTTGGTTTGGAATGATTAATTTTTAAAATGTACTTTGGCCTCTGAGAAGGATTAGATTAATGGAAGTTTTTGTACAATTCATTTCCGTGAGAGTTTGCAATTTCGTTGTATTAGTGTTAGTAACTGACATGTTAAGGATGTTTTTGATAAAATTGGTCTGGTGTTTGTGCTCGGTGTTTTAGGTAAAGTATCTTTATGGAAGTTCTCTGCCTACTGACATATTTGCTGAAGATTTTGATTCATTTACAGATCTTATGTAAATAGAGATGGAGGTGAGAAAAAAATGTGAGGAAGCATTGATGTAGTCTGTAAATATGCGATGTCATTTCTTTTCAGTAAAACAAAATATATATGTGGATTGTTTCTCTGTTCATGCTTCTTTATGCATTTCTTTTTAATAATAGAGGTGCTACAAGTATGTGAAGGCAATTTTACTATTTATGTGCTCTGTGTTTTTCTCTCTTTGAGGTTTGAAGCACGTTTTTGTTTTCTTTGTTGTCTGCAATCCCCTCATTTCCAACACTAATCAATCCTTGTGTTTTTCTGTTGTAGTATGTTCTTAAACATTATCTTCATAAGCATAATCCTCTTCCTTCCTATCATCCAACCTTAGAATTTCCAGAAAATCCAGTTGTCGGAATTAGAGATTCAAGCCACCAACAACTGCTGGTCTGCGTAAACCCCTTCCACTTCAAGTTCAAACACTAAACCTCCACTTACTGAGCCATAGAATGCAAGAGGCTAGCTTTTATCGATTTCTCAGAAATTTCTTAGAAATTTCTTTCATTGCACCATAAATGAAAAAAATCAACTCTTCTCCTTGGTTTTTCTCTTCAAACATTAGAAGCATCAAAGAATGATTCCATAAAAAGAAAGAAAACATTAGGTTTCCTGGAAAAGAAGGAAAAATTATTTCTTCTCCAAACTGTAAGCGCAGGAGCATCAGGAATGACTTTGTATTACCTTGGCAGCCAAGTTGTTGCCATTAGAGTAAGCATTGATTTCTTGATGCCAATGCATTGATAAAGAATGTTATTATTTCCATCGTTTTGGGAGGTGGTTCTAATTCAAAGCCGATTCTACTGTATGAAGTAGATTGAGTGTGCTCAATAGGTTTTATTGGTAGTATTTGATTCTTCGACTTTTTGATATTAGGTAACAATGGTAATTGCATATTCTCTTTTTGTACTTTATATGGACTACTGTCGCATGAAAATCTCTCTGTTTTGCTGATAGTGGTAACCTGTAGGTGATTGATATGCTGCTCTTCAAGGGGATGGAAGAGCTGGGCAACATTGTGGAGCATCATAAGCAGCGGCATCACATTATTGGCCAGTATGTACTGGGAAAAGATGGGATTTTGCAGGATTTATCACCCAAGGATGAAGGCTCTTCTGATTTTCTCAAGAACTTCTATAGTGGCAACTACTTTTGAAATTCTAGGTTCTGTGAAGGTGCCTCTTGGTTTTGCTTTGGCTCTCAGATTTCCCAAATAAATGAATTAATATTTCTGTATCATTTGGTTTGTTGGATGAAATCCTCGACCGGTTGCTCCTGGTCCACTTTATTGGAACCAAATTATAATTTTATGAATTCCTATTAGTTTTCATAAATCAACAAATTGTGTTTGTTGTTGGTGGTGAAAGATGCACATAGCATTCTGTATTGTGTGCATGTTGTTGCTTAGTTTCCGATAATTGTATCGGTGGCCCGTGATTGTACAGCATAGTCAATGATAATAGAAAACGGCAATATTACTCTGTAAGTATTGAATGCTGAGACTCACGTAGAAGGATTCTGCAATTAGTAGAAGTTTTGCGTGAACTAATAGTCATAATCCATGCTCAGAGCTCAGAAATCTTGGTCAGGTCAAAACTTTCCTCCTGCATGGGAAGGTAAGCAGGGTATATGTAGAATCGAATTTTCTTACTTTTAGGGAAAGTAGATCTTACGATTTTTTTTTTTTTTTTTTTTTCAGAAAGGGTATATACCCTGTTTCACATAAGGTCCAAAAAGAGCTCAAATGGGCCAGTTATGCCCGGGCCATTATATTCCAGGAAGGATCCATCATATTCTAGCAGAACTGAAGGGAAACACTGCAGGAAATATTTGAATCAATAGGTACATGAATATCTGAGTCATATGTTGCCTAACGATGTTGGGGTTATTCATGCTCATTGTTCTTACAGCTAAAATATGTGAAACAGTGAAGATAACAAAAGAAAGGATACCATTATTGTGTTTATGCTCAGTTTAGTCCTAAACCTATATATCCTTTCTCAATTACATTTAAAACCTATAAATTTTATTAATAAAGTTTCAAATATTCTCTAAATTTCCCAATTGTATCCTCTTGTCATTTTTTTAATAGTTTATGTTTAATTTACATATTTTTTGCACTAAAAATTGAGTCGATTTGAAGAAAATTTGGTGAAAAACTTAACAAACATTAACAGTTTCTGGCTGTCCATATTCATGTATTAAAACGACATTGATTTGAAAAAAAAATGATAAAAATATGGATGAACATTAATAAAAAGACTTAATTTGAGAATTTTAAAAAACATTTAGGATCTAATTGATGAAATTTATAAGTTTACAACTCAACTGAGAATGAGTATATACCTTTGGAACTAAATTGAAGTTTTCCTTACAAATTTTCACTCGAACTCGAACCTGTTGTGGAAAGATGGAGCTAATTGACTGATATAAGTACCTTGCTTGTGAGCATCTTAAGAACCCATTGTTCTGCATTTCCTTTTCTTCATCTGCAAATTTGCTATCGCCATGAACAAGACCTTTGCTTGTGCCATTCTACGTTTGTTTATACTCACTGCTCCATTCGGTAATAACTCTCCCATTCTTTTCTGTACATGGTTTTTTTTTTTTTTTTTCAGAATTCTCTTTGTTACAAATATTTGTACAAGGTTAAAAAATGGTTTCCTTCCTTTATCCAAAACGGAAAAAACAGAGGTTCAAGATTCAAAAGCTTGTTCATGTCAAAGACACTAAATAGATATGTTATCTACAAAATAATAGGATAACATTATGATTGAGTATTTGCAATTTCTATTAACCTTCGTCTTGATTTCTATAAATATGGAGTGTGCGTTGCTTGCTAGTATTGAGAAACCCATTATTCGCAATTTTTAAGAATAAATTTAATTTTGATTAATAAAGAAAGCAAACGAAACCAATTATTTATATCATCTAAAAAAATTTAATTAAAAGAATTAACAATTGTAAGAAGGTAATAATTGGCAAGGAAAGAGTGTTCGAGCAATCCTTATTGAAAGAGTGTTTAATTTTAATTAATTAATTCATAACTATTAATTAAAAGATTGACTTATTTTTTATTTAATAGTTTTTTTTTCCACACCAACATAATTCTGAACCTTAATTTTTTTTTTAATACATGCTGAACAATTATGATCAATTTTGAAACAAGATATAATCAACGAAAATAAACATGAAAGATGATAAATTATTAACTAATTATTAATCAATTCATGTCAGTCCAAACATAAAATAGCTATTGAACATGAAAGAAATAGAATTAGTGTCACCATTATCTAATTATTAATCAAAGAAGACATGACAACTTAGAAGATAAGAGCCTTAAAAACTACACTAAGTTCTCAAAACCTATTGTTGATCTTGAGACAACTTTGGTTGGAGAAAGAAAAGGAAAGTGTGAAAAAAATAAAAAAATGAACATTCATACAAACAAAAATGTCACCAAAACAAGACACTATAAATTTTTTTTTAAAATAATATAAATCTAGCGGAGAGAGATTGATCTTCCTTTTTTTTTTTTTTAATTAAGGAATAACTTGAATTCAGATTTTAATTAAAATTGAAATAAATTTTTAGAAGTAAAAATGACATGAATGGTTGATGTAGAGCTTATGTGGCAAAAAAATTACCATTTTGGAAAATAAGTTTAATATTATCTTATTTTGAAAAATAAAATTGAAAAATTTCTTGTTTGTTTGTTTGTTTCTTTTTTTTTTTTTTAAAAGAAAAAAAACCTTCAGTGAGAACTCTGATGAGGTGACCAAAAATTTCTAGCCAAAACACTATTAACTGAAAACACTAGTTGACCCGATTTATATTAACCAGGCCCATATTTTTGGCCATGGATCCTTCAATTTAAATAACCAATAATAATTGTAACATAATAAAAATACTTTTACTAATATATTTCACTTAATATAAAATCACGAGAAATTTCAAAATGAGAAAAGTTCAATTTTATTATTGTTCTATTGAAATATAAAATCACGAGAATTTTTAAAATACTCAAAAAATAAATATTATCAATATTTATTATATTGATAGTATTATTAGTGGCAAACACAAAAGGAGGAAAAAAAATCATATCCAGACCACAAAAACCCATAAGATTATTTTTACTTAGATTCATTTTTTTTTCCTTATTTCTCTCTCTTCTCTCTCTCTTTAATTTTTTATTTTTTTTATGGAGTAAGTATTATTAGTAATTTCTTGACTATCATAAAATGACCAATAATAACTTCAACATGTTAAAAATATTTTTAAAAAAATGATTTACAATCAAAATAGGTGTTAATCAAATACAATTTTTTAAATTAAAAGCATTTTGAAACAGGAGTGTTCGATTAAAAGTGCATGTACTCTCTTCATTTCAAACCAAATTAATCCGCCCATTTTGGACATTTGTTCATCGGAGCTTCCACTAACAGTGCTAATTACTAAGAGCATTTACTGAATATTGTATGTCATGCAAAATTAGATAGCTATAGTCAACTTGAGGAAAAAATAAATGGATCGATGAATGAACGGATTAATTAAATAATTCAGGAACCTTACAGAGTTTAAAGTACTAAAATCTGAATAATTAATGCTTTGGGGAAGTAATCTTTCGGCAACATCCCATATGTTATGCCGGTAAATATTGTATAATTATTTGATCGAGATTGCTATAAATATGTGGCTAGCTAGAATGAGTTATCAAGCATTTGAACATTGAAAATCTCAAATGAGCATGATGAAGAAGGCCTTTTCTCTTGTCCTCCTATGCTTATTATTTTTACTTGCCTCTCCATTTGGTAATTATTTGATGCTCCTTGAGAGAGAGAAAAAAAGAAGGAAGAAGTGTCTTGATGACATCTTCATTAGCATATGCTTTTTGATTCTTGATTTTCAACTTTTTCATTGTAAATACATATTGTAGCTAATGATATATATGTATTTTTTGATCTCTGGTGAGGGCAGGTTCAAGAGCAGATTGTGTCACGTTTAAAGACCTAAATGCAAAAGAATGTGCTGGTCAAGATGCTTCTTGCTTCTCTGCATGTGTCCCTGCTGTTCAAGGAGCTGTATCTGGAAGATGCATTCTAAATAGAGACACTGGTGGAGTGATCTGTGAATGTGAGATTCCTTGCTAATAACACATGCAACACCCTTACTTCAATCTCCAAGATCATAGCCAGTTTTCAATACTAATTTGTGGGTTGACCAAAAATATTTGTGATCTGAGTTCTTGAATTTGATTGTCAGTACATCACATGTGAAAGACCTGTATGAATTCTATTTGGATTTATGGATGTTCCATCTGCAAGGTTTGAAGGTTTGACATCTCTCGATCCGGCATCACATGTAAAAGGTTTTTACATGAATTATTGCAATAAATTCTGAGTTAGCATTTATTTATTTGATTGTTTCGGCTACAAACACATGCTAATTTCTTACCTAATTCAGATCATGTCCACTACTACACAACATGATATTTTGTATTAACTATATATAACTATTGTTTGAGATAAAAAGTAGAAAAGAAGGGTCAACTAAATCACGTCCACTACCACATGCAAGATATTTTGTATTGGCTGCCTCTCCCATTTTTTACTCAACCGATCGAGTCGTAGCTAGCCAGGATAAATTAGTTAGCACAATGACAAACACATCCAAATAAAAAATAAAAAAAATGATATTGTAACATCTGTTTGATATTGACGTCGACTTGTTCTTGTAGCTATAAATGTTTAAAGCAGGTTATGTTTAAATTAAGGCAACTAAATTTAATAAATGACCAATAAAATAAAATAAAATAAGACAATTAAATTTAAATTTTATTGTTATGCTTTTAGATATATAAAATGACCAATAAAAACTGTAACATGTTAAAATTTTTTTAATAAATTATTTATAATTTCTTAATATCACATTTCAATTACTATGGTTATTAGAGTAATTATTTAGTTCAAAATAAAAAATAAAAAAAGTTGAATAGAATTATAACATATATAAATATATATTTTTTTGTAATATAGGAAGAAAAAAAAGAGTCAAAAGAGGTTTTGAAATTGAGTTACTCTAAAATACTAACATTTTTTATATATATATGTTTAATTTTTTAAAATAATTAATGGAAAAAATTGTTATATTAATTGGAAAAAATAGACCCCACAAGCAATTGTGTTTTTAATTAAAAGCTAGGTACTTCTTTTTTAATTTCTTCAAAAAAATGTTAATCAAACACTACTTTTTAAAACAAAAACATTTACACTTTTACTCAGATATGAAAATAAATCTACCAAGAGCACCGTGTTAAAAACAAAATAAGGAATGAAACTTTTTATCTGTCAAGGGTTTCGAAAGTTGTTGAGTTTTTATTAATAGTCGCTGGATTTTTCTTCTTCTTTTTTCATTGCTTTTTTTTTTTCAATAATCTCATATCTAGATTTTATGTTTTTGCTTTGTAATATAAGTTTATCTTTTTATTCTTTTTCTTATATGTCTTTTTTAGAGGTTATGGTTTTTTTTCTTAACAGATTGGAGTTGATTTGATTGACAACATCTCTCTTAACAAGAGAAAAAAGATCTACGAGGTAGGAGAGCTATTGTTTGCTACTAAATCTTGAGGTTAAATCAATGGCTCTTTCTCTTATACCATTGAAGTAATCAAGATTTTGTTTGCTTAAAATTTTTATTTTTTTCTTTAAATATAATTGTTTTGTATTTGTCTTGGATGCTCATTTGAGGCTATTTCATCAATGAAATTTCCTATTTTTGGCAACAAAAAAAAATATATCAATTCATATGACTGAAACTTTCCAATTATATCCATCAACGTGTAGTGCTAATAAAATTGGAATGATTTAATTTCTATATTTGGTAGTATTGGTTTGCGGATTTACTAAATCACAAAAACAAATTCATTACTATTTACCTTCCCCCCCCCAAAAGAGATCGATTGTCTTTTTTAAACCTTTCATACACATTAAGAAATTATTAATTATTAGCATTTTCTTGCTCATTCTTTTTTAAAATACCCTTTTTAAAATTTTATATTTGGATAAATTTTTACAAAATATACTTTCATTAGAGATATTTTTTTTAAAAATACATCACTTAAAATTTTAACCAAAAAAACATTTTGGGATAGATATAAATAATAAAATAGATTTTTTTTTTTTTTTTTTTTTTTTTTTTTTTGTATCTGAGGGATTATCATACATACAATTGAAACTTCCCAATTATATCAATTAAAAACCTACAATACCAATTAAATGATTAATTTCCATAAGTAGCCGTATATAATATATTGATTACGAGAAATTTTATAATACACCAGGAGTAATTAGTGGCATGTACGGTAGTTACTCCATTAGTTCACTTTGAGGAGAGAGATAGACATAAAAAAAATAGTGAAATTACATCTATGTCTACTAAAAGTGATAAGAAGATTTCCACGTCTCGCTCAATTTTTTTTATTCTCTCTCTCTCTTTTTTGTGTCTATCTCTCTCTTCAAAGTGGGCCCATGGAATAACTACCGTACATACCACTAGTTACTCCCGGTGTATTATAAAATTATTCTATTGATTACAACCATTTTATTCAATTATGAAAATAAATCAATTGACTATACCAGTTAAATTACATGGCTATATATCTAAAATAATTTACCAAACATTTGAACATTGAAAATTCCAAATAATCATGATGAAGAAAGCCTTTGCTATTGTCCTTCTATCCGCATTTTCACTCGCCTCTCCATTTGGTAAATATTTGATGCTCCTTAAGAAAAATGAAGTGTCTTAACATCTTCATTAGCATATATGCTTTTTGATTTTTGACTTCAACTTTTTCTTTGTAAATACATTTAACTAATGATATATATGTTTTTTGAGTTCTGGTGAGGGCAGGTTCAAGAGCAGATTGCGTTACGTTTAAAGACCTAAATGCAAAAGATTGTGCTGGGCAAGATGCTTCTTGCTTCTCTGCATGTGTCCCTGCTGTTCCAGGAGCTGTATCTGGAAGGTGCATTCTAAATATACACACTGGTGGAGTGAGTTGTGAATGTGAGGTTCCTTGCTAGTAATACAATAACCTCACTTCAATCTCGAAGATCATTCCCAATTCTCAATAACAACGTGGATTGACCAAAAGTATTTGTAGGAATTCATGAATTCTTCTTTAAGTGATTCAATACATTTTGAGCTAGCATATTATGTCAAAGGATCATTTCACGTAAAAGTTTAAGTCTGTCGAGTACGATCGTTTGATTATCAAAGCTCCGATACCATGTCAAATAACTATCTTATCCAAAAACTTAACTCGTCGGGTAAGATCCTAGGATATGATTTATATTATTCCCTAACATATTATTATTTTTTTATTAATATAATAAGAGATATTTTTGAATAATTTTATATATCAATAGAAATTATCGAAAACAAACCATAACCTCAATTAAACCACGCATCTAATATACAGCTGATTATTTCACCACCTTACAACCACTCTTGACACATATGCCTAATAGAGTTTTGCTGTGAGAATTAGGGTTTGAGACGATATTAGCAAGGAACATAACAAATGCACATGTTCTTCTCAGGTAATTTGCACGATCCAGCTACAGCCCCAGCTACAGCTGGGACACAAGCGTTAAGGCACCTTGAATTATCGCAATGTTCATACGGTATGTATATGAATTTATCACAACTGGATTCTGCTGTCGAGCCTGCAATAACGAGGATAAAACCGTGAAAATAAGATGAGAAAAATGAAGGTTGATCAATACTAGTGTAGGCATTCTTTTTTGTATTTTCCAACAATTAAAATGTTGAAAATAAAATAGAAGAAGAACTGCTATATTTGAGAGAGCAGGAGAGTTCTTACCAATTGGAGCAGTGATCAGTAAAAACAAACATAAAATGGCACAAGCTAACGTCTTGTCCATGGCAATCACAAATTTGCAGACTAGGAAAGGAAAAACAGGATAATGTGGGTTGTCAAGTAATCACAAGCAAGGCAAGCTTATATCAACTCCATATCCATAGCAATATATATAGATTAGTCAGGCAACATATGATTTGAATTCATATTTTCAAGGATTTACTTACCCGAAGTGTTAGAAAATTCAGATTCTATAATACTGCAAGGCTTTCGATGCATTTCTATATATGTCAGCAAAAATGAAGTAGATTTTGCTCATCTATATCGCAATCTTAAGAAAATTAAGGTATGGCTAACGGATTGTGCGATAATTAAATTAATCTAATCAATCTCTTCTTTCCTGTTTTATGATATAATTATCAAAAAAATTAGATTTTATTCTTTTTTCAACTCAATCTAACACAAAAGGTAATCTAATACATGCATTTTGATAATGATTTTGTTACAAAAATACTAAATGATTGCCAAAAATGTCATTTGATCATTTAACTAGATTTTTGCTGATATACCCTATTGGAAATTAAGCTCTTAGATAAGCTGGATATTGGAACTCATCATTCAGCATTTCTAATACTTATTCGCTAAAAAAAACTTAGTGAACTCACTTCTCACAAATTTTCTCATGCATTGCATATATTAGTTAGTTAATTAATAACAAATATATACATCCAAATAAAAGAAAAATATTGTTTATATCTGTTTGATATTGATGCCGTATTATTAGTGATAGACACAAAACAGAGAAAAAAATCACATCCAAACAAAAAAAAAACTATAAGAATATTTTTGCCAAGATTCAGTTGTTATTTTTTCAATTCCCACTCTTTTATTTCTCTATCTTCTCTCTTTTTAATGGAGTAAGAATTATTAGAAGCTTTGTGAGCACCATAAATTCTCATAAAATGACCAATAATAACTTTAACATATTAAAAATATTTTAAAAAATATTTTATAATCAAAATAGGTGTTAATCAAATATTGCTTTTTAAAACCAAAAGCATTTTAAAACAGGTGTATTTAATAAAAAGAGCACGTACACTTTTCATTTCAAACCAAATTCATCTGCCCATTTTGGACATTTGCTTATCGGAGTTTCCACTGATAGTTTCCTAAGAGCATTTACTGAATATTGTATGTCGTGCAAAATTAGATAGCTAGTCAACTTAATAACCAACAAATTTCTTTATTTAGAAACGGATAAGCAATCTAATTAATAATCGAAATAAAATCTCTTTGCGACAGACATAGAAACAGCTTGTTAAATAACGATGGATATGACAACAAATTTACGAGAAAATTTAATAAATATAATTAGTGACGAAAAATTTTGTCGTTATTTTACTATTTTCTTGTAGCGATACAAATTGTTGGATATATATACACACGGCAATTTTTATCAGATAAGGTATGGGTCTTTAATTGATTAAAAATTTGAGATACTATATATGTATTAATGTATTTTTTTAAAAGAAAAATAAACGACAATTTGTATCAAATAAGGTGTGGGTCTTTAATTGATTAAAACCATTTTATTCAATTATGAAAATAAATCAATTGATTATACCAGTGAAACTTTCTAATTATATCAAATAAGGTCTAATGATTTAAAAATTTTGAGATACTATATATGTATTAATGTACTGTTTTAAAAGAAAAATAATATATATATATATTATTCGATCGAGATTGCTATAAATATATGGCTATCTAGAATAATTTACCAAGCATTTGAACATTGAAAATTCAAAATAATTAATCATGATGAAGAAGGCCTATGCTCTTGTCCTTCTATGCTTATTTTTACTCACCTCTCCATTTGGTAAATATTTGATGCTCCTTCTCAAGAAAAATGAAGTCTTAACATCTTCGTTAGCATATCCTTTTTTATTAATTTTTTGTTTCAACTATTTCATTGTAAATACATATTGTAGCTAATGATATATATATATGTTTTTGCTCTCTGGTGAGGGCAGGTTCAACAGCAGATTGTGTTACGTTTATAGACCTAAAAGCAAAAAATTCTGCTGGTCAAGATGCTTCATGCTTCTCTGCATGTGTCCCTGCTGTTCCAGGAGCTGTATCTGGAAGGTGCATTCTAAATAGAGACACTGGTGGAGTGAGTTGTGAATGTGAGATTCCTTGCTAATAACACATGCAATACCCTCACTTCAATCTCTAAGATCATCGCCCGTTCTCAATCAAGTATTTTTATGAATTCGTGAATTCTTCTTCTAGTGATTCAATACATTTTGAGCTAGCATATTAATTTTTTCACTGTATTGTATTAGTTATATATATATATATATATATATATATATAAGAAGAGATATTTTCAAATCAATTAATACATCAATCGAATTTATCGAATCAATTTATGTATCATTCAAAATAAATAAAAAATAAAAAAATTCTGACAATCTTAAGGATTCATCCACCATAAAAAATTCCGTTACGGAGTGTTTGTAATAAATGAAGGGTGGAATTCATTTCTTTTATAAATGATATGAACAAGAATTTGTATTTGCAAACGAATTCTCTTATTTGGAACCAAAAAAAATAAAATTATTAACCAAATCATTCATTTGTAAATACATGTTATGTTTGGAACACATGTAAAATTAGAATTGTAGTTTGCATTTTACTTAAATACCTTCTAGTTGGTTGAAAGATAATTGTGATATAATAGATCAAGTTTGCTTATAAGAATAATTGAAAAATCTGCTTTTTTGCTTGACTTAATAGATCAGGTTTCCTTCTCATTCTTTTCCTACACTATACATTTTTATCTCTTTTTTTTTAAACAAGAAATATTGTTATGTTCATAGCTGTTTGCATTTATATTCAGTAATTATTTCTCTCACAAATGTTATCTATTAAATAAATAATTGTTCTAAAATTACAAATTATAAAAATTACAGTTATTGAATTTTTTTCTAAATTCATTTCAAATATTATATGCAGGATTTTCAGATATTATCCCAACTAAAGGTGCCTATTTCCTATAAACAAAAAATGAAGACATAAAATTTAAATGGAAGTCTAGAACATCTAGATTACGAGATACAAAGACCGAAATGGATATGATCATGCATATGGTTAATACAGAAAATCAATTCAAAGCAATTAGATGAAAAATTACTACTCCTAGATAACGCCTCCAAGATGAAAAATTAATTCAAAGCAATTAGAGATAACGCCTCTTAGATGAAATTACTACACCTAACTTTACACATCACTTTCACAATAATCAACAAAAAGAAACAACATGCAAACATCTCACACCACACCAGATGAAATTAAAGCCATATGAAAGAAAGAAAAACCAACTTGCACCACCAAATGAAAGAAAAGAAGAAGAAGAAGAAGAAGGAAAGTGAACAACAATATAAGCAAACCTGGAAGAGCAAGTGAGCAGAAGAGCTTAGAGGAGGATGAGGAATTGGACAGCAACAAGGGAGGCGTAGTAGAGAGAAGAAATATGTGCCAAAGAGACAGCTTACAAATTAAAAACGAATGAGCATAAGGTTAGGGTAGAGGGCATATTTGTCCAAATAAAAAATATTTCTCAATTATCATGAAATTCATTTGCAAATAACTTCTCTTGGGAAAAGAATTGGACAAAACTATATCAATTCATTGATTTGGAATTCATTCATTTGTAATTTTTAAAATTGAAGCTTCCAAACAAGATATCATTAATTAGCAAATGAATTCCATAATATTTTGTGGCATTCATTTGTTCCAAACAATATGTAAGAAAGATTTAATAAATTTTTATGTAAAATTGAAACTTAAAAATTCTATTATCACTTCTCTAAAAAGATCCGTTCTCTAACCAAGTTTTCCGATTCAAACAAAAAATAATCACAAATTAACGTCTCAATTTTCATTTCCATATTTTGAATCTTAATATACGAATTTTTAAAATAAAAAATCGGATATTAAATATTAAGCTACTATTCCTCATCGTCCATCAACAAACGGAAACTTCTCCAAGGAAAAGGAAAATTAATGCTGACTTTGGGTCCCTCCAATATTTGTTGGCTTAAAAGTTTCGAAATATATATATGAACTCTCTTTCTTCCATGATGTGCCAAGAACTGCTCAAATTCTATGGTTTGATAATTTCTTCATTGTTTCTGATTAGATTTAATGGTAATGATCCAGATTTTTTTGAAATAGATTTAATGGTAACGATTTACAGTCCGTTTTAATTCATTGTGATTAAAAAACAAAACAAAACCAACTTAATATTTCCTTAAGGAAGAAGGAAGGTAAGGCATGACTGTGATTCCGTCGAACATACAATGACTATATGTCTCTATGCCAATATAATACCAGTCGTCTGCAATTTTATAGAATGTTGTTCAAATTTGTAAGGAGAAAGCTCTCCAATGTTAATTTTAAATTCAATAATCTAAATTAAATTAGAAAAATATAATAATTTTTCTATCTTAAATAGATTGTCTCTTTGTATTTTTTCACATAAACTCCGAATTTTATTAATTGTTATATCATATCAACATCTTTTATTTGTACTTTAAAAAAAAAAAAAAGTTGAACCATCTTTTACCAAATGAATTTGAATTAGGGTTAGTTTAAAAAAATACCACTTAAATTTTTAACCAAACGAATATTTTAAAATAAATATAAATAAAAAAGAAATAATTTTTTTTAGACAAAGGGAGTAATAATGAATTAAGTTGTTGTCGTTTTTATCAGGTATTAAAATTATTTTTATTGAATTTGAATTTAAAATTTTAGGTTTGATAAATATGACGGTTATGTTTCCCATCTCGTAAATATTACTATTTTTTGAGATGACAACTATAAAAACAAGATAAAATAAATCACACGCATGATATCTTTAAGAAAATAATTTTTTTAATTCAAATTTTGAAATCAAGAATCTATAAATTTTTTCAAAGTATACCATGCTATATAGAATGTAAGCCTTTAAAATAATTTAAAAAATATTTAATTTTGATTGAAGAGTAAATTGGTCCGGTAATTCAAAATATCTATTATGGATTTAAATTTATCTTTGTTATTAAGCAAATTTTGAGTATAAAAAAAATATTTATAGTATTTTTTTTTTAAATATCAAGAGAGTTTCAGTTAAATTTTAAATTTTTGAATGATATTTGTAATTGTATAATACTTCAAAAGAATCTATTATAATTTATTTATTTTATTTTATAAATTTTTTAATTTAACTCAAAAGTGGGAACATAAATTTTTTTAACATTTTTTTGGGACTCAAAAGTGCTTAAAAGACTAGATATATGTTTACCTTTTTTTCAATTTATTTAATTTAGTTATTTAAATTTAATAAATAAAAATAAATAAAGAGATGAGATTAAGATTAAAAAAAAAAAAAAACTAAATTTGGCATGTGTTGCAATCTTATTGCACTAATCGATGCAATTTAATTCTGTTAACCTAAAAAGTTAACAGAGAGATATGATTAAAGTAGAAACCTAATGGAATTAAGACGAAAAAATAAATAAAAAGAATAGAGAGATCTTTAAAACTATTAACCCAATAAATTAAATCTGCTGGAAGAACAATATTGATGAACAACAGACAAACAAACTCAAATCTGCACGGCAATTTCCATCTCTCCACAAGACTGAGCTTTCAACACAATTGGCATTTCATAAATCTTAACATAGTTCAGTCCAACTTAATTGTGTCGCATACAGTTTAGTCCACTTCAAATTAATCCTTAAACTCAAACATATGCATCCATTGTCTTAGTAACATGTAAGGTGTTTTTTATCATAAAACTTGCTTCGGAATATGACAAACTGCGGATACCCGACTTACTAATTCAATTTTTAACTCTACCAATTAAAAAAAATATCATACTTATTATCTATTAAGAAATCATTATATATATAAATCTTTACTCAGTTCACACTCAACCCATACTAGTTTATCCGTCCATTTAATATTTATTAAATATTTATTAAATTTAATTTGTCAAAATATTTATTTTGGTCTCTATAATTTTTTGATCCTTAAAATTTAAATTTTTGGCTCTCAAAGTTTTTTTTTAAAATATTTTGATCCTTAATTTTTAAATTTTATGCTATTAGAGCTTTGTATGTTAATAAAAAAAATCTAAATAAATTAGTGGATATTAATAGAGTAAAGAGAGGATAGTCATACTCGAAAACATATTAATAGATATATATATTTTTTTACTATTATCCACTTCAATGCCCATCGGACATTTTTAATGGGTATCTATTGAATTGGGTAAAATGAATATCCGTTTATAACCCGCCCATTGTTATCCCTACTTGGGAACATAATCTCCCATAAAAACAAAAAAACGAAAAAAACAAACAAAACAAAGCGAACGAACAAATACATCAATAGCATTAAATTAGGAAAGTATGATCTTATGATTTTGTTTTAGGAGAGTAAATCCATGAGCAACAGTTACCTAATTAACTGTTACAAGATCCATTTCTTTAACATACTTGTGCCTTGTAGCAACAAATAGAAGATTTTAATTTCCTTAATCAGCAATATTGAATTATGAATTAGGAATATTTCACTCAATTATGTAAGTGAAATCATCACTCAAAATGAAACTCAAATCTTACATTTGTTATTGGATTTTTTTTTTTTTTTTTTTGAAGTATTCACTACTTACTAAAAATTCAAAGATATCTCTAATTAATATCCTTCCTACAATAATAGCACAGCAAAAATGTACTATTCAACTAACAAAAGAGAGAAATATGAGAAAGAATTAAAAAAAAAATCTGAATAAAAATATTCTTATCATTTTTTATGAATTCAAGTATAATTTTTTTTTCTCTTGTATTTGTCTCTATTCTCAAAGTATATCTATAAAATTAATATTTATAGTTATTTTTTTAAGTATTTTAAAATTTCTTAATGAATTAATATTGCTATAAATACTAGTTACTGCAAATATATGCAAGTGTGTGTGTTTGTATTCTGAGAGGCAAAAATCAACATTTGAGTATTTCTATTTTCTGGTTTGAAAATTTACCATCATGAAGAAGACATTTGTGTGTGCTCTTTTATGTTTGTTTTTACTCGCTTCTCCGTTGGGTAATAGTCCTTCCTATCCCTCCCTTAACTTAAGAAACAAAAAAAAGTGTTTTAACATATTCATTAGCATATCTTTTTAATTATTAATTACAAATTACTTTTGTCTAGCAAATTAGCATTTGGTAAACACGAGATAGAATGAAAATTAATTTTTATCCAAACTTTCTTTTCCACCTATCTCAATTTATAGAACAATCTTATAAGCTCACCAAAAACATCCTCGATATTTTTAGAATACAAATACATATCTTCTAGACGGCGGGTGTTCTGTGTGGCAGGTTTAAGAGCGGCGGAGTGTAACAAGTTTTTAGATTTAAAGAGGAAGGATTGCAGCGGTCAAGATGAAGTTTGCCGGGCCAGATGTGTAGCTGAGGTTGAAGGAGCCATATCTGGAACTGGAAGGTGCATCCAAGATGGGATGGGCAGGGCATTTTGTTATTGTGATATTCACTGCTAGCTAAATTGATTGACGCACAGCATCATCATCAGTGTTAGTTTTCGATAATGATTTGTGCGTTGTGAAATCCTTTGGGTGTTTGAATTTAATGGTTTGGAACTGATTGCAGTTTCAGATTTTACGTTCGGCTAAATAAATCAAATTTCCCCTCAATTTTAATCTATTTGAAAATCAGTTCATGAATTTTTAATTTTATATTTGACATCTCTTAAATTTTTATTTATTTATTTATAGAATCAACCCATCATTTAGTTTTTTTTTAAAAAAAAATAATAGGCAAAAAAACTAACTTTATGATAAAAATTATTTAATAAGATTTATGCAGTTTCTTAAATAATTTGAGATCATTCCAAATTATTTTCTAATTTTCTATATCTTTAATGTTCAAAAAAATAAAAATATATATTTTTCAAAGAATTTTTCTGGAAAATAGATTAAATTTTTTCCACCATGTATGCAAAACTTCAACCTAAAATACCAAGAATTGAATTTAAAAAAGGAGAGAGTGATAATTAAAAATCATAAGATAAATTAAATCTAAAAATAAAAATTCAGAAAATATCAAATATGAAATTAGAAGTTCAGATACTGCTTTTCAAACGAATTAAAAAATAATGACCAATTTAGCCTTTACATTCTGAAAGACGTTTGAAATTGGATTGCATGAGTTCAATAAATTCGAGTACTAATATTTTTTTATTAGGAAAAGTACAATATGGTCCTACAATTTTGTTATTATTTCCACTTCCACTTTTTTTTTTCAACTTAATTTTATCAGTAATTCCTCATTTTCTTAATTTAACCACAATTTTAATATGTCAGGGATGAGAGAATGAATGTTTAAAAAAGAACAAAACAAAAAAGACAAAAGGATTGAAATTGCTTGCAGAACAGAAAAATTATCTTGAGGAGGCAAAATATAAGTTTTCAACAAAAGAAATTAGGTTAACCATGAAGAATAAATTAACTCAAAATGAAGATGTCCCAACTTCCAAATTCATTTTGAAACTGTCAAGTACAAGGACAACATATTTTAAACTTACCATGACCACCGGATGAAATGGAAAACAGGACTACGGTCATCAGGGCTATAAATAATTAACATTGATACATACTGTGCTTGAATGACTCAAATTCTATGCTCTAAGATGATTAGTATGGCAGGAAGAACAGTACCATGATACATCTGATACTACAACAAGAGAAATGCACAAAAGAAACGCTATTTTGAACACTAGAAACATGAAGCACTGCTTGATGTGGAATTTGGCTTTTTGATTTTCGTGCAGAACTTGTATTCAGATGCAAAGCATATTCACTCTCTCGGTCGAGCGAGCCAGAGGGAACTAAGAGCTCGTAAACGGGAAAAGTACTCGTGTATTGCGAGGAGAGCACGAGCTGACTGACGGGTTGTTAAAATTCGGTGCATTTGTTGTAACGTTTGCTGCCTCAAATTGTCAGCCTGGTTTTATAAAACCCAGTATAAGCAAAGTCCTTTGAGACATGATACTAGGAATATAGGGGCAAAAGAACAGAAAGAAAAAACAAACCCAGAAAAACTCAATACTGTAGCTGATTTAGGAACTCTTGATCATCTTACAAATTTCAAGGTTTTATGAAATCTCTATGCTGTAGGCAACAGATGCAAAAACAATTAGAGGCATACCTGGCGAATAAATCCCTGGAGGCTGCCTAGCTGTCCCATGGCCATGGCCATCTGACCCATGTAATTTGCCACATTTCCTGATGAACCTGAGGAGCCAAGAGTTCCGCTGGACAATGTCTCAGCCAGGGACTGCTGCAATGCCTCCATCCCTTGAGATAATGCATCTTCTGCCTGTTGGGAGGACTGCTGCAAGTTGCCAATGCCCACCAACTGCTGCTCTGTTAAAGGCTCCAATTGATTCACAAGAAGCTGCAACCATGATCATTAAATTTTATCGTGTTCTCGAAAAAAAAGAATAGAAATATAGGAGGTATTTTGTTCTGCCAGGAGCCAAGGGTGCCCTAAGAAATGAATTGTAGAAAACAAATCAATCCATCAAAATAAAAGGAGAAAGGAATCTAACATACGTGTGGTATGAGCCAGTCATTGAGGCTACCAAGAAAACAAGGTAATGAGCTTTCCCTTTTAAAATGCATAAACCAGCCCCAACAAATTGTATACCAACAAAATATAAACTCACAATTATGCCCACATTTGCAGGCACACAAGCACTGAAAAGGAAGCAGGTACAGGCTAGAAATTTTCTCCTTCACACTGCACAAACGAAAGCCAACCACGCATCCAGGGTGAGATGATGCTGCCCTCCCTGCGGCCCTCAATCACAACCTTGTCTTCTAAGATTAATTTACTGCTACACAGATAAATCTGTATGTTCGCACAAATAAACACACCCATATATGTGTCCGAATAATTTAGTGTTGCTGGAGCAACTAACTTTTTCCACCAAAAAAGAAATAGCAATACAAACAAAAACGATCACAACAGCCTAGCCCCAGAAAGGCTCCTAGAAAATGAATTTAGGGAAACACAAACGGTACAAAAGAACCAACCTTAAAAACGTGGTGGGAAGATGGGCAATGGGATATCAAAACTTAATGATAATATCCTTCAATGTGCAAGAAGAAAAAACCTTAGTTTCAGAGCTGAGAACTAATGAAGTCCTATGCCAGATTATAAGTTATAATAACTCACAGTTCACCTTAGAAGATCTAAATAGATTTGATGTCAAGCAGAAACTGTGAATCACACCACTCTGGGCTTCAGATCAGAGATTAATGAGTGAAATGGGAACTGGATGAATCCTATATGAGACCCTTAATGATAGGGAATAAATCAAAGAACCACTCAACTTAAAAGCTTAAGTTGTTAGGTAACACAACAGGAATGCTTTCATATAATATTTCTTAACAGAATAATTTATTATGCTGTCAAGTGTCAAGTAGCATCCTGTGAACCAAAGAACTTCTAACTGCCAGCATATGGCTATAGAAGTACAGTATGAGACTCATTAACAATCCTAAGCCCTCTCACAAGAAATTCCCGCTAATTGGTTCTTTCTAAAAATTTGCAGTTTGGCACCCTCACCCTACTAGCTATTGCATTGATAGCATCGACTCTTTGTCAATAAATTAAATGAAGAACCAAAAACATACAGTTCTTGCAATCCTTTGTTCTGTGCAAGATTAAGATACTTATTTTAATACTCGAGTAATGCCACCTCTCCTAGAACTAAACCCAGCACAAGCAAAACATTGAAAGCACAATAAACTCACCTTGAGGAGCTCAGATGAACGGAAGCCACCAAGCCACATAAAACACCTCTCTGCAGGTGTCTTCCACATGCCAGACAGCAAATGGAAAACATCAGCCTTGGCTGCATTGCTCTTCAGCCTGAAAACTTCATCATAGTGAGCCATTATATCATCAATGATAATACGAAGTTCTGCATCACCCGCATGAGAATTCACAGCTGATCTCAGCTCATTAATTTTTCGATTTTGATCCTCTAGCCATCGTGCATATTCTACATCAAATGCCATAGCCCCTGCAAAAAGATACAGTTAACCATCTAATGTGTTAACCTGTAAATGTGTGTGAACTTAAACCCTAGAAATGAAAATAACCAAAGAAATTTGATGTCATTCCAATGAATACATGTAGAGCTAACAGCATGTTCATTGGTTAAACTTAACAGCCACGACTATGTGGGACCATCCAACAATTACCAGACATCTAGTTTATTCCCAAAAATGCACACATTTCAAACAATGAATCTTGCTTAGGGGAGAGACTAGGCATTACCATTTCCACTCATTGAATGAGTTTGGTCTCCTGAGCTTGATATGAAGATTCCCTATATGAGAGAGAGAGAGAGAGAGAGATTCAGTGAAATGTGACACACCTCAAAATGAGGATTCTTAATGCACAAACTGAAAGCATTACACAATGTGGCAGAGAATTAGCCAAACCTAACCTGCTGCCGTGCCCGTTGAAGCTCCTGTTCCAGTTGGGTTAGCTTCAAGCGGCTACTCTCCAGCTGCTGGACATATGCCTATGGAGACACAGAAAAGGATGAAACTCAAATAATTAGAAGAAATGTTACTAGGCATGCATGCATGTAGTGTGTAATAGACAAACGAGAAGATTGCGTGTAAAAAAATTTCACATGGATGCACTGCCAGATCTGCTGCAACAGACTATTGCTAGACAAGGCATGTAAGTGCTTCTAACATATAAAAGCTAGAACTAACTGTTCTGGCACCTTTTCTTGGTCAACAAGAAAATTTTACTAGTGTAAAATGAGAACAAGATTACACCAAGGTAAAAGGTAAGAGAAAGTTCTTGAACTCATTTGAGAAGTTCATTTTGATGTATATCCTCACTATCCTCTTTTAATTCTTTTAAGTTGGGGGATGAATCCTAATCATTTTTGGGAAGATCTGCGCACTCACTTTTTTACTGGTTTAATTGCCTCTATATATATATTTTTTTCTCTTTATGTTGTCTCAATAGACAACTTCTATCATATTGAGAAATGAGGTTTTCCTTGGAATTTTATAAATTTTCTACCACTAACAGACAAGAGAGTTGGACATTGGTGACATCGGGAAATTTTTCTTGCAAAATATTCCTTCCTCCTTGCACACAGGTCTGACCTCTTCTCATTTTCATTAGCTACCTAAATGGAAGGCAAATGTACCTTCAATGTGTACCATGATTAGTTCATCCCAGGCAACCATAAGTATATAATCATTTGGGACAAGCAATTACCTTTCTTTCTGATTAGGGATTAGATAGTTTTTCTAGCTTCGCTAAGGGGCTTCTTATTAGTTTTTTTGTTTCAACAGGAAAATGTATTCTTCTCATTCTTTGCACATATTTCCCCTTCTACCATAATTAAAGGTTCTTCCTATAATGTAAACCACAAATGGAGAGGAGCCAAGTCGCATCCCCCATGTGCACTCATCTTGGCCCACATTGCCCTTAAATAGGATTAGTTTTTAAACCACAATAGACTCTGCAAATTTAGCTATTAGCAATTGAAATCAGTAAATATGTGAGACAGCATAACACTTAAGATCAGTTGACAACATTCACTTGACATTGAAAATGAAACAGTAAAGAAAAGTCTGAAAAAAGTTTGCTCAGAAACAAAAAACAAGTACAAGAAAAGGATGAAACATACCTTCTTCCTCAAACGGCTTTTTCTTGCAGCTTCTCTGTTTTGAGCAAGCCTACGAAGAGTCTGCATAGTGTAATCAAACAATCAATCATCAAGTACAACTAGATGGAGTAGCATATTTGTGAATGCAATTAATATATAACATTGTCACCTTCTGGTCCATTTTATCCTTTGATCTGTCACTGGAATCAGACGCCACAAGAGCTGCAGATTGGCCTCTGTTGAACTGCATGCATACAACTTTTAAGTGTTAGAAGGGAATTTATTTGGTCAAATCAATACATTTTCCAATGAGCAGAATGAATGATGCTGCTGTTTACTTCATCAAGCAAGAGAAGAAATGCATTTGGAATTGAAAAAGAAAGAATGGTAAACTAGAATTCTTGATTACAGGCACTTATTAGAAGCAAAAATAGAATAAAACTATTGAAAACAGAGTACGACCTAAGCAAGTTTCTAATTTACAGAATTAAGTGCTTAACATAATGTCATGGGAGTATAAGACAAGAAAAAAACAGCACCCTTTGATTTTTATCATCTGTGTCTGCATCGGTTGAGATATCAGTCCTCGGACTAGCATCAGCCATCGTCTCCCCCCAGTTCTCTGTATTAACACTTGGTATAGAAACCCGGTTTGACTGTTGAATGTTCTCTAGCAGTAACCTCTGAGTCTCCCCCCAGTTTTCTGTATTTGCACTTGCTATAGAAAGCTGGTTTGAGTCTTGAACTTTTTCTAATGGTAACCTCTGAGACTCCAATTGGACAGCAGATGAATTAATATTAAATGAAGTAGTTGACTGTTTCTGCCAAGTCAGGGAAGATGACAAAAATTAGTAGAAGTAACTAGACAGGCAACATATCATCTATCTGAGATATTCACCTTGTCAAAAGTGCCACTGTGGAGGGGTTCAGAAGGGATTGCTTGGGTTCTTTCTTTTGCTGAATTGAACACCGTACCTGCAATGACACATATTACATAAAGTACTTTGCATAGCCGCATAGGTAGGCAAAAAAATCAATATATTTCACTAGTTCGTGGAAATTGATGATAAATTTGTTCTGAGAGACCAAAAAAATGATTTTTACTAGCATGCTAAATCAGGTTAACACTTTTAATTCTAGCTGGTTGTACATTCTAGAAATACCTATTTTTTATGTCCTTATAATATATGCACAGCTATTCATTTCAATGGACACAAAGTTTCATTTCTTTCTTCAGTTTCTTCGTCTTGATTGCATCTTTGTTTATTTATACAGATTTAATTTTTCATTTTGAGTCCCATGGGGATAACTGTCTTATGGCATTTGAAATGCTTATCAAATGCCAACAATCATGGTAGAAAATGTAGAAGCTTCTTGATTATTTTCTATACACTGTAATCAGTATTATCTAGATTTTTTCTCCCACTCTCTTTCCATTAAAAAAAAAAAAAAAAAAAAACCTATTGAACATGATTTTTCTCATGATGATTTTCAAAGCATTATTACGTCAAGTATTCCTGGGAATTGTTGCAATTAGACTGATATGACCCTAGATTCTGAAATATATTGCACCCCAGCAGTGCTTTCATGCAAATAACTTACCTCGACCACCCCCTAAATTTTAAAGTTAGCAGGTCATTTGGCAATAAGTCAATACCAAGTGCGCTGGCAGCTTCGACTCAGTAATAAAGGATCGGTCCATGTATTTACTGTCTTGGGGTGGGTAATGTAATTTCCCTTATCCAAAAACAGAAGATTATATTTTTCTGCATAGTAGCAATATTCCTATGAATTTGTTTCAGCACAATACCAGAAAAAATAGTTTAATGAAAAAATTAGATCACCAAAAAGACATCAGCAGACAAAATTTAGTTATAGAATCTACTGGATGAAAGAGCTATGCCAGTTTTAAATTAGTCCCCTACAGATTACTCAACACTTACCTGCACTCAGGTCAATAGCATCGTCCTCTAAGAACACCCCAAAATCAGTAACGCGGTAAGGATGGATTGTGCTTCTCTCTACACAACTGAAACCCATAATTGCCACCAAATAAGTACCAAGAATTTTTTTGAGTGTTAAAATTTTACAACCAAAATGTATTGAGTAATACCATCAGTCCAAACAAGTACCAGTAATATTTGTGTAGCATTTTTCGCTTTAAACCGGTAAAAGTATATAAATCTTGACCAAAACTTTTACAATGACCTTCCAGATTAAACTTTTAGAAACAATAGAGTATACGACAATTACTGGACCAATAGCGGAGAAAGAAGGAAAGGAAAGGGAAAAACACAATCGGGTTCAGCAATTGAACTAATTGAGAGCATTTCAAACTTAATCCCTTCCCTGCCCCTCTCTCTCACAATCAAGTTCCTCTGAACCCTTGCAAGAAAATTTAGCAAATAAAGCAATTCTACTTAGAATAGTTCCCAGCATTAGAGCTTGAATGGTGTACAAGCTATATAACTTTGAAAAAGTGATGAAGCATTGACATCATTGGGATGTAAATAAAGCAGAAAAGCTTTTATGAAAACAAACAAAGTACGTCACATGCTCAATATCTAGACAGCAAATTTTCAAAATCATTCAACACCAACCTCCGATGCCACCCAATCAAACAAAGAAACTCCTGATTATTACACTCTAGCCTACCAACTTTTGACATAGCCACTAGAAATGATTTCTTATGTGAGTACAAGACAGCCAGAAACGTGTCCAAGTTCTTGAATCTACTACTGGTCATATATACAAGCAAAGCAGATCAGGCACAAAAAAATCCAACTTGAAAGGATGAAATGAGAATTGAAATGTTAAATTGAAACCCCCCACCCCCCAACACACACACACACAGAGATATATATAGAGACGAGGGACTGTACACAGAGTTTGAAATTGGTAACTGAGGATCAAAGCTCGGCATCCCGACGGCCTTCTTCTCATCTTCTGCACCAGTTCTACTCCCCATGCATCATTGTCATCCTAATCCCCTCGGTCCCCTTCCAACAAATTGATACCCCAAACCACTGCCTATGGCAAGAATTATCACCAACCAACTTCCTTTTGTACAACCTATCGAAGAGACAGAAAAAATAAAATAATGAAAACTAAGAATAAATGAATATATAAAATTCCAAAATTTCCCTTGACATAATGAGACATCTAGCAGCAATATTAGTTCATGTACATACGACAGCAAAAAAGTTCACAGAACCAACTTGAAAATCTATTCTACCAAACCAAGCAAACTCCACATTATCCGTCATCCACAGTAACAGAACATGCTTCTAAAGTTCCAATTAAATTCATGTGCTCAGTGCTCACAGATTCTTGAGGATTGTTTGGCTAATGTTAATAGATTTTAGAACAAATCAGCATCAGGCTTAAAAAGTAATGCTCAGCACTCACAGATGCTCTAACCCACATCAACCAAAGTTGGTTCACAAATCACACTAGCTAAGTCTGTTAGACCAAGCAATAATTCTATACATCAAATTCAACAAGAAAAACACAAAAGGAAAAGGGAGAGGAAAAGCAGAACAAACTTGAAGAAATATAATCAGATAAGTAATCAAATGGCATACATGGATCACACGTTCACAAATGTTACCATCCAACTTATCCATCATCTCACAAGACATCCAGAAGAGAAATCAAAGAGAATCACTTCAAAACCCTAACAGCATAACTTTTAACACAAAATTGAACTTCAGTTTTTACTTAAGCTTGGCCGCTCTGTGGCGGTACCAGATACCAAAATCAACCCGATAAGATGGTAAATTCCCTAGATACAGAAGCTACTTAAAATCAAACTCATCCATCCAGCAAGCAGAACACAATTTGACCAACTCAATGATGCAGCATAAGTGGAGAAGAACACTACAAAACTCAGAATTCAATATCCATAAAATGCTCAACGAAAGAGTGAGAAACAAATTCAACAATACCCATAAGCCAAAAGGTGAAGAACAAGAAACATAAAACCACTGATGATGAGCAACTTGTAGAGATCAAAATTCTATCCTAAGATGTAAAGTTACAGACTGACTTTCACCAGTCCACAAGTCAAAATCAAGTTGAAACACTGCAAAACCCCTAAATTCGTCACCTTCAAAAATCAAGGAGACCTTGACCACGTTAAGCACCAGTTTCATAGCAAACTATAAATACCCAGAAAGCCAGAATCAACAGAAACTTCAAAAAATCCTCCAATTCAAGCTTAAAAAAAAAACACAAATTCACCTACTTTACTGTCCAGCAGCGACCTTTCACTTCATAAATAATTGTTTTCTGGACAAAATCACTAGTAGTATGAACAGAGCTTAAGAAAATCAAAATTTCACCTACTTTGCTAAAAAGCAACAAACTTTCACTTCATAAAATGATCGTTTTCTAGTCAAAATCACAAGAAAGTTTGAACCAAACCAAACCAAACCCACCTGGGATTTTGTTGTTGTTGAAGTTATAAAGCTTTCAACTTCGCAAACTCGTAAGTGCTGGATTGTTCAAGGGAAGAAAAGAGTGATGCATCATTCCAATCCCCAGACGTCTTCTTCTGTGAGAAATCTTCCACTTTCCAAGGGCTAATGATTTTTTAATCACTTTAATAATGTTTTAGTGCTTTGACATCGATTGGTTTTTTTTTAATTTAATAATTTTCTGTGCCGTTTACTGTGTCAGTATTTTCTGACACAATAACAATACAGCCAATCTTGCTTACAGATAAGTGGCCAAACTTTGGATCCTATCTGGTTAATGTTAAGACAGGTCAGTGCCAGTTAACCACTCTCATCCGGCCACGTGTGAATTTCGAATAATTTTGCAATAGTTGACAAAAATTCCCAAAAAAAGAGAAAAGACTTTAGTTGACAAAAGAAATGGTTAATATGGAAATTAGTAATTACGTGGTACCTATTTACTCCCCAACTTTTTTAGCTTTTACTTGCTTTGTTTTAAAGCAAAGTAAATAAAATAAAAACATGAAATAAGTGCTGAATAGAGATTTTAATATTTTTTATTACCCAGGACTCAATTATTTTTAATAAGTATAGATTAGTTTTAAATCAGAGATTCCAAGCCCCTTAAATTATTAGAATTGGAGAAACAAATCTAAATTTTGTGGTGGCTACAAAAAAATTTTAGAAAATGAGATTTAGCTTTTCAACTTTTTCGATGAAAATCCAAAACTCTTACGACTGAATCAATTTTTATGGTTAAAAATTTTAATATTTAATTATTTAATTTTTTATTTTTTTTAAAGATATATTAGCTTCATCGTATTCTTTTATAAAAGAAAATTTGTTAAATTCCAAAACGATAATAAGAGGAGCGTTTTGTTAAATGAAGAAAGTTTAATTAAAAGAGGGAATTAGAGGGATAATTTAGTCCATTAACATTGTAATTCAGTTATACTCCTACGGGTTATTCATTTCTACTATTGTAATAAATATCTGTTATCCAATATTCTAGCAAAATGTAGGCATGCGTGAGGAGCATCCTTGCTCCCTTAAATATAGGAAAATGTATGAATTCTAACATGATTTTTATCTATGAAATTCATACCTTCTTCTCTCTGCTCTGTTTTCTTCCCCATCTTAAATTCTTCTCCTTCTTCTTCTACTAACCTCACTCTGTCCTTCTGTTACCAATAGCTTCTGTTATTCCACTCTAATTTCTGTCACACTTAAGATCTTGAAAAAATTTTATTTCGATTGTTAAATTTCTAAGTTTATGTAATCTAGTAAGATTAAATTTTATTGGGTTTTTTAAAAATCAAATTGAATATAGATAAAACTCAACTTGATTTTTATTGATCAAACTAAAAGGGGGACAAAAGTTAATTTTTATTAAAGTCAGACGAGGACAGATAAAAAATTCACCCTCCTCGTACCCAACTAGAAATTATTATAATTTGTTTAACCTTTTGTTAGTACATGTGTGTATGCATAATTTTTCATGCATAAATTTTTATTTTAAACTTTGCTTCTTCCTTTTTACGGTTTTATTCACAAATTTTGTTACATGGTGTTGCGATTCATGGATGGAGTTAATTTATTTGTATGATTTAATAACCCAGTATGTTTCTTTGTGTTTAATAATGATTTTAAAATATAAATTGGGTCCAATTATGCATGGGGACAAAGCACTTCATCTAACCCAATTCGATTGTATCAAGTAAGGGTGAGCATTATTCTCTTTATATCAAAAAACCGAACCAAAATATCTATTTTGGATTGGTTTTTAATTCAATTTAAAAAATAAAATGAACCAAATTTTTTTATATTTTTTTTTGGGTTTTGTTTGATTTCTAAAATTTTTTGTTTAGTTTAAACCGAAAACTAAATTTATTTTTAATTTTTATTATTTTAAAAATATAAAAAATAGGTTAAAAAAAAAACTGAAATTTTAGTTTTTTTTTTTTTAATAAAAAAAAGCATAATAGTAAATCGGTTTGAGCTTAGTTTCTGTTATTTGCGTGGGCAAGGTAATAATTGTAAATATGCCAAATCATAGATGGATACACATAAAACCCATCCTTGCAAATGGAAATTTTGAATTGCGAGAGCAATAACCCAATTCAATAGCACATGTCGATCGCTCAAACAACTATCGAGTCTTGTGGTATTGTGAACCCTGAACTCTACATGGACAGAAATATTGGATCAAAGATGCAAATGTGATGGCCCAACTTTGCATTCCACGAAGGTAAAAGAAGGTTCTTGGACTACGTTGTCTATTGGGCCCGGCCACAAGCATTAATCCAAGACTCATACATCTTTAGGTGGGCTAAGCTTCGTGATTAAGAATTTAAGCTGGACCCATACGATAGACTCTGTTGGGCTCTCGTTTAAACTCGGCTGCTTAGGATTACATGTTCCATAACGAGCCCTGGATTAATAAAATTTTACGATTTTTTTTTTTTTTTAGGTTTGAGGTGACGTTGTTTATCCTAGAGTAAATTATAAATTAGCCCCTCTAGTTTTAAAAACAAATTAATTAATTTCTTTTTTTAAATTAATATTTAATCAGTGTTGATCATATTTAATTTAATATTATTTTTATTTCACAAAATGTCTTTTTTCTCATTAACTTTTTTATGTTTTTTTTCCTTTTCTATTCACTGAAAAAATTAGAAAAAAATAATTAAATTATAAGTAGATTTACAAATATGATAAGTAAATAATTAATTTTTAAAATGAAAGAGATTAATTAGTTCGTTTCTTCAAACAAGAGGGACTAATTTATAATTTACTCTCTTATTCTGTTTTGTTCGTGATAACAACGTCTAGATTAAATAATTGAGGGTACTCTAAGACCATGTTTGGTTTTTTATGATATTGAAAATACATTTGACTTATGCAATGTTCTTTGTCGGTGATAACAAAATTTAAATTATACGTGAGATGAATAAAATTATTTTTAGTAATATTTTGATTCTATTAGAGAGAATGATTCAACTATAACAATCTAAAATATAAAACTTTTTGAACAGACAGTTTTTGTTTTTTTCTTTTACATCCAAAGATAACAAAATCTATATATATTCTCTCGCAGGTTTGTGGAATTTAACGTCTTACAAACTGAAATGATGTCATCAATAAAGGATTGATATAGCCGTTAATGAATTCATTGTACAGTATTTATTTATAAGATTAAGAGCTAAGACTTCATTCATCGCAATCTATCTTGATGTCATATTTATGTTTTCACATATAATCAATATTATCCTCGAAAAGTTCTAACTTTTGATCTGACATAAGTGCAGTGAAATTTTTTTTCAAGTAAATGTATTTTATTTCGAAAGAACGTGAACAATATATTTGTTTTTTCAATTTTATAAAGAAATAAAAAACAAAAAGATGCTATCTATTAGAGATTAGTATAAATTATATTATAGGACCTCACTTATTAAGCTAAGCTTTTAGGCGAGTCGATCTTTTAATTTGGTATCGAACTTGGTCAACCTCGAGCGTCTTGAGTTCAAGTCTCATCATTCTTAATTTTTTAAATATTAAGTACGAAGCGATATAGATCCGTGTAAATTTCATATTTCAAATGTTAGACATTTTACTAAAGAGAATGTGTTAAAGATTAGTATAAATTATGTTTTAAACATCAATTATTAACTTAAATTTTTATGTGAGACCATACTTTAATACTATCTTTTTTTATCAGCAATTTCAATACGAGAAGGTACATCCAATTATAGTCCAGAGAGTAACAAAGATTATGTGTTTTCTCTCTATTTTTTTTTTTTCTCCCTCTGTAACTATAAGCTACCTGTAACGTACAAGGACATGATTCTAGAAAACACGAATCGAGTGACTTCAAATATTCTCTCTCCCTCTTTTTACCCTTTTTTGGATTTTTTTTTTTTTAAATATTACTATCAAACTGCATTTAAAGATTCTTAACTTGAAGAAAGATTCAGGCTTTTTGAAAACAATCAAGCTAATTAAAAAACTTAATCTGAATGGACCAACGAGAGAGAGAGAAGGTCAAAAATTTCTCGAAGGTCAAGCCAACTGCCTCTACCATCCAATCCAAAATATTATTAAAAAAAAAAAATGTTGATCTGATCCAGCTCGATGAATTGATGACGAGAGACGGTGCGTTTCTAAGGTCAGAATGAGGACAAGCTCAGCACCGTACAGAATCTTTGACTGATCACTCGGTTCTTATATTACCACGTAGTATGCACCTAGAACACATGCACTACATATCAGCAAATTAGCTCTTGAATTTTGGCTTTTGGATTTTCTTGGCAAAACTTAATTGCGAAGCAGACATTTGGACGTTGTGGTGCTGTGGCTTTCAATCATATTTGAAAGGAGGAACTGATTTTTTTAATGTATGTGATAGGGGATTAGTTTAGAGAGAAGGGAAAACAAAGCTTAACATCCATTGATACAAAATTAATTTGATTTCTGCAGCGAGAATCAATGGCCAACTTTGACATTTGTGTATGTTGGATCATTGTTCAAATAAAAGTTTTAAAAAATAAATTGCGTGTTTATATATTTTTTTGGTCCCACCTTGATTTTCAATCATATCTGTAAAAAAAAAACCTACTAATTACATAAATTAAATTTAACGTAAGACCTAGGAGGTCACATTTGTTATGTTATCTTCCAGATCAGGCAACGTGTGGCAACCAGGACCCAGGCAACGACCTTTTCTATTTCCGACCTTTCCTTTTTGCCCTTTCTGGATGCACCATAAAATAATTACCATCCAGTTAGTAACATTAGTCAGAATTTATAATCTTATTATCATTTTTTTTTTTATCTCCAAGTAAAGTCACAAATAAGTTATCATCCTTCTTTTTGGGCTTTCATTTCTTATTTGTTTATAAGGAGAGTCAATTTAAAATGCATAGAAATTGAAATACAAGATGGGTTAATGTTAAAACTGTAGTTGTAAAGTGACCTTACGCAGTAAGTCAACATTCACAGCATATTGCAATATATGTATTTTTGTCACACGAATGATATTGTACTTCTTGATTAAAAAAAAAAACAATTAATGATAGCTTAGTTATTCAAATAATAGAATAATAATTGGAGATAACGAAAGATCTGTTTAGAGAAAAGCGTTGAATAATATGGTTGATTAATACTCGCGAAATTAGTATTTAATTAGCACCTCTTTGATTGATTAGAGATGATTACATTTTCTTTTGCTGAATAATATGTTTACAATGACGTGGTTCAAACAGTGGATTTCATTTCTAGATCTAGTACAAGGAGATTGAGATTTACACCATTTTATAAGGTGATTTTGGGTTCAATTTTTACTTTTTTTTTTTTTTTCTATAACTTGTAAAATATATAATAGTAACATGAAGCTCAGAATTATGAAAATATTAAATATTTCTCAATAAAAGTAGAATTGATCTATGTTCGATTCATAATTGAAACACAAATAAGAATTTCTAGTTTTATTTCACGAGAACGATCTTTTTTTTTCTTCTCTTTTGTGGAATTAATAATTTAATTTTTTTATTAAAAAAATCACGTTTATATTCAAATAAGTAAATATGTTTTGGTTGCGAGAGTCCACAAATTGCATATAAACATTAATAACATGATAATATATAGCATAACTATCGAGATTGAGTATTCAATTCGAGTTTGAGACCTAAAAGATCGAATGAAAAAAAGCCATAAACAAATAAATCTCTTAAATTTCTAGTATTTTTAAATTCATCATTCAAAGAGATATAGATTACTCGAGAATTTCGCATTGCATTTAAGTCATAAATTTTAATATTCCATCGACCGCGGGACTTTTACTTAAAAAATATAAAAATAAAATAAAATGGATCCTTTTCTATTAAGAATAATGTGCTTAATGCAACTATTCTCAAATTATAGATATTAGCTACAGTGACAAAAATTTGTAAATACATAAATATAAATTTGATATTCAAAAGATTATAAAATCCCTTAAGAAATCAAACAACATCCTTCGAAAATCTATTATATCCTATAATTGACATTCAAATAACCTTATTTGATTTCTTGATTGATTCTAGCTAGCTACTCTGAAATCTTCTCTAAAGTATATTTTCGAACAATTAGCATGCCTAATTTGATTTTTTTTTTTTTTAAAAAAAGCCCCATTAAAATTTTCATAATCTCTTCTCATTTGGCGCAAACCTGAATATATTAAACAGGATTAAAGCTCTGAAAAGTTTCGTCAATGGAGTTACCTGGCCAGTTAAGTTAAACAGGATCAAAGCCATTCAACAATATTCACGCACTCCCCATCACCTTCACAGCCATGATAACAGTTTAAAGGAATATGTAAATGTAAAACAAAATTTTCCGGACAATTCATTTTCACCATCTTAGCATTTCATCTCCAATCTTCCAAGGATATTATTGATTTGGGATCCTCATCATAATTTTTTTCTATTCAATATTTCCTTTTATTGTTGCCCATAAATGAACCGATATAGGTAGCCGAAATTAGGTCTGAATTCAGAAACTGTAATATGGAACTGTCTAATGTCAAATTATATATAATGAAGAATTTACATAGGGATAAGCATATGATGACAGAAAGATAGCAACAAAACAAAAGAACTCATACCAAACTAAGCTCAACCAGCCATAAACTAGTTAATTAAGCAAATCTATCTGAAAAGGTTCCTGAAAAAGGTTCGATTGAAGCATGCCCATGAAAGTACTCCCTTCCATGGATGAGAAAAGTTCTCCATCAAATGACTCAAGAAAAGACTCTGAGCTTGTCGCTGATGGTGATTGATCTTGATACGAATTCGTCGAAGGAACTACCGATACTTGACGATCGTATTCAGACCTTTGGTGAGGAATTTCAGGACCATTAATGTCCATAAGCCGGGTGGCATCGGAGTCTTTTCCGGTGAGTTCTTGCACAAGAGCTCTAAACTCTGAGGCACTAGTATTGACTTTCATAGGGCTAGATATGTACACAACTTTGATGCCTTTTTTACTTCTCTTGGCGTGTGATCTCTTGACATTCTTCCTGTTAACCCCAAGTACATCCATAGCCACAAAAAAGAGTTTGTAATTTTATATGGGTGTAATGTAACTAAGATTGTTTTATGAAATCACGTCCTGTACAGAAGATCTTGGGCAAGGTTTATATATATATACACATAAGGTACGGAAGCTGAAAATGTTGGGCAGAAAAGGGTGGCTTCCTAGAAGGTGATTTGTCTTGGAAAATAAGGATATTAATTAAAGGAAGGGAAGAAAATGGATGCTGATTGATGGCGCAAAAGGAAGGGTGAAAGAAAGATAGATGTGTGATGTTTTTGCCTTGTTAGATGACCCACAATCGTCTAATATGTAAATTTTTTAAGTATGAGAAAGGTGATTTCCTAGAAGGTGATTAGATTAGAAAAAGAGGGCAAGAAGGCAAATTAAGTAAAGATAGTTGGTGGTATGCAATGGAGGCTGGAAATTGGAAGGAAGATAACTCCATTGGTCAATAGAAGATTCTTATAAAGGTGCTTGGATGACCCGTAATGTCATAGGCTGTTTGCGACATGTAGCCTCAGATTATGATGATGAAGTTTATGTTCATTGTAACTGGTAGCGGAAATGGATATAAAACACGTGCGCAGCCTCATGTGACTCAAAAGTAAAACCAAGCTTTTGGAATCATGACTTGAAATTTGGCTCGAGATCAGAGGCTAAAAACCTAGGACCCATGCAGAGATTTTAGAATTTTATCTTCTTATGTAGACTAATTGATCCATCATATGTTAATTTGGATTTATCTAATATATAGTATATGATTAAACAGTAAAATGATGAGCCCGGAAAGGGTAAATGTTCATTTAATCTAATGTTGTCCCTATCATATGGCAATCTTATCTATTTTGTGAAAGCTTTTGTTCATAGTAACCTATAATAAGAGTATTTTTTATATTGAGTTTTACTCATTAAATTTCTATACGAAGAAGATGAAAAAGTTTTCGCTTAATCATAAATCGATTGTAGAGACACCAGCAATTTATTAAATATTACAGAAATAAGATGGAGGAGTTTTTAGAAGATAAGAATTGAATCCTTGATCCAATGAGTGAGTGGTCTGCTTTGTTCATAGCCCTTTTATTTATTTTTTAAGATAATTAATTAAATCTGTATATTTGTCATTTTATGATTCAAAACGACAGTTTCCTCACTATACACGTCCTTGTCGCCTTGTTGTGGCAAAAATAATTGGGTTGGCGGAGAAGACAAATGGTCCAATAAATTAGAATAATCGATGTCACAGCATCATGAATTTTATGTATAACAAGGATAAGCACCACTTGTTTGAGTGAAAAAAATGAGCATGCCATTGATCATCAAAATGGTATATGAATTTCTTCTCAAGGACAATCAACCAATGATTAATGATATATTATTAGATGAATCTCATGTATAATTTTTTTAAAGGTGTATTTGGCCACCAATTTGTTTAATTTTTCTCCATTTTTTTTGAAGGAGAAAACATGTTCAATCAGGATTGTTGTAGATAAATTCTTAATTATTTATATATACTTTAGACATTATTTTAAGGAAATAATTGAAATTAAAGTTGAAAAATTAGATATATTATAATGAAGTTTTTTTTTTTTTTTTTTTTTTTAAGTAATGGTTTTGTACTGTTTAGGTATGAAAAAAAAAAAAACTGAAATTTAATCCAAATGAGTCCAGTAATTGGATTTTCAATAAAAGCAGTATTAAAACAAACATAGTTGATCATGTACATATTTTTTCCGATTATTTACATTTTTTCTTGGTACTTGATTGTCATTTTCGTAATTTTCTTTTTAATTTGTCAATGTACTTGGTACATAGATATACTAGTAGGCTTTCCCTCAGGTTTAGAATTTAGGCTAGGGCTTGGCAACACCTAATCTGTTGGGTCTTCCATCCATTAATTCATTCGCTTATCCTATTTATTAAAAAAAAAAATACACCCTCTCTATCCATTAAAAAATGCAAAAAAAACTAAAAAGCATGAGGTTTTAAACAGTAATTTCACTGTTTATCAATGTATAAGTCATTATTCATATACTATAGATAAAAATGACTTCTTTGTGATTTTTTAATTATTTTTAGATATATATATACGAAGTTTATATAATATTTTATTTTAATCCTTGAAGTTTTACGAAGAAAATTTGATCCCTTAGGCTGTTTGTTCTGTTGACCAGCTGCATTAGGCTACTACATTCAACCTACAGACCTTGGCAAGCACTCCCCCCACCCCACCCCACCCCCTTTATTTTTTCCACCATTTTATGTTTTTTTTTTATTATTATTATTGAATTAGGGTGAAAGTTATAAAAAAATGGATCATTATTTTTTTCTCTTCTTTTCTTTTTTTTTTTGGATTTTTTTCATCAATTTATTTATTTTTATTAAATTGAGTGTGAAAATTATGAAAAATGAATTATTATTTTTTCATAACACAAGCGAACGATTATACAATGTATATGATATGTTTTTAGATTTTAGAATATATATGTCCGATTATATTATTCTTAGTATTTAAAATTAATCTCTTCAATTTCTCGTTTCTTATAAAAATAATCATCAAATTAATTTTTTTTTTGTTTTATGTAATTTTATTTGTTAATAAATATGATTTATTTTATCTTATGTATTTTTTTATATTTTTTTATTTGCTTATTTTTTATATAATTAATTTTAAAAAATAGAATTCACTTGTTTTATTTACTTATTCTTTATATAATCAAATTTTATTAAAATTAATTTTGTAGCTTTTTTAATTGCAATATACTAAGTTCAATATATTTTTTATAAATTTTTTTTAAATAAAGTTAATTTATGTTGTACACTCGACCCAATTAATATAGTTATGGTGTCCAAAAAAAATATATGTTAGATTTATTGATTTTATTGAAAATTAACTATGCATCTTCACTCATAATACCAATCATTTGTTATTTTTTTTATATATTTTAAAATTAATTTTTTTCAAATAAAATGATTGAATTAATGTTTTAGAAGAACCACCTAATTATTCAAATATAATTTTTTATACTAATATTATTCATTATTTTGTAAATAAATATATATAAATCAAATGTGCATTTTATCGAAAAAAAAATTCTTCTCATTAGTATTAAACAAGAATAAAAAGTATTTATTTGTTAATTTTTATATTTTTTTATATTAATTGTTGCTTTATTTTTCAATATAGTGTTATGAAAAAAATATCAAAATATTTTCTTAAATTTTATACTTAGATTGTTACGGGTTTTAATTTAAGAATAAACTCATAAAAAACAACAAATCATGTTTTCTTTTTTAACTAAAAATTTATTTAAAAATAAACAAAAAAAAATAGATGCAAAATTTTGATTTAAAATTATAAAATTAGGTTGAATTTTATCTTCTAGTTAATATATTTTTGCTACAGATAATATAGTATATATTTTCAAACTGAAATAAATATGTTTTTTTTTTTATATAGTTGACCGTTATTTTTGTAATTTTCTTTTTAATTTGTCAATGTACTTGGTACATAGATATACAAGTGGGCTTTCCCTTTGGTTTAGAAGTTAGGCTAGGCCTTTACAACACCCAATCTGTTGGGCTCTTAGAGATAGAAATTGGTTGGGTCTTCCATCCATTAATTTATTTGCTTACCTTGCCCATTAAAAAAAAAAAAAACACTCTCTCTACCTATTAAAAAATTAAAGAAATGGAATTTTTGAACAGTGATTTTCACTATTCATCACCGTATAAGTCATTATTCATATACTGTAGATAAGAATGATATTTTTTGTGATTTTTCAGCTGTTTCTAGATATTTATATTTGACGTTTACATAATATTTCATTTTGATCCTTGAAGTTTTATGATGAAAATTTGATCCCTTGGGCTGTTTGGCCTGTTGACTTGTTGTATTAGGTTGCTACATTCGGCCTGCAGACCAAGGCAGGCACGCAAGCCTCCCTCCTCCTTTTTTTTTTCTTTTCCTATAATTTTTTCCACCATTTTTATGTTTTTTTATTATTTAGATGAGGTGAAAGTTATAAAAAATCAATCCTTGTTTTTCTCTCTTTTTTTTTCTTTGATTTTTTTTCACTAATTTATGTTTTTTATTTATTGAATGGAGTGTGAAAATTATGAAAAACTAATCATTATTTTTTTTCCTCGCAAATTGACTATTATAAAATGTATATGATATGTTTTTAGATTTTGAAATATATATATATATTGTCTAAAATTTATCTCTTCAATTTTCAATTTCTTATAAAAATAACCATCAAATTAATTTTTTATTTCTTTTTATGTAATTTTATTTGTTAATAAATATGATTTATTTTATCTTATGCATTTTTTTAGTTGTTTTTATTTTCTTATTTTTTATATAATTAATTTTTAAAAATAGAATTTACGTGGTTTATTTACTTATTCTTTATTTAATCAAATTTTATTGAAATTAAGCTTGTAGTTTTTTTCATTGCACTATACTAAGTTCAATATATTTTTTACAACTTTATTTTTAAAAAATAAAGTCAGTTTATATTGTACAATCTAAGCCAATGAGTACGGTTATGATGTATAAAAAGAAATATATATTAAAATTATTGATTTTATTAAAAATTAACTATGCAACTTTACTCATGATATCAATCTTTTGTTATTATTATTATTTTTATTTTAAAATTATTTTTTTCAAATAAAATAATTGAAATAATGTTTTAGAAGAATGGCCTAATCATTCAAATATATTTTTTTATACTAATATTATTCATTATTTTATAAATAAATATATATAAATCAAATGTGCATGTTTTAAAAAAATTCTTCTCACCAGCATAAACAAGAATAAAAAAGATTTATTTTTTAATTTTTATACATGTTTCTAGATTAATTATTGCTTTATTTTTTTGATACAATCTTATGAAAAAAATATTAAAATATTTCTTAAATTTTATATTTAGATTGTTACGCGTTTTTATTTAAGAATAAATGCATAAAAAAAATCGTGTTTTCTTTTTTAACTACAAAATTTATTTAAAAATAAACAAAAAATAGATGCAAAATTTATAAAATTAGATTGAATTTTATCTTTTTGTTAATATATTTTTGTTACGGATAATATAATATATGTTATCAAACCGAAATAAATATGTTTAGTTCGGTCCGCGAGTGTAGCGCAAGAAGGTAACTAGTTACCCTCCAAGTCCATACCTATTAACCTTAATCCTAATATTTTTTTTAAAAAAATTGTTTTGGTCCTCAAAAATATTTATATATATATAATTTGGCCCATACCCTATTTAGCTTATAATTTTTTAGGTTCCTATTTTATAAAGTTTATGCAATCAGGATCCTGCAAGTTAATTTTTTTAAAAAAATTAGTGAGTATTAATAAAATATAAAATACGTATATATACTAAAAAGTCTTGTTAGCGGATATATATTTTTTTATTATTGCCTATCTCAATGTTCATTATGTATTTTTAATAGACATTTATTGGATTGAATCGAATGAATATGTATTTTATATCGACTATTGTCATCCTTCTTTATTCCCAGCCAATTTAGATTTTGTTATTAAAGTTTAACTCTTTCTTATCACGGAAAAAAATCTTGCTATTTGTCAAAATTACTGTACAATCCAGAAACAACATAAACTATATCGCAATTCGTGTGGGTGACTATTAAATAGGTAGAGACACGAGATACCAAATAATCATCATAGAAATGGACTATGACTACTTGAGGGATCCTCTCATGCTAGCATATATAGCTTTTATTGTGAAGATTTCTTGAATCTTATTTGTGAGTTTCATAAATATTGATTTGTCATTCATATAAAAAAAACTCTTAGAATTTTTAGCATTATTTTAAAAAGAGATGGAAGTTTTTCATCGTTCAAAATAAACTAGTTAATGGTCTTCAAAGAATTTGGGTAGAAGATGTCCCTAGCTTTATTATGATTTAGGTCTTTTATAATGAGGGATTGTTCTGCTTTTTTTCTAATGCAGATAATCTATTTCATTTTTTAAAAAAATAAAAAATAAAAAATTGAAATTTCTTAAAAATATAGGGTAGCTTTGTTTACGTGATTTCTACAAGGCCAAAAAAGATGGGTAGCGATCTTGGGTGCCAAAGCCAACAACATCAAAGAGACCAAAACGACAAAGTACTGGGCGTGAAGGTTAGCGGCCGGAGACAGGATTTCTCAATTGCCCGACCACATTATGCATCACATCGTTTCTTTTCTGCCCACAATAGATATGGTCCGAGTTGGTATCTTGTCCAAGTCATGGCATCAAATTTCCACTTCATTCCCCATATGGGATTTTTCAGATTCTCTTTTTGGGCTTCCTAACATTGGATTGGAGTTTTCTGAGAAAGAAGACAGGGAAAACAAATTCATCAATTTTGTCCATAATTCTTTGGTTAGACAATTGCACCACAACTCAAGCATGCGCAAAGGTTTAGTCTATCTCTGAGTTTCAAAACTTTTAGTATTGATTATTTGATTGAACTTGCACTACAGTCTGGTGTCAATGAGCTTGATATCATTTTTACAGTACTGCCTCGTGATTATACTGATCTTGATTTACCGCAAGCCTTATTCTCTGCCAAAACCTTAACGTCTTAAGGTTGACATCGCATTCTCTTTTCAAGCTGTCCATGTCTTTTGATACCATAATCTGGCCTTCTCCACGAGAGATTTCCTTGAGCTTAGTTCAAGTTGATGAAGATATTAGTCAGAATCTCGCCTTTTGCTGCCCTTTCATCGAGAAATTTTCTTTATTAGATTGTTGGGGGGGACTAAAATCTTGAACTTTCTGGTTTTACAAAGCTCAACGAGGTTGAAGTAACAGATTATTTAATTCTCTCTATGCGTGGAGAAATTCAAAAAGTCAAGATTGATCTACTCAGTCTTCAAACTTTCAATTATACATTTGTAATTCCAAAATCTTCCATGGATGTGTGTACTTGTAAGAATCTAGAGGTGCTGAAGTTGCGTTCTCCTTGCTTATCTGACAGTGAGTTTGAAGACCTTATTTCCAATCTTCCTTTCCTTCGAATCTTGTACTTGAATACAACGAATGGCGATCGGTTGAAGAGGGTGAAGGTTTCGAGTCAAAGACTTGTGAAGTTAAAACTTATCACCTCGCTGGAAGCCATCGTCATTGATGCTCCAAACTTACACACCTTCAAATATGCTGCAAGTACAACTCCATCTGTGGTTTCGGTGTACCCATCGAGGCTAGTGAAAGCTACTTACCAATTGTATACACCAATAGCTGGGATGAACGCAAGCTTTTTTCTCAAACTAAGGGAAATTGTCGAGTATTTCAAGCAGGTCGAACGTTTCACATTGCGTCTCTCCATTGGCCATTTCTCTTTTCTCCGTCTGCATTTTGATCATATCTTCATTCCTTCATTCCTTCATTTCCTTGTATCCCTAATATGAAGTACTTGAATCTGCAATTCGAAGAAAATGCTCATGGAGATCCGAATTATCAAGCAGGATAAGTAAACTTTCTTATGGATAGTTTACTTAAGATTTGTCATCCCGAATCTTTGCTTGTATCATTAGACGGCTGTGATAAAAACAATTTTGTTAGCACGGCAATGATGCACAAAGAAAAAAGACAATGCTGTCGCACGGCTTCCCGAATCAACTGTTGGCAGCTTAACATTAAAGGCATCCAGTACAAGCAAAACTTTGCCGCCAATGGAGATCAACAGGATCGGATTTGTTTGACCTTCGATTGGTGATTTCAATATTTTGTTGAACAATTAGTTGAGCCAAAACATTCATAGGGTCTTGACCTGCGTCTGCAGTAACCTCCTAAGTACTAGTGTTTGATTTATTTGATATTTTTAAGGCCCTTTTTATTTGCAACATGAAGGCTGTCCTGTTCTCTATTAAATAAATCAATAAGTTTGCCCATGTTGATTTCTATGCGTCAGTGCTATGTGTTTGCTTGAATGATGTTCATTGCTATGAAGCTAAAGCTAGAAAGTACGGATGCAATGATTTCATTCTACTAACTAGTTCTAATTTCATGTTGTTTTCGTTAACAAGTTCTAAGTAAGAGGATTGTAGTACTACTTGGTGCCTTGCTTGTTAGAGCTGAATATTGCTCTACAACACCATATATATTATGCCAAACACAACTTTGTTGAGTGAATATGATCGTGTCATTGATTAAAAGGGTACATAGACAATCAAGGAAGACCCTATTATTAGATAAACCACATATATAATATATGGTGACGATTCACACAACGCTTGGTGGGTTGATCATAAACCAGATAGACAAGGCCACTCATCACTGGTATGGCTTAGTTGGCGACATCAAAACTCTAGGACAACAAGACTGCCAGTGCTAGATTACTGTCATATGCCATTTGAGGGGAATTATAGTGCAGATTATATGGCAAAGCTGGGTGCCAAAGGAAGGCCTTTCTTCAATCTATGCTATGACCCTCCTGGACAGGCAAGGGAAGACCTCCATAGAGATAACAAAGAGATTTGGGAATAATGAATCCCCTTGTCTCAAGCCCTTCTTCCCCTCAATAAATAAACAAAGACGACAATTCTCAGAGATGGTAAAATTTGAGGAGCTCAAACATGCTTGCAACCATAGAACAAACTGAATTGGAAATCCCATTGCTTCCATTACTTTAAACAAAAACAGCCAATTTATAGAGTCAAATGATTTCATTAAACTGATCTTCAAAGTGCATCTAGGAGAGACTGATGTCTTGTGATAGCCCTTCATAAATTCTTGAGCCAGCATAATGTTATCACCAATTCTTCTTTCTTTGACGAAATCAGATTGATTAAGGCTAACCACTTGAGGCAAGCAACTTTTAAGCTTTTTTGCTAAAATCTTAGCAATGCACCTGTAGAGAGCAGTGCAACAAGAAATGGGTCTGAATTCAGTAATTCTGCTGGCATTTGGAATTTTAGGGACCAACGTCATTGTAGTTGCATTGATTGCCTTAAGCATTTTACGGCTTTGGAAGAATTTTTTGATGCCTGCAATAATTTCACCACCAACTATCCCCCATGAAGCCTTAAAGAACTCAGCTGTGTAGCCATCAGGACCGGGAGATTTGTTCCACTAAGGGCAAAGATAGCCATTTTAATCTCATCGCTAGTAATTGGAGCAATCAAACTTTGCTTCTGCTCATCTGCCAAGTGATGCTTTAGGACCCCTTTAAAATACTCCACACTCCTACCATTCACATTACAATCAGTTTCACCAAGAAGCTTTTGATAAAACCCAGTGATCTCTCCTTGAATGTCAGCCATTGAAGTCAACTTCTCACTAGCAGCATTGTCAAGAAGGTTTATGTTATTCCTAGCTTTTCTAGAATTGGCCTTTCTGTGAAAAAAAAACCAGTATCAAGGTCACCCCTTTAAATTTCCCCAAAAGTTCAACAATTTGAATCTTTCGATTTCTACTTTCTTTTTTTGGCCAAGGACTCTAGGTTGCACATCTCTAAATTCTAGTGCATCCAATGGGATTTAGCTTTTTCCCTACAGATTATCCTTAAAATCTACAGTACTAATGTGCCACAAATGATTTTATTTGACCACAGAACTTGGCACAAGCAAGCTGGGAATAGCAGAGCAATGCAACATCAGCTAGAAGACAATCCAGCTTCTGAAGTTAGGAATTGCCACATGGCATTTCAAAGTAGAAGCAACCTTAAGTACATTGAAAAGAAGCTATAATGCTCAAATAGAATAGATTTTATTAAAAATAAAAATTGCTGAAACACAAAAGAAACGCATCGATATAAGCAAGCAGCAAGTCAGGTAAGAGGAAAAAAGGGCTCATTAGCAGTGAAAATAACTTCATTTAATCCAGCAACTAACAAGTAAATATTTTGGGTTTCATCTTCTTTAACTTCTTCTCAGTGATGGAGAACCATTCGTTGAGTGGATTGAATATGCCATTGATCATCAAAATGGTACATGAATTTCTTCTACCAGGACGATCAACGGACGATCAACGATATATTATTAGATAAATCTCATGTATAATTTTTTTAAAGGAGTATTTGGCCTCCAATTTTCTTAATTATTTATATTTATATCTATATCTATCTATCTATCTATATATTCTAGACATCATTTTAAGAATATTATTAAAGTTAAATTTGAAAAATTAGAAATATTATAATATATATATTTTTTTAAAAAAATAATACATATGGTTGTAGTGTACTCTTTAGGTATGAGAAAAAAAAAAACTGAAATTCAATCCAAATAAGTCCAATAATTGGATTTTTAATAAAATTTTTATGAAGAAAAATATAGCTGATCATGTACATTTTTTTCTTTATTGATCATTACTTTATTATTATTATATTCTCTTTAAGAATAGTGTCTCATGTGCTTCAATCTATTAGCTTTTCTATAAAATTTAGGAAGGCAAATTAAGAATATTAATAAAATAAAATTTGAAAAATCAGATATATTATAATGATTTTTTTTAAAAAAAATAATTAATGCTAGCAGTGTACTTTTTGGTATGAAAAAAAAAACCGAAATTCAATCCAAATAAGTCCAATAATCGGATTTTAATAAAAAAATTATCAAGAAAAATATAGCTGAATTAACTGCCCTTATCAAGGATTTAATCCTGCTATTTTTCAGAATTATCTTTTCAATCCAGAAGTAGCAGAAGCTATATTGCAACTCCTTGGGAGACTTCACTAGTCAGCTAAAGACATATAAAGCTTTTATTGTTGATGATGAACAAGGACTGCTCGACGGATCCTCTCATGCAAGCATATAAAGCTTTTATTGTTGATGATTTCTCAGTCTTATTTGTGAGTTCCATATATATTTTTTTTATCATGCATATGAAAAAATTCACAATATTTCCAACCTTATTCTAAAAAGAGATGGAAGTTGTTCGCGTCCCCAAAAAATAGTTAATCCTTGCATTCAGACTTTGATCGAAAGATGTCCTAGCTATATTATGATTTATGTCTCTTGTAACGAAGGATTGTCTTGCCTTTTTTTTTTTTTTGAAACCTTTTGTGAATTTTAGATTCAATTTTAATACTCTTTGTTTACATGATTTCTACAGTAATATTCTGTTTTCAAAGCAAAAGTAAAGGCCAAAAAAGATGGGTTGCGATCTTGGGTGCCAAAGCCAACAACATCAAAGAGATCATAACGACAAAGTACTGGACGTGAAGGTTAGCGCCGGAGACAGGATTTCTCAATTGCCCGACCACATTATGCATCACATCGTTTCTTTTATGCCCACAATAGATGTGGTCCGAGTTGGTATCTTGTCCAAGCCATGGCATCAAATTTCGACTTCATTCCCCATATGGGATTTTTCAGAATCTCTTTTCGGGCTTCCTGACATTGGATTGAAGTTCTCTGAGAAAGAAGACGCGGAAAACAAATTCCTCAATTTTGTCCATAATTCTTTGGTTAGACAATTGCACAACTCAAGTATAAAAAGGTCCATCTCTGAGTTTCCAATCTTTTAGGTTGGTTTCTCTTATTGATTATTTGATTGTGCTTGCTCTGGTGTCGAAGAGCTTGATATCATGTTTACATCGCTTCATTATTCTCCTATTGATGATTTGCCGGAAGCCTTCTTCTCTGCCAAAACCTTAACCGTCTTACGGTTAAGGACATCGCATTATTATTTCAAGCTGCCCCTGTCTTGTGATACCATAATCTGGCCTTCTCTTCGAGAGATTTCCTTGAGCTCAGTCAAAGTTGATGAAAATATTAGTCAGAATCTCATCTTTTGCTGCCCTTTTATTGAGAAATTTTCTTTACTAAATTGTTGGGGGCTCAAAAATCTTGAACTTTCTGGCTGTACAAAGCTCAACTAGGTTGAAGTAAGAGATTATTTAATGTTCTCTATGACTTCAGAAATGCAAAAAATTAAGATTGATCTACCCAGTCTTCAAGCTTTCAATTACACCGGTATACTTCAAGACTCTTGCATGGATGTGAGTACTAGTAAGAATCTAGAGGTGTTGAAGTTGCGTTCTCCTTTCTTAACTGACAGTGATTTTGAAGACCTTATTTCCAATCTTCCTTTCCTTCGAATCGTGTACTTGAATGCAATGAATGGCGATTGATTGAAGAGGGTGAAGGTTTCGAGTCAAAGACTCGTGAAGTTAAAACTAATTACATCGCTGGAAGTCATCATCATTGATGCTCCAAACTTACACACCTTCAAATTTGCTGCAATTACAACTCCATCTGTGTTTTCGGTGGACACATCAAGGTTAGCGAAAGCTACTTGCCAATTATTTGAGATCAACGCAAGCTTTTTCCTCAAACTAAGGGAACTTGTCGAGTATTTCAAGCAGGTCGAACTTTTTCACATTGCGCCTTTCCGTTTGACGCACCTCTGATTTCCCTCTACATTTTGACCATATCTTCATTCCTTCATTTCCTTGTATCCCTAATATCAAGTACTTGAAGCTGCAATTCGAAGGAGACTCTCATGGAGATCAGAATTCTGAAGCAGAACAATTAAACTTTCTTATGGAGAGTTTACTTAAGATTTGTCATCCAGAATATTTGCTTATTTTATTATACGGCTGCGATGAAAGCAATTTTGTTAGCACGGCAATAATGCACAAAGAAAAAAGACACTGCTGTTGCACTGCTTCCCGAAGCAACTGTTGGCAGCTTAACATTAATGGCATCCACTACGAGCAATACTTTGCTGCGATTGGTGATTCCGATATTTTATACATTGAACAATTAGTTGAGCCTAAATATGCATATGGTCTTGACCTGTTTCTGCAGTAACCTCTCAAGTACTGGTGTTTGATTGATTTCATGGTTCTAAGGTCCTTTTTGTGTCCAACATGAAGGCTGTCCTAGGAGTGCTGGTCGTAGCCCGTAGGATTCAATTGCTATTAATTATCAATATTTAATTAAATATTTTGTATAACATTGTTTTCATTGCGATTCCTCTATTATACTTTTTGTACAATTGTCAAGAATATGGTTTAGTTGATCCTAATATTACGTTTTTTTCATTCGTCAAGGTCTTTAAGGGTACTTGACAAAGCATGCATGAAAACTAGAAATAAAGAATAAAACTACATTCGTAATTACGACACATGCCTTAAAGCTAGTGAAAAAAATAATATCATTAGTAACGGAAGAACATTGTTCATAAATTTATAATCATGGAGTAAAAAATAACAAATGAATAATGTAAAAATCTAAACCATCAAGTTTTGGATCTGACATTATTAAATGCTTTTTATTTATGATATGGCTTTTTGGATCTGATTTATTAAATATTTTTAAAGTCTTGATTTTACTACACGTGGATATGACATTATTAAATGCTTTTTATTTATGATATGGCTTTTTATATTCTTATAGGACTTATATTACTAAATAAATTGTCTTAGAAAAATAAATCTAACACAATCTATTAATTTGGTGATATAAGTCTCACATGAATGTAAACTGTACTTATAATTAGCATGTATAGCTAAAATGGAGACTTATAGAAGCTAACTATTGGGTTAATTAAAAAAAATTAAAAAACACGAGAGTTAATTGAATGATTTAAAAAAATACAAAAATAATGGATAAAATTAAAAATATAGAAGCAGAGATGAATAATCGACATAAAGACAGGAGTAAATTAAAGGGTTTTTACCTTATATAATTATGGCCAGTTAAGCACTTCATTGATAAATATACATACTTAGGTTGTTTTGTTATGGCAGATTTGTTGAGGAGGTTAGGGGGAGGTTTGGAAAATGGTGGTACAGGTGAGGCTCTTGGAAGCATTAATAGTCATTGCTGATGGTGGAATTTGGCTTTGTATAGAGAGAAACAGTTGGATTGTTTCATCGTGATGATTTTAAGTCTTACTTTCCCCTCTGTCATCCATGGATGGTGCATGGTAGCCATGTGAGTAGTTTGACTCTACACTTTATTTGGCTTTCTGGAAATGGTAGCCCAATCACGAGTCTGTTGCTCAAGGCTATTTTCTTATAAATGACAGCCTCTAAATTATATATTTGTGTAATGGATATTTGATCCGACTTATATATATATATGCCACTTAACATTTGATAGAAAGTAATGTTAAGTTTTGGAGTTTTATCTGATAGTTTAAATTTTTTTTTGATGAAATTCAATATTATTTATCAAAACATTAAATTATTAGATGAGATCGTATAAATAGTTTTATATTATTTTATAATAATTTTGAGATTCTCGTTAAATAATTTAAATTTTTAAGTGAAATTTAATCTCAATTATCAAAAGTTTAAATTGTTAGATAAAATCTAAGAATAATTTTATATTACTCTCTTATATATTTTTTTTAAAGACAAATAATGATTTTTCTGGTAAGGCTGGTGACTTAGGAACTAGAACCCCTAAGGTGATCTCTTGTATATCCTCCACTCTTTCTCCCAATGTGCCGCTTATTAAAATCTCTAAATTTTTAGATTAAATTGTTTAATTACATTTTGATTTTTAGGTCATTCAATCATTTAGTTCTAATTATTTTTGAAAAAAAAAATCTAATTTCGTGATCAATTTTTTTTTCTCATTCTGTTAAGTCTATTAAGCCATTCATATTTTTTTCATTGATAGCTTGCTAGCACTCATATTATTACTTTTTTTCCCTAACTACTCATCTTAATCATGTCATTATCAAATAATTTTAGTGATTAAACAATAACATAACGAATATGATCTTTCTTAGTTTTCAAATTAAATTAGCTGATTGGATATGTTGAGGTAAAAATTTTGCAGACTCCAGAAGGTGATTATAATTTAATTTTGTGCCAAGATCTATGGAAACATGCATGAAGCTAAATTAAAGTAACTAAAAATACGCTCACGACAAAACAGTTGCACAATTGTGCAGATCAAAATAGCAAATTGCAAAACTGTCAGCATTTCATCTTCTTCCAATACTTCATTCTCTTCTGCAATGAACATCTTCTCGACTTTCACTTGACTTAGCTCTAAAATTTTGGTCTCCCTTGATCAGAACACCCATAGCAGTCAAGCAAACCGCAGAAGGGAGAATAATTGGTTCTAAGGCAGTGTAAAGTTCCAGCTGAAATGTACAGCATCATGTCTTCAGTCTCCTAGTGTTGAAATTGTATGAAAATATGCTCCTGTACAACCTGAAAAATAGGGATGGCAATGGGGTGGGGCAAGGCGGCCCCGTCGCCGCCTCACCCCTGAAAAATTTTCCCGTCCCCGCCTTGTGCCTCGAACGAGGCAAAATTTTCTGTACTATCCCCTTTCCAGCAGGGACGGGGATCCCCGTGCGGCAAACGAGGCAAAATTTTTTTTTTGGTCTCATTTTATCCAATTCTACTATCAAATTTTTAATTATAGAAAAAAATAATAATTTATATAGAAAATAAACCTTAAAAGTCACTAATTATAGATTTTATATGGGGTATAATTATAATTTTAATAGTAAAAAAAAAAAGGCAAACGGGGTGGGCCGGGCAAATCCCATCCCCGCCTCGTTCCCCAGTCAACACGAGGAATCCCTGCGTTGACCGGAGAAAATTGATGTAGGGCGAAGCAAGGCTTTGTTGGGGCGGGGCAAATTACCATCCCTACTGAAAAACAATGGAAAGCAAGAGGTAGCAAACAAATACTGTTCACATTTTCAGGTTAATTTGCTGTAGAACTCCTTAAACAAGGGCAGCTGATGGGGACTAAACATATCAAAAATCTCTATGCAAAGCTGATCAACTAGGTTTAACTTATGCTTGAGTGCCCAAACAGGATTGCAATGATCTTTCAGCATCCACACTGGAACTTCTGAACTATCCACATACATAATGAAAATACCCTTCAGAACTTCCCAGGCACATTCTCCTCCACCCTTCACCTCCCATCACTGGACCTGGCAGTTCAATGACTCCAGAAAGCTCTCTCTCTGCATCAGAAGTGATAATGTGGTGGTTCCAAGTCAACCAATAAAATCTATTACCGACTACTAATATCTCCCTATTCTTGTGAATTCTGTAATGGCAATGCCAAACTTCCTTGGAAGTTGTCCATTTTCCTGTCTCAGACGAGCACACAACAAAGGAATATGCATTCAAAGCAGCTTCAGAACGTTGAATTCCCACCAACTTAAAACATGGTTTCTTGTTCACTGAAGTGCCAAAGGGACAGAAAGGGACAGAAAGCTAATATTCCAAAACCATCCACAGTAACATGCATGTCACCCCCTATTGGCCTCAAGGAAATGATCCGCTCTTTGTTGGTTGGATTGCAAACATATAAAACCACCTCCTTGGCAGAATTCAATTGCACCCTATTCTCATATCTTCTTCTTTGCCTAACTGGCTCTTTGAAATCATCATTAGGAATACTCTGACAACATAGAAGGCCATTGCAAGAAGCCAGTATAACATTAACTTTCTCAGGAAGGAAATCCTGCAAAGCTGGTTTTACCTGTATCCTTATTGTCTAATCTACGCAACAGGTGCATCAACATGATCATCATTGTCCTCGTAAGACTGAGAAAAGAATCCCACGAGAGTCTCCGATCGTTCACAGTGAACATGCAGAAATACAGTACTAGAAGTAAGACTACTCCATCTTTTACAAACGCATCTACTTCTCACAATGTCTTCAGCTGGTAGTCGAGAGAAGATTTCAGTTGCGAGATCATCACTTGATGAGAAGACAACTTCCATCTGTGTCCGAACAATAACTTAGAGATTTAATTTGCAACCTGCACAGCACTCGGTCAAATTAAATTATTTTGCCACTAAATAGAAACAAAACCTTTTTATAGTCTCTCGACCAACCCTAAACTGGACCTAAGTGAATGATCAAAAGTACACAGAAGTTTCAAAAAACGTGAAGTTATAGATTTAACAGTAACAGTACACAACTGCAGAAATTTACCTCTCTTCTGTTGACTGAGAAGCTGCCAAAATCAGGTGAAGTTTACCAAAAGATGAATTTGTTGACAGGCGGTAGGCTTTCTGTGTACATCCCTGTCTTCCGGGAAGTTGAAATCTTTCGAAACCGTACCTAGATCTTTGGTCTAATTAAGGCTACTGGGCTTTTCATTTTCGGCCTGTATTTTTATGCTGCTGAAATTTAATTTTGGATTGCCAACAAACTCTAATCAAATAAATCAGCTGGATCCTATGTTACGAAAGATTGACATTCAAAAATTTGGATCACAAGGTAATGGGTCCATCAATGTTCTAACAGAGTTAATGTTTACCCATCAACCTTTTTTTCTCCGACCTAGAATTTATGACCAATGTGAAAAGGATGTCAAATTTTTCCTTCCCGTAGTTGATTTTTTGCTTAGCCCACTTTATCTGCCATTTGACTTAAAAAAAATATAGTACATGACAAGGACCAAGTTGTCCCCCTGCTAATTCAATTTTGTGTACCTTTTTTTTTTAATTACAATTTTTCTTCTAGTTAAAAATAAATTATTCATATTAAAATTAAAGGATTTGAAATATTTTTTTTTTAAAAAAACTTTAGTAACCAAAGAAGTTAATCAATTTAAAAAAAAACTTTAGTAACCAAAGAAGTTAATCAATTTAATCATTAGATCCATCCATAATTTTATTTTTGAACATACAAAATTTAGGTATCTATCCATATTTTCCACTCAAATCATACTTTTTATGCCACTTGGAAATAAATAACACACACATATATATATATTTTACAAAAATAATGCATAAATGGATCAAAAGTCTCACCTTTTTTTTTTTTTTTAAAGGTCTCATTTTGTCCTCTCCTGTGGAAGGTATTCTCCCATAAGCTGTATAAAAATAATAATAATAATATTGCAGGTAAATGGACTTCTCTCACAAGTGCAAGCAAGCAAAGCGGAAGTAAAGCAGCCAACCAAAGCAAGAGAAAAGGCGAAGAAAAAGCAAGGGAAACAAAACACCCACCAAAAAATCCTCTCTCTTTCTTTCTCTCTCTAACATTCTCTCTTAATTATCCAATTTTTATGATCTCCCTCTTTCTTTAATCCTTCATTTCCTTTACTAATCCTCATGGATCTACCTTGTTTGGCTCTCTCAAGGTCTCTGTGAAATCGCTGAAACCCCAGTCTCTCACTTGATTCACTAAATCAAGCACAAGAGTTAGAAATGAAAGTCCCCTGCTGCTCGGTTTGCCAAACGCGGTATAACGAAGAAGAGAGAGTTCCTCTGCTTCTCCAATGCGGACACGGATTCTGCAAAGACTGTCTCTCTCGAATGTTCTCAGCTTCTACCGATACAACACTTGTCTGCCCTAGATGCCGACACGTGTCGGTCGTAGGCAACTCCGTTACCGCGCTCAAGAAGAACTTCGCTGTTTTGGCTTTGCTCCATTCTCCGTCGGCGGCGGCCAACTTCGATTTTGATTACACCGACGACGAGGATGACGATAATGAAGAGGATTTCGAGGAGGGGAGGTGTAGCCGTGGGTCCCATGCGTCGAGTTCTGGAGCTTGTGGACCGGTGATTGACGTTGGGGCCCACCAGGAGGTAAAATTGGTGAAGAAAATTGGTGAAGGGAGGAGTAAATCAGGGATGGAGACGTGGACGGCAGTGATTGGTGGTGGTGGAGTCCATGGGAAGGTGTGCAGGCACCGGGTGACGGTGAAGAGAGTGGAGATAGGGGAGGAGATGGAGGTGGAGTGGGTGTTAGGGCAGTTGGATAGTTTGAGAAAGGCGGCGAGGTGGTGTAGGAATGTGTGCACTTTTCATGGTGTTGTCAAAATGGATGGGTGTTTAGGGATTGTTATGGATAGGTGTTATGGTTCTGTTGAATCGGAGATGCAAAGGAATGAAGGAAGGCTGACTCTCGAACAAATACTAAGGTTTTGTTGGCTTTTTCGTGCTTTTGAAAAATGATTTTTGATGGTTTTGGTTAAGATTTTAGTTTCATTTTATTTAGTTTGTTGTTGTTCTTGTGTTGTGTTAAGTGGGATTCAGTAATTTTCGGTTTAAGGATTAAGGAGGTGTGTGTTTAGGCGTTTGATTTGATTTGCTTGGCTCAGATGAATGGCATTCGAATTGGACTTGTAAATTGTGCTACAAGAAATTGTTCAATAACATGTACTTCTGATTTTCTCCCTTATTGTACCTTTATCTTATTCATCTTGCATTCTTGGGGGCCTAGGATATGTGGAACCAACTTCTTTTGTTATGTAGTGAGCATTTGGTTATTCTGGGTATGACAGAAGAGAGTTGTTGATTAATCTAGTTGGATTCGGGAGAGGAAAGGATAGTAATATGTTGTAAAAGTATGCCCTTTTTTGTAGTTTGGGTGCTTGTGGGCTGAGCACAATTCGAGGATTGTTCCATATCCAAATAATAATAGTCAGATATAATTTTTATTGTTTGTTTTTTTTGCTGCATTATGATGCTTCATTACATGGGTCTTTCGAGGGATTGTTCATATCTGACATTCAAAGGGATAAAAGAGTTAGAAATGTTCTGTTAGTCTTAGATTTGTGTTTATTCCTCAGGAGGATAACTTACTCTCCATCACGTAAACCAATTCTATTCTGACGTTGTTGTGTCTGCGTGCTTGCAGAAACACACTCACTAATTGCTATGAACAAAATTTTCAATTTCTTTTTTTTTTCTAGTTCAATTTCTGATTAAGAGAGCTGTTCGAGTTTTTGGATAAAAAAGTTGTTTTAGTTCCTGTGTCTGTTGAAAAAAAAAAGGTTCCTTGTGTATTACTGAAAAGTCGCATGACAAATCGCATTACAGACATGAGTTTTATAGTGCTGAGAAGAATTTGACACAACCTGTTTCATGTTCATGAAGTCGCATGACAAATCCATGTGCGTGTATTTGGATAAATATTAACCATCATCTTGAATCAATCATTGCTGTCAATGCAAAATTGAGAAAGACTGGGAGACATTTCTTGTTAGCATGCGATGCTGCATGTTGAAATCCATTTTTTATGGGCAGACTAGTGTGGCCAGAATTTCTATATTTATTTTTTCTACAAACTGAATGATATCTTCTTTTGTTGCATCTCTTGGTGGCCTAGGATATGTGAAATTCACTTCTTTTATTTATTTATTTATAGCTGGAGAAGATTAGGCTTTTCTGAGTAAGGTGGAAGAGTTGTTGATCCATATAATTGGTTTTCGGGGAGGAAGGAAGTAAGATGTTGTAGAACTGGAAGTGTGCCTTTTCACAATTTTGGTGCTTGGGCAATAAGTGGATGATTTTTCCCTATCATTCAACTGCTCTTTGTAGGAACACGATTCCAAACATCTGACATGCAAGTAAAGTGAAAATCCAGAGTCTAATTCTTGAAATATCCAAAATCTCTATTGAATCTTTGGCTGATGTCATGTTTGAGATGGAAGAAAGATGAAATTATTAATCAAAGATAAGAAATTTAGGAACATGTTTGTGGGCAATGAGGCTATTGAAGAGGTCACTGCTAGGTCATGTTGAATTTGAAATTAATGCTGCAAACTTTGGAGGAAACAAGGTTTAGAGAATGATTGAGACGAGTATATCTTTTAAATGCTATAAATCTGTTGGAATTTTGCTGAAATCATTGAGCACTAAAGTAAATAAGTTGTGTCATGTTATTGCTTTTCCCCTTTTTTGCTGGAAAATTTAAAATATGTCAGTGTAAAAGATGAAGATACTTTAGCTACTAACGTTTTTCCTTTACTGCATTGAATCATGCTTTTAAATTAATTTAATGGATTGCTTGAAGATCTGTTGAGTTTTGGATGTTTTATTTAGTATATGCTGACCAATAAGGTCATTGAAAAGCTCTGTATAGCATTGTTAGCCGGCTGTGATTATTGTCCTGATATAGCAATCATATACCCACTGTAGATATGGTGCTGACATAGCGCGAGGAGTGGCTGAACTTCATGCAGCTGGTGTTGTCTGCATGAACATAAAACCGTCGAATCTTCTATTGGATTCAAGTGGTCGTGCGGTTGTCTCTGATTATGGACTTGCTGCAATTCTAAAGAAACCTGCCTGTAGGAAAGCTCGATCAGAGTGTGATTCTGCAAAAATCCATTCATGCATGGACTGTACAATGCTTAGTCCGCATTATACAGCTCCAGAGGCATGGGAGCCAGTAAAGAAATCATTGAATCTGTTCTGGGATGATGCAATAGGTATATCTGTGGAGTCAGATGCCTGGAGTTTTGGTTGTGCTTTGGTGGAGATGTGCACCGGTTCCATCCCGTATGTGGTTATTTTTATTTTTGTTTCTTGTTTATTCTGTTGTTTCTATGATTTTTTATTTTTATTTTTTTTGGTACAATTTCTTTGTAATACAAGTTGACCTTATTTGTGCAGGTGGGCTGGTTTAAGTGCAGAGGAAATTTATCGAGCTGTTGTGAAGGGTCGGAAGTTGCCTCCACAGTATGCGAGCGTAGTAGGTGTTGGAATGCCTAGAGAATTGTGGAAGATGATTGGAGAATGCTTGCAATTCAAAGCATCGAAAAGGCCAACTTTTAGTGCAATGTTAGCAATATTCCTCCGTCATTTGCAAGAGTTGCCACGCAGCCCACCTGCGAGTCCCGATAAGTAAGAAATTGTGATGTTGAAATCTTCTCCTCTCAATGTTTTTGTATAGACACAATGCTATATGCCAGCTTAGCTGCTGCTGTTACCCTTCGTTTCCTGCAAACAAAGATTGCACCAAAGGCTGTGATGCTTCTTTTTGGAACCATGTGTTCAAGCACATCTCTGTGTGTAAGAGATTTGCTTACAAAAATTTTTGTGCGATTGCAGCAGCTTTGCAAAATATCCGAGATCATATTTGAGGGAACCTCCCCTTGCTTCTGATTTGGAGGTATTTCAGGATAACCCTACCCATCTACATCGATTAGTGTCAGAAGGGGATGTTAGTGGTGTTAGGTAAGTTTAATTCAACACCTTCTTGTTACTCTATATTTGTTCGTATGCTTTCTATCTTGTTTCACTTTTTTTTTTCCTTTCTTTTTTTGCCTCTTCATTTAATACAGGGAATTGCTTGCAAAGGTTGCATCACATGATGGCAATTGCCCCATATCTATGCTATTAGAGGCACAGAATGCTGATGGCCAAACCGCTCTTCACCTAGCTTGCAGACGTGGTAGTTCAGAGCTTGTCTGGGCTATACTGGAGTACAGAGAGGCAAATGCAGATGTTTTGGACAAAGATGGGGATCCTCCGCTTGTTTTTGCTTTAGCTGCAGGATCCCCAGAATGTGTTCGTGCTCTCATTGAAAGAGGTGCTAATGTAAGGTCTAGCTTGAGGGAAGGTTTTGGTCCATCTGTTGCTCATGTTTGTGCATACCATGGCCAACCTGATTGCATGCGTGTAGGTCTTCAGTTCATTAAGTTTTATATGTGGGTTTTTTTTCGTCTGTTTCATATTAAACGAATCTAAACAATGACAGGAGCTACTATTGGCTGGAGCTGATCCGAATGCAATTGATGATGAAGGTGAATCTGTATTACACAGAGCTGTTTCCAAGAAATATACAGATTGTGCTCTTGTTATACTAGAAAATGGGGGTTGTGGATCAATGGCTGTCCCAAATTCAAAAAATTTGACGTAAGTACATGATATATATTTTTTAAAATATTATTATTACCCCTCCCCTACCCTCCCTATGAATGATAAATAAGAAGGGTTGTACATTCTTTGTAGTTAGAACATTGTCTGAATTTTCAACCAATGTAAGAGAAGAAAAGGTTTGTATGCTTCTCTTGCTGCTATTTCTGATGCTTTGGTGGCTTGCAACTCATAAAACAGATGGAGTATAATGGGATATAAACACAGTGTATGCATCACGTCTCTTTTCCTTCTAATAAAAGGAAGAAAGTTATTTTAAGAGAGAAAAGAAATTTTACTAGCCTGTTACAACAATGAGGATAGTAGACCATCCTAGATGAAAAATAAAAACAAAATTAACTTTAGACCCACCTGGATACAACGAAAGAAACTTATATAAAAATGCCAAAAACTACATTACCCTATGGTTGCTATTATGACAGCAATTTCTTCCCTTACTCCCGGTCATTAGTTCAGCCTATGTGCTCATCAATGTCTTAATCTTTTAATGGGGTATAAAATTAATGTTATATGTGCCACCTCCCCATTTTGATTGTGAAGTGTTGGGGGACAATATAATAATTTAGGTCTCTTGCTTGGGGTTTGAGAAATCTGTTCTTTTTACTAGATGGCTATTTTATATGATTGCAATGCATTCAAAATGTTGTGTTTCTTTTCAATTGTATTTGTTGCCTTCTATGTTGCACATCATAATTCCCTCAATGCCACAGACCATTGCACTTGTGTGTAGCAACATGGAATGTGGATGTTGTGAGAAGGTGGGTTGAAGTTGCATCTCCAGAGGAAATTGCTGATGCAATCAATCTACCAAGTCCCGTTGGAACCGCATTATGCATGGCAGCTGCTGTGAAGAAAGATCATGAAATTGGTAATGTAGAACCATAGATTGTTTGATTATATCATAATTACCACAACCAAATTGGTGATAAGAAATAAGAAGTTTTGTTTAGTTCAGTTTGTTAGTCTTCTTTTTAGCTGATACTTTGTTTTTCTTTGGAAAAAGATTATTATTATTATTATTATTATTATTTTTGTTTTGGAAGTTGATGCCTATTCGATTTTAGTAAGCGTTATTTTAATGGTCTATGTTTTCTTAATTATTGAACCCATGACCAATCTTGAGTTTGTTCAACATAATAACAAACCAAATATCAATGATTTCAAGTTTGAGCCTGGCTTGAGTTAATTTATGTATAAAAAACACTTTTTCATGAGTGTCTAGAAGGATTTTGCCTCCATATCCAGTGTTTATCCTTTGTCTTTACCTCTTGCCCCCTTTGTGTTTGCACTTTGACATTGTTAATTTTTCTGATGTGTTTTTGTTTAAAAAAAAAAAAAAAAGCGTTAAACCATTTGGTTCTGAATTATCTACGCTTGGTGCCATTCATGCATTTAATTAATTTTTGATGATTCAATGTAGAAGGGAGAGGACTGGTGCAAATATTACTTTTTGCTGGCGCAGATCCAACTGCACAAGATGCTCAGCATGGACGAACAGCTTTGCATACTGCTGCTATGGCTAATGATGTTGAATTGGTCAAAGTAAGATATATAGCTTTCATACCACTTGATATGAGTGCTTAATGATTTATTTCTCTATTGCAGCTTTCTTATTCTAAATGCATTGGCTGGAATGTTTTGTTTACGTCTTTCATACCACTTGATATGAGTGCTTAATGATTTATTTCTCTATTGCAGCTTTCTTATTCTAATTGCATTGGCTGGAATGTTTTGTTTACGTTTTTGTTTTCCATTTTTTTTAAGTACACCTCTAAATTTTTTATTAGATCATTCTTGATGCTGGAGTGGATGTAAACATTCGGAACGTGCAGAATACAATACCTCTTCATGTAGCCTTGGCAAGAGGGGCGAAGTCATGTGTTGGATTGCTCTTATCTGCAGGGGCAAATTGTAATATGCAGGTTTTCACTTACACTTTACATTTTCGTTGCTACTATATGTGTGTATTTTTGCATGTATTGTATTCTCTTCATCTGAAGTTAGCTATAATACTATGCTGATTGCATGATCTTTCATGCCAACTAGTTTCTGGAGTCTCTTTGGTCTAGATGTTAATAGATGCTCAACCATCAAATGTGGAAGTTTCTGTCTGAAATATTTCTAAGATGATGAATTGTAGAATTCCTGAATTTATGGAAAACTGATATTTGAAATACTGATCCGAACATTTCTGCAGTCTAGTCTTAACTCTCTGAATTACCAATGGGTGAGTGGTTAGGTAACTTCTGCATGCCTATTTTAGTTGGACGATAGATTGTTGGCTGTCACCAATGCTGATGATTGTTGAAAATGCTGTGCTGTAATTCAGGTCAGTGGAAGAGGCTAGCCACAGATTCAAATTTTGAAAGAAGAAATTGTTGTGGCATTTAAAGTACCCGTTAAATACTTTTCTTCCCCCTAATGAGTTGGGATCAATTCTCTTTATTAGTTTTCATATGTAGCCTTAGTGATTTCTTATTCTTGTTGAAAAGTGGTTAAGGGCATAAAATACAGCTTCCATTTTCTGGGTTTAGTTATATAAACAGACGAGTGTACCCATTCTGGTGCTATCCAGAGTCTCTGATGTCCACTAGACTGTAGAAAATCTCTTGATTTATATTCTTTCCTTTGCTAACCAAAAGAATGCGGCAATCATCACCCTATGGATTCTACATTCTTAATATCATGTCAGCAAAGAACTGGCATCTCTAATGTAAAAAGAAAATGATATTGCGTTCTGGGTCATTTTGTGAAGCATCACGGCTAGCAGCGCATCAACTTCATCATTGAACGTTAGTTTCAAATTTACACAAACTTCACTGTAGGCCGTCAAGGTTGATTTGAGATTATTATAGGCCAAGTTTTCATGCTCCCTGGATGCTCAGCAAGGAATAGGAGTTTTCTGAGGGCTTCTTCCTTTGCTGGGCTAACTAAATATGGTTTGATTGATCTTATTGTTTCTGCATTTTAGCCGATTTATTCAAGATGTTTCTCTTCTCTTCTCCTTGTTATGAGGAGTTTTCTGCCATTTTCAAACCCATAAGTTGCATTTTTCCATTATCAGGATGATGAAGGGGACAATGCTTTCCACATAGCGGCCGAAACAGCAAAAATGATACGTGAAAATCTTGAATGGCTCATTGTTATGCTCAGGAATCCTGATGCTGCTGTTGAAGTTAGAAACCACAGGCATGTACCAGCATTGACATCCTCAAGGATTCTCGCATACCTTTATTCTTTCAATATTTTCAACAGTGGAATCTGTTTTAATTGTCCTTGAGATATTGCATATTGACCATAAGGTTGCAAAGATGATCTAAGACGTGTTGTTGAACCCTACCCTTTGTTTTATATGTTTGTGACAGTGGTAAGACACTCCGTGACTTTTTGGAGGCCCTTCCTCGGGAATGGATTTCTGAAGATTTGATGGAGGCACTTGTGAAAAGGGGAGTTCATCTATCTCCTACAATGTGAGGAAAAAACTTTAGTCATTGTGCTTTGATTAATTTTTGGAATGTTTATGGCATGATTATGACTAAAGTATATATTTTTTTGCGCTTCAATGGCAATAGATTTGAAGTGGGGGATTGGGTGAAGTTCAAAAGGAGTGTCACTACTCCTACTCATGGATGGCAAGGTGCAAAACACAAAAGTGTAGGCTTTGTGCAAACTGTTGTGGACAAGGACAACATTGTTGTGTCATTTTGCACTGGAGAGGCTCGTGTATTAGCCAATGAAGTTTTGAAGGTGATTCCTTTGGACAGAGGGCAGCATGTCCAGCTTAGGCAAGATGTCAAAGAGCCACGGTATGTCTGCAAAGTTGCTAACATTGCAAGTTTTGGCTATATAACACAAATAAATTGTTCTAATGCTGCAGTGGTAAGTGTCAGAAATCTTCATTACAAATACTTGTTAACTGTTGGTTGATCTCGGAGATTCTATTGTTGCAGTCTGTTTAATTGTGCATCATAAATGGAAGTGACATTTTTATCTCTCTATCTTGCACTTGCACACACACACACACACACACACAGAATCGAGACTGATTGACATGGAAGCTCAGTTCATATTCTCTCTCCTCGGTGATCTCATTCAATTTTACCTTTTTTTTTCTTTTTTGTCCCTTTCTTGCATCTTGAAATGAAGACTTGTCCTTATTTATTCATTGTCAGAAATCTTACCTCAACCTTCCCGTGGAATGCCTTAAAATTCCTGAAAGCAAATTATGATCTGTGAGCACAGGGCTGTGTTATGTTAAGAATATTGATAAGTAATGTTGTTCTGTTATCAGGTATGGCTGGCGTGGTCAATCACGTGACAGCATTGGAACTGTTTTATGTGTTGATGACGATGGTATTCTGCGTGTTGGATTTCCGGGAGCATCTAGAGGATGGAAAGCTGATCCTGCCGAGATGGAAAGAGTTGAAGAATTTAAGGTGGGTGACTGGGTTCGCATCCGGCCCACGCTTACAACTGCCAAGCACGGATTAGGATCTGTCACACCTGGGAGCATCGGTATAGTTTATTGTATTAGACCAGATAATAGTCTTTTGTTAGAGTTGAGCTATCTTCCAAATCCATGGCATTGTGAACCAGAGGAGGTTGAGCATGTCGCTCCTTTCAAGGTATCACCAATTTTGACTATTTGTTTCACGAATAATGCTAAAATTTCTTTTAATACAATTGTATCTAGAACAAATTATTATCAGGTGTCACTATTTTTAGCTCAAGGATATCATACCTATCCATCCTTTATTTTTGCAGATTGGTGACCGGGTGTGTGTGAAGCGATCTGTTGCAGAACCTAGATATGCTTGGGGTGGTGAGACCCATCATAGTGTTGGAAGAATTAGTGAGATAGAGAATGATGGCCTGCTTATAATTGAAATACCAAATCGACCTATACCATGGCAGGCTGATCCATCAGACATGGAAAAGGTTGAAGATTTCAAGGTATTGTGATTCTGGCATAATTGGTAGCATGTGGTAATCCCTCTGCCATAACCTATAGTTATACATGTCATGGCACGATATTTGTCATCATGCATAAATTTCAATACATCCATGGTAAGAAGTTATTGGTTTTCTGTGTAAATGAATCATCCTCTATGAGCAGGTTGGGGATTGGGTTAGAGTGAAGGCTTCAGTATCTTCTCCAAAATATGGATGGGATGACATCACACGGAACAGTATTGGGGTAATTCACAGTCTGGAAGAGGATGGTGACATGGGTTTAGCCTTCTGTTTCAGAAGCAAGCCTTTTTGTTGCTCTGTGACAGATGTTGAGAAGGTGCCTCCTTTTGAAGTGGGACAGGAGATACATGTCATGCCATCTGTGACTCAACCACGACTTGGATGGTCAAATGAAAGTCCTGCAACGGTTGGAAAGATTGTGAGAATTGACATGGATGGAGCTTTGACTGTATGCATGCTATCTTCTGATCTTTAATATGCTTTGTTTTGTTTTATTGTGCATGTGGAAGTTGTTCCTCTTACGCTGCTGTCTGCAAATCATTGCAAGTAGCAGCCTATTGCAAATCATAGGGTGCTGCATTAATGAAAAGATAATGCAACACTCACCATATAATTTAGTAAAATTTTTTTAGTTGCTTTCTGGATAATGGTGAGCCATTTGTTGGTTAACATGATGGAAAAAGCAAAAATTATGCATTCCTAATATTATCAAGAACAACTCTCTCCATATATATCCTAATTGTTGATTGCTAGAATTACCAACAGTCGGTTCTCAGCAGAAGCGTGAAATGAAAAGGGATTGCTATTGACTTTGTGTTCTATGCAGGTGAGGGTTACTGGCAGACATAGCTTGTGGAAAGTTTCTCCTGGAGATGCAGAAAGGCTTTCAGGATTTGAAGTTGGTGATTGGGTACGTTCTAAACCTAGTTTGGGGACCAGACCAAGTTATGATTGGAATAGCATTGGGAAGGAAAGTTTAGCTGTTGTACACAGCATACAAGAGACGGGTTATCTAGAACTGGCTTGTTGTTTCCGTAAAGGAAGGTGGATTGCTCATTACACAGATATTGAAAAGGTGCCTTGTTTCAAAGTTGGGCAGCATGTCCGGTTTCGAACTGGACTGGTGGAGCCGAGATGGGGCTGGAGAGGGGCCCAGCCTGATTCACGAGGCATAATCACCTCTGTTCATGCTGATGGAGAAGTGAGGGTTGCTTTCTTTGAGTTGCAAGGTTTGTGGAGAGGAGATCCTGCAGATCTTGAGGTTGAGCAGATATTTGAAGTGGGCGAGTGGGTGAAACTGAGGGAAGATGTTAGTAACTGGAAATCCATTGGACCAGGCAGTGTTGGTGTTGTACAGGGTATAGGATATGATGGAGATAAATGGGATGGAAGCATATATGTTGGTTTTTGTGGGGAGCAAGAAAGATGGGTTGGGCCTACTTCCCATCTTGACAGAGTTGAAAGACTCATGGTGGGGCAGAAGGTTAGGGTTAAGCTTTCTGTGAAGCAGCCAAGGTTTGGGTGGTCAGGCCACAGTCATGGAAGTGTTGGAACCATATCGGCAATTGATGCCGACGGGAAGCTGAGAATATATACTCCAGTAGGCTCCAAGACTTGGATGCTTGATCCATCAGAAGTGGAGCTGGTAAAGGATGAAGAACTTCACATTGGAGACTGGGTGAAGGTTAGGGTGTCTGTTTCAACACCAACACACCAGTGGGGAGAGGTAAATCATTCAAGCATCGGAGTGGTGCATCGGATGGAAAATGGGGACCTATGGGTTGCATTCTGTTTCCTGGAGAGGCTGTGGCTTTGCAAGGCATTGGAAATGGAACGAGTTAGACCATTCAAAGTAGGGGACAAGGTGAAAATTAGAGAAGGTCTGGTAACACCTCGGTGGGGGTGGGGAATGGAGACTCATGCAAGCAAGGGCCAGGTAGTTGGGGTAGACGCAAATGGAAAGTTGAGGATTAAGTTTCAGTGGAGAGAAGGGAGGCCCTGGGTCGGGGATCCTGCTGACATTGTTCTTGATGAGAGTTAATTCGGAGTACAGGTGCTTCATGACACCCTTCTTGGTCCTGTGTTTCTTTCAATTTGCTTCTTGAGCTACTGGGTTGTAGCCGCACAGCACCATAGAAGATGCAACTTTGTCTCAGCGGCACTATATGATACAGATATGATTAGAACTTTGGATCAACTGCAGTGCCCTTTGTTGCGTACGAGGGAATTGTTTGTTGATAAGCGTATGAGGGAATTGTTTGTTGATAAACAGAAGACGTACAGGGACGAATACAGGGAGCATGGGGAAAAATTGGCATACCTTGCCGTTAATTATAGCTGATGACAGAGCAGGCGAGAAAAATGTAGCTGTAGACCATTTGTATCTCATAGATGACATTGGTAGTGATAAGCTTTTTTGAGGTATATATGTATTGGTATCTATATGTATTTTTGTACAAATTAAACCCATATAAATTTGGCTGAGCGGTTGCTTCTTTCAAGTTATTCTAGTGCTCTGCGTTTTCTGCGCTTCTTATTTTCACAGCACTCACCTGGTATTGAACAAAAGTTGGAACTGTTTTCAGATGTGGGCAAAAAGACTAGGCCAAGGCAAGGCAGACATTATCAAAAGTGCAGGCTCCAACAGAGGTTTAGAGCTTTGAAAGAGTGCTAATAGCGTAACCATGGTTTTAAAAAACAGCTGTTACGCCGTTACATAACAGTTAAGGAGCATTCTGTTATCGATATACGACGTTATGGGTGCTCTGATGCTGTTTCACACATATAACGGCAAATAACGCTGCGCAACAGCTCATGGGCATGAGTTTTGACCATTGAGTATCACGTGACACTGAAATGTATCAAGCTTGAATTTCCTACAAATCGGTTAATCCTGTAACTAAATAAGGTCTTAGGGCACAGTTTAAATTTCTGTCTTAAATGGAAAATGAATGCAGCTGACAAAGAGGTTACACCATTTCTCAAATTTCCTACAAATTAGTGAGGTTACACCATTTCTCCAACATGCTAATGCCCTCTTGTAGAGAGGGAAAATCTTGCATCAATGCGTTAGAACTGGCTTGGTAAACTCAAGAGGATTTCTTCTTACAACTGACAAAGAGAAAAAAAAAAAAAAAGGCTTGAAGCCGATACCTATAAAAAAATATTTAGAAACTTAGTGGAAAATGCATGCAGCCAGGACCTTTACACGTTACGTGCAGAAAAGTATCCTATTCCTTTTATTTTCCCCTTTTGTTTTGATATATCAAATAATATGACGGGAAAAATACCAGGGTAATACATCATCAGTGAACATCTAAAACAAGTATAATGTATAACAAACATTTTGGACAATTCCCTGAATTAAAATACATCATCGGTCAGCAAAATGAGGAAAGTTTCCAAAACATAACAGGAAGCTATGCAATCTTGAAAATTGCTGCTATTGTTACTTGGGTGACTAGAATATTAAACCTTTTCTTTATGCACACAGAAAATAATCCTGATTGGTGGATCTTTTCCTGCAGTTTACATCTTCTCTGCAAGCCAGATAGAGAAGTCCTTCAAAGCATCTTCCATCCATTTATGCCTGCAACTCTGAACTGCTTCAGGTATAGTCAACCACCTTCTTGTTCGTGTGCTCTGCTCTGGCCATGACTCAAGCTCCTCCTTGACGAACAAAGCATACATTGCAGCTTTACACAAACCTTCTGGGCAAGAATCATCTTGGTGTGTTTTACTCTTAAACTGATAATAACCTATGACATCCTGAAACCCACAGATATAATTAGAGTTGGTTCCCGTGGATTGTCTAAATGACAAAATGTGTAAACCAGCTGCAAGCTAATATTTGGAGAGCCTGTCTCAGCCCTAGTGGATCATCGGCAGGAAATTACACAAAGACAAACACCTAGAACACATAAAGCTAAAAAGATGACACCAAAGGATATCCAAACATAGATTCAGGGGACCTTAGATAAATATAATAAAGACAATGATATTCCCAAAAGCTACTCTTCTCTGAAATCTATAATGCGAACAGCTGAGAAGTAGCCTTTACTCTTTAGTCTAACACTATAACTTGAGATGCCACTGAAGAAAGGTTTTTTATTATTCATTTTAAGCAAAAGGAATGAATGCTAATAGCAACTGCCACCAGTGATATTAGAAGGAACAACAACCAATGATTATCATGACAAAGAAGTTGAGTAAAGGTGAGGACAATTAGTGAAATAGAACACGTATTCAAAAGCATTACAAGTAAGAGATGAGGACAATTAATAGATGGCAGTTCTAATGGTAAAGGTGAAACATAAAACGACCAAATGTATTTCAAAACCTTCAAAGTGCAAAAGAAATTTAACTTATTCAAAAGAATTACAAGTAAGAGATGAGGACAATTAATAGATTGCAGTTCTAATGGTAAAGGTGCAACATAAATGACCAAATTTATTTCAAATAATGCAAGTAAAAGTTCACCATTAGATCTCCTCGAACTCCTGCTTCTTCAATGGCTTCCCTCACAGCCGCCTCTTCAGCCGTCTCATCATTCTCCCATCCTCCCTGTGAACAAACAAAGGAAAAGAAATTTAACTTCTTATGTTTTCTTTTCCTAAAAGTAAATGAAAATATATGCCCCATACACAAACGGAAACTTCAAAGAAAGAGGATTTAAAACAAATGATATCTTTAATAATATAGTCAAAACCAAAATAAGTGAAAAGGAATTGACTAAATTTTCCATTTCACTCGAAATACAAGCATGCATGCTCACACATATCGACCTCAACAAACAAGCACACAGCACAAATATGCTGGAGTAATTACAAATATTCAAACATCATTAACTCCAAAATAAGTACTGAAACTCCTAAGCTATAAACTTAACACTAGCCATCTTTCTATTGTCACATGCAGAACTGTTTGGATTCCCCTTATTATTTTCCCATCTAACTCCCAACATCTGCACAACTCTAAGGCCATACGGTCAAGATTACTGGTTTCAAAAATAAACTGTCTCTAGATTATAAAGAAGTAGGAATCGGACAGTTCAGAGTTCAAATCATCCCAAAGAAGTTTCACAATAACTAAGAGGCACGGACATAAGCTGCAGAAGCAACAAGTTGGGTATGGAAACGCCCTCAAGCATGTTTAAAAGTTTGAAGGGGAAACTGGGAAACTGCTGTAAATTAAAATATCTAAAAAAAAAAAAAAAAACAGCTTAAATCACATTCTATTGCAAAATCAGGAGCAAAGCATGGTAATGGGCCCAAGAAAAAGGTGAATGTGCAATGCAGAGAGCGCATGATAAAATGCCAGAACAGCATCTCACAACTCTATACCTTTGGAAACAAGAGACCTGGTCCACTGGATGAGTTGATCATAAGAACCTCAACAGCCTTCGCCGAATTGGCATTACCATCTTCACTATAACCTCTAAATCTATATGGAATACACCTGTCAATAAAACCATGAGTTAGCAACTCAACATCAAACATGAAAATGACTTTTAGCACCAAAGTTTCAAAGGCACAGAAAGTAGTATCACATCTGATTTCATCACATGTGGTGTAATGCTTTGTTGGGTTTTTAACAAGTTATTTCTCACTTCCTAAGCCATACGTTTCTTCTTCTTCTTCTTCTTCTTCTTCTTCTTTTTTTTTTTTTTTTTAAAGTGGGAAGCTTGCTAGAATTTGGATGGAGAATACCCAAAACCATTCCAATGAATCTTGATCATAAGACTTTGAAGCTGGGATACCATAAGACTATGTTGACAGACAAAACTAGGAAAAGCCTATCAAATGAACTTCCTAGTGCTCACATGAATAACACTAGCTCTATTAGATACTATCTATTCGACAAAGACAATACTTGCTACATAATCCAAATTGTCTTATGCCAAACAAATTTGGTCCTAAGGGGAATTCCCCAAGTTAGACCTACAGTGGATCTCACAACTAACCAAATAATCACTCTTAATTTTCTCCGGGACCAAAGGGAGATTTCACATCACCAGCTCAATCATTTTAGAACCCGGGCAGGAGTATGGGAATTAACCACCTAAAGAGAAGAAGACATCTTTTCATCCATCAAGATGTTCACAAACCTTCTCAGCTATTCATTCAGCACATGACAGAATACATGTTTTTAGACTCCGAATATCAACTGAGTCCAAAAGAGGTAAGCCTCCAAATTTAAAGGCATGCATTGTAACCACTTAATTTTCATTCTACTATCAAGTCTAAAATCACCTTCTGTATGAACTGGGTCCAAGAAGCAAGGCAGGCAAATGATAGAAAATGTTCCAGCAAACAAGCCTTTTCATCTACAATCACCTTCCGCATAAATGTGTTCCAAGAAATAAGGGAGGCAAATGATAAAAAAAAGTTCCAGCAAACAAGCCTCAATCCTCAATTAATCTCCCATTAACAATGACCATAATCCATCAAAACGAATACATATCTTCAATCACCAACTCCTCAACAGTAGCGTACCTTTCAGTATTCAACAAATTACTCTAATCAAAATAATTAAGAAGGTCAACATTCCATATTATATTTTTACAGCCACTAACCCCATTAATTTCAAAAAAAAAAAAAAAAAAAACACATCTAAACAGGAAAAAGAAAAGGTAAAAAACCAATGAAACACCCATCAATTATAAATATTAAAAACAACCCATTAATCAACATAAAGTCAAAAACATACCAATCAATCACACACTGCCACAACCATCCAAATTTGAATTCTCACATGACTAACAAAAATGGCATATACAAACAAATATACCAATAATTCAACAGAAAAAACAAAACCCATTTCCACATCTATCAAAAACACATCCTTTCACGATTATAAATCATTTTCAGATGAAAACATGAAAAAGGTTTGTTCTTTACCCGGCAACAAGTCGACAACCGCCCTCGTACCGTTGTTGAAGTCGACCAGTACGTGCCACCAATTCAGACATAATTTATATATAAAGAAAAAACCTTTTTTTACTTCTCTATGAATCAAGCTTGGTTCTTTAACATCAACAACATCAGGAAAATTGAACTCAGACCCTTCATTGGCTTTGCTGCTACAAATCTGGTAATGGTCATGCATGTACCGGATAATGACACCGGCATTGCTGGTTTTGGCCTTGACGGTGGTTATGGTTAATGCAACGAGACATGGAGATGTTCCAATGGCTATAGCTTTTTCATTTTATTTAATTTTTTCTGGGTATTTTTTGGTGAAGAGAAGGAGAGAACAATGAGAACTTTTTCTGGTTTTGTTTTGTTTTTTTGTTTTTGTTTTTTTTTTTTTTGGATTTTAGAGAGAGAAAATTTGGAGTTTTTTCAGAGAGAGAGAGAGAGAAGGGAGGGCCTTAAAGGTTAGCGCATGAAGCGGATCGGACGGTAGGGCCAGTCAAAAGTCACGTGGATGTGATAGGTCCATCAAGTGTGGGGCCTATCTGATTGGGGGTTGAAGTCATCCTCTTTTATTCTGGATGGAATATATATCACAAATTTTTGAACTTGGATATCGTTGGATACACAAAAAGAAAAGAAAAAAGAAGCTAAAACTGCTTGAGCCAGATATACTTTGAAATCTACATGGACGTATCTGAGAGGATGGAAGCAATGAACTGGATTGTTATGCAGATAAAACAGTATTGTTTAACTAATTGGGTCATGAAAAAATTGAGAATCGGAGCAGACAAAGGTTAAGACCTGAGGGCATAAAAACCTGCCGGACCCCATACTTCAATCTCCTTCGGGCCATCCATGCTAGTAGTACTGGGCCAACTGAGTGGCTATCCAATATTGTTTTGACTTCAGTTTCATGGGCATGGTGTTTCTTTCTCTGTTGGGCCTTAAGCTTGTCTCATGTGATTTGGTTGTGTAGTCTTGGAAGTCTTCTTGCAAGCACGGACGCTTCCACTACTCCTTTTGTCGCCTCTTTAGACACCAGACACCGCACCCCAAACCCCAAACCCTAGTTCTCTGTTCATCTTCAACAAGCTCGTCACGAGCCATAGCTTCAAATTTTCACAGGTAATGATGACCTCGTTTCAAAAATGTTTATTTTTTCATCTTACGATTAGATCTATGCATGTTTTCTTTTCATTTCCTTTTGGCTTTATGTTTTGCTTATATTAATTTGGATTTTATCTATTTGTTGCTATGTTACATCAATCTTTAGCTTAGTTGTTAGTGACGTTAGGCATATAAGATTGTGAAGTTAAAACCAAATTAATTAAAGTTAATCTCCAGTTTAAGCTCATCTATCGTTTTTTTTTTCTTCCTTTTGCCCTCTTGGCTATGCTTTGCTTTTCTTAGAAATAATGGCCATGAAATTAATCTCTGCTTTCATTCAGGTTTTTGTACGATAAGGTGACTTCCAGTGAGGTTTTAGACTTCTTCAAAAGATAAAAGCTGGCTGTAAAAGAATGGATTAATGAGCTTAATGTTTATAAAGCTGAGGACTTATTGGATGAGGTTGCTTATAAAGTTCCACGAATGCAAATGAAAGCTGGCAGTTTTAGATCTAGCAAAGGTCAGTTGGGAAAATTAGTTTTAAGGGAGGGTGTTGGAGAAAAACCATTAGCACAGGAAATACAGACAACTTATCTAGTTGATGAATCATGGGTTTTCTATAGGGATGGTGATAAGGAAGCCATATTGGAGTTGCTATCAATTGATGCATATAGCAACAAGGCTTGTGTGATTACCATAATTGGCATGGGTGGAGTCGGAAAAATTTTTGTTACTAAGCTTGTCTACAATGACAACAAAGCAAAGCAATGCTTTGACATCAAAACATGGCTTTGTCCTTTAGAAGAATTTGATGTTTTGAAATGGCACAAAATTTTGCAAAGCTGCATGTGAAGTGGGTTTAATAACAATATTTATTTTGCTCTAAGATTGAGCTATCATTATCTCCCATCACATCTAAAAAATGCTTTGCTTATTGTGCAATATTTTTTAAGTATTAGTCTTTCTATAGACTACGGACGGTTTCATAATGTATTCAAATGGAAATAAGGAGATGGAAGAAGCAGGTGATGAGTACTTCAGTTATCTTGTATCAATGCCATTTTTAAAAATTCGTTGTGGTAATCTGTCATGCTTTGTTATGCATGAGCTATTGAAGGACTTGGTTAAATTTGTCTCCAAAGATTTTTGTATCAGACTGGTGAGAAACTAGTCATTTGAGGGCATGGATGAAGCTTGACTTTTGTGTACACTTATTTGTGGAGTTGTAAAATCTTTGGGATGCTTTTGCTGATAATAAGGTAATGACTGATTTGTTGCCAACCCTCAGGCTTCTATGATTGTTATCTATGTCTCGATTCAATTTGCAATTGAAGCATTTATATATTCTCTCCACAGCATCTTCAAAGATGTTACCTATAATGTGGGTAATTTGTGTGGTTTGCAGATATTGATCTTGAGTGGGTGCAATGACCTTGCCTTGTTGCATTCAGTTGGCAAGTTGAAGGATTTGCAATACCTGAATCTCTCTTACTAGAACCTATTGCTAGTTTGTATAATTTACAGTTTTTAATCATGTACAAGTGCAAAGGCTTTGTTGAATTACCAAGCAGAATGGAAAAATTGCTCAGCCTACGTCATCTCAACATCAGAGAGAAAATTTCAAGAGATGCTATCACAAATGGGTAAACTAGTTGATTTGTTTGTACAAAAGCGAAAAGGGTTAAGCAGTGAAGAGTTGTGGGAGCTCCATCATTTGCAGGGGAACTATATAGTAGAAATCTTCAGAATGTTGCATATCCCAGTAATGCTTTGGAAGCCAATATAAGAGAAGTTATTACTTGAAATCTTGTAAGCCTAAGCAACGTTGCTCTGTACAAATTCTGATATGACTAGCTTCCAGAGTAATAAGATATTGGCTCTGATTTTGTTGATAAAATTGCTATCTGGTCTGGTTGTATGAAGAGCATTGCCTTTTGATTCTTGTAGGCATAAAATTTTTCAGTTTGGAAATCTTAGAACTCCATCACGCATGCTTGAAGCTAAATCAATTTTTTGTATCTCTGTAAAAAGAGTTTAAATGATTGGTATGCAGTAGCAGATATAAAACCACTGTACATCAAAATTTTGGAGTCCAAACTCTTGCTGCTTTTCTTTTCTTTCGTTCTTTTTTTTTTTTTTTTTTTTTGGCCCGACTTAGATGCCCGATCATTTGGGGTAGCTAATCTTTTTATGTTTTTTTCTCACACAAGTTTGCTATCTGGGTTCGGTTAGAAGGTTGAAACAAGATACGTGAATGGCACAAAATGGAAAGGACTGCTGTGCTTCTTATTTTAATCGATTTATTCATATTGCTTGCTTTTGATTCTCTTTTTTTATTACTTCCCTCCAAGGGAACACAAAGCAGAGCTGATATTGATCCCTGTTCAAAGGCATGCACGGAAGATCAAAAAAAGTTTTGTTAAACTAACTCCGAATTACAGCATAAAGAAAAGACAAATAGCATATTTAACACATTGCTCACAGCATTGGCTCAAAATTATGCGAAAAAAAAAAAAAACGAATTCTGAACCAGGAACTTTCATGCTCAACATCGCTGCATTCTCTGAGTAAGAAGACAAGCCGGATAGTTTGTCAAATGTCAACTGCCTGTGGATAATATCTACTGCGTTAAGACATGGACATAGATTGGAACTAGTGAAAAGGATAAGATTTATCGGGCATCGAAATGAAACTGCAGCCCGTTGCCTGCCGATTCAATGAAACAGGAGACTTTAGACAACAACAAAATTTTTAAATTACTGGAACATGAAAGAATTTTATAGCAGAGGACTAAATTAAGTAAACCACTTCAAGAAAAATAACTACCTAAGATAGCAGTCAGGGTTGACCAAAATACCGACATAGAAAACCAAGCATAGCAATGAAACAACTTTACCATGTTAATTATTGCTACTAAGCCAATAAAGAGAACCGTTTTCATGAGCTAATAACTTGTCAGAATATATATCTGGTGCTAGTCAATGAACTACTGGGGTGGTTCCTCTTCTGTATCAACCATCTTTACTGAATACACATGGCTTGAACTTGCAGATAATTGATCACTTATCCCATTTGCTAATTGCACATTTACATAAACGCAATAAGAGAAATACCAGAAATCATGATGTGGAAGGAATGCAGACAGAGACCCTCTAACTCGGTGTGTGATCAAGGCTATCAAAAACGGATGGAGGTGCATTTTGTTCTGAGGTAGATTACCATATTTTTTTGATGCATTTATGACAATTCTGCCGAATTGTTGCAATGGAAGATCTAACCTAGCATGACTTTTCATCCGAGAATTAAATTCGTCACCATCTTACTCCAAAGTAAAACCAACTTAAACTAGTGTTATTATATTGGATACCAGAAGTAAACTTACACTGTCGGCCATCAAGCATCTATCCTTTTTGCCTTGCTGGTACCCCCATATATCTCCAGCAAACCTGGCACTTTGTCTGCATATTTAGTAACATACCTGACCCGGAAATGTTCTTCACTCATAAGGATGAGTGACTCTACATTCTTCTTGTCTTCTTCAATCAGCTTCTTTGACACCAAAATCTCCAAGACATTATGCCTAGGGCCAAGCCTTCTATCAACTGAATAGTTAAGAAACTCAGGACGTGCAATTATGGTTTGTGCCCCCAACTTCAAAGTATTAATGTAGAAATCCATAGCTTTCCTGATTCTCTCCTCTGAACATGATAATACATAAGGGTTTCGCTTAAAGGCCCACAAAATCTCCTCTTCACTCCAACCCAAACTTTTCATCACCTCAAATTTCTTTTTCCTACACGATTCACTCATACCCATCTTTAGTCCCAGAGCACATATAAACATAGGAGATTTTGGTTCAAGGCCCAAATTCTTAAGGAAATTCACTGCACAAACCATCCTATCAGACTTAAACTGTATGGCTCTTGGCCACTTCAAAATCAGTTTC